TTGCAATTAAATAAAACAAACCCTCTGTATGATTAATATATGGATGTGAATATTATTATAGTGCTACACATTTGAAGAACTTTGCTTAATATTTTATTATTAAACCCTGAAACGCTGGTCCATGCCTTTGTCATCTCTCGGCTGGACTATTCCAACGCCCTCCTCGCTGGACTCCCCTCCAATACCATCCATAAAATCCAAATCATTTAAAACTCTGCCGCCCGCATTCTCACCCGAATGAAACTCCGCTCCCCGATCACCCCAGTCCTTGCCAGACTGCACTGGCTGCCTATCCCAGAGAGAATCAATTTCAAGATCCTCACCCTTGTATTCAAGTCCCTGCATTCCTCTGCACCCCCCTACCTCTCTGACCTCCTCTCTCCTCAAAACAGTACCCGTTGCCTTCGTTCCTCCGGGTCTGGCCTCCTCCTCGTCCCCCGAGTCCTCCGCTCCACCCTCGGCGGCCATGCCTTCAGCCACTATGTCCCGAGGCTCTGGAACTGCCTTCCTCACTCCCTTCGTCTCGCTCCCTCCCTTCCCGTTTGCAGGTCTCTACTGAAGACCTTTCTTTTCGACCGCGCCTTTGGTCCCCTTCCTCCCCCTCCCCCCGGCTCGGTCCCGGGATCCATTACTGTGAAGCACTCTGAGATGCCGTCCGACGTGGAGAGCGCTACATAAATCCAAGTTGTTGTTATTATGAATGCTCATGTAATGCCATAACCTCCCTGCAAGTTATGTAAGGATTTTTTTAAATTAACATAAAGGGAAATTTATAGGAGCTCCTCACACTAACTGAGTTTAATGTATCAGGAAGAATCAAGTGCTCAGTTGATCTTTGAAAGGGGCAGTGCAGTATTTTATGAAGAACTGTTTTTTTCATTCTCATATTGAAGAGGTCACACCGCATTTGTGAAAATCCCATGGTGTCACGTGAAAGTCTACCTCCTCTGCTCCCTCCACTGTGACAATCACACTTTCCCTTTATGATTGAGATAGATGAGTTGTCACCATAAGAAAAAAAATTGTATTTTTATAGTGACTATTACCATCAAAACCAACCTTAAGAACTATCTTTTCCACTGCGCCTTCAGTCACTTTTCTCTCCCCCACCCACCCTCCTTAGCTTCCTTCTCTGGCCCCAAGCTCAGATGTCTAGTCAGTTGTCTAAAATCTCTTTGAGACATCCTGCCGACATGGGGGGGCTGCTATATATGTAAATTGTTGTTGTTGACAGATCTCAAAAGGTTTTACAGTAATTACTGTCATAGCCACGAATTGTTTTTGCATAGGCAAACGTGGCAGTCGTTGAAAACAGCAAAGTCCCAACAACGAATGAGCAGCGAATGAGCAATTTATCTGAAACAATGTTGGCCAGGACACCAGGAGAAACTCCCTCCTCTTTTCAATTAGTGTTGTGGGATTTTTAATGCCCTACTAACAGGCAGATTGAACCTTCCTTTTAATGTCTCATTCAAAGTTCTGCACCAGAGTGTCAGCTATTGAACAAACAACCTTCTAATACTCAAGCAAATGTAAAACTAACTGATCGGCTCTTAGAACAATTTTGAGAATCTATGTTGTCAAAGCTGTCCATGCTATTGGTCAATTAAGTTGCAGATTAGTTGAAAGAGATCCTTCTCCCATTTTATAAAATTGTATTTAAATAGCAGTAAGAGGACATTCAAGCTTCTTTTAAAAAGATAGATGTATAGCTTATTGCTAGCTCCATCCAGCGGCTGGAAACATTAACTGCAGGTACTGATGACAATGTTAATAAGCCAACAGTCTTCCATCATTTATATCCATTCTGTGGAAGTGCTGGAAGTGAGGAAGCATTCCCTCCTACCATTACAACAACAACAACAACAATTTAGATTTATATAACGCCCTCCACGCCGGACGGCGTCTCAGTACCATTACAGTAATGTGCAGCATTAAGCCCACTTATAGCTCCGACTACCACCACCTCCTTATTAACAATCCAATCATATCAACAACAACTTTCATTTATATAGTGCCCTTCATGCAGGGTAGCGTCTTGGAGTGCTTAAGAGGGGCAGAGCCTGATGCCGAGCTGGGGGAGGGAGGAGGTGACCGTAAGCACAGTCGAAGAGGAAGGTCTTCAGACGTGATGCCAGTGTGTGTTCTGTGATAAGGTGCCAGTGGAGCCTGGCAAAGATTGGTGTGATGTTGGTACGGAATTTAGAGCAGGTGAATATGCGGGCGGTTGAGTTCTGAATTGGTTGGATTTTATGGATAGTGGAGATGGGGAGACCGGCGAGGAGGGCATTGGATTAATCAAGGTGGGAGTTGACCAAAGCGAGGACAAGGGTCTTGGCTGCATTTGGTGTGAGGTACAGTCGGAGACGAATGAGGTATGGTCGGAGGTGGAGAAGAGCAGTCCTAGTTAGGTACTGGACTTTGTGGAGGAAGGACAGTGGGGTATAAAATTGTTCAAAAACCTGAGTATCCTGACACCATAGTGCTCCTTACACAACAGCACACCTAACACTATGTTTCTTGTATTCTGCACGGGCTAATTTCACACCTATATTCTAGTGACCTAAATTATTTGAGTCATGGTGTCCACAGTACACAGTTCCCTGTGGTTTCACACATTAGAGCAACTCGCAAATGTATGAGTCTAGAGTATTGCATCACTAAAATTCAGTAAAGTGACCTTTGCTTCAGTTTTCACTGACTTTCCTCAAATAGCTACTATTTAACATGTAGTTAGTTGCAGTGCTCTGTTGTGTGTTGGTAGCTGCAGTGCTCTGAGATGTTATCCTGTATGAAGGGCATTATATAAATGCAAACCTTTGTATTTATTTACAGTAGTCCTGTAGCTCAGTGGTTAGAGCACTCGTAAGTGAGAGACCTGGGTTCGATTTCCATTAGGGTGAAACAGTGGGCACGTTTCCTTACTCCACAGGCCTGTTTACCTAGCAGTAAGTAGGAAACTAGTTGCTGGTCGATTGGCTTTTCCGGGGGTAATAATTCCTTAAAAAAAACAATAAATCGGTCACTCAATCTACAACTGTTGTCTCCCGGTGGGACACCACTGGGCGCAATTAGCTGCCGTGTTTCGCCCACAAAATATACATTCGATTCACTTTACAGTATATTCTGTGACTGAGACATCTCAAAGACATGATAAGGCACTGTATCAAATGCAAGGATTATTATATTATATAGTATAGGAATTCTAACAGTGAAGAACAATCATTTATGGTTAACTTGCATGTAATCTTTAACGTGCACCTGGAAAGGTAGGTGGGACCTTGGTAAATCTCATCTGAAAGATCTCCTGTCTAACAATGCAGCACTTCCCAGTTGCAGAAATTGTTCTTCAAATGCGAGATTGACCTAATTCCAAATCCCATCAATATAATAATCCTAATTATAATCCTTGCATTTGATAAATCACCTTATCATGCTTATTGAATGTCTCAAAGATTTTCACGGGGTTGGTTTACTGTAATTTGTAGTGACTGTGTATTTGTAGGTGAATACAATAAGTTCTCCGGGACATTACCCGTCATGAAGGGCCCTATATAAGTGCAAGTTGTTATTGTTTTTGTTGTGCAATAGGGTTGTGAAATTGGCTGCTAGAAGATAAATAGGTACAGCCAGAATTGAATCAATTTATGTTCTTTCTGGCGTCCAGAGGAAGTGTTTGGCCGTTTTGTGGGACTTCCCAAGAGTGGTATGGCTGGGATGAGGATGAAACGTTGAAACCCACATCCTACCACATCAGCTTCCAAAACACTTTGCAACTGTGTCTCTTTGTGAAAACATTTTCTGGTTACAAAAACAAGATTTCCTTACACAAACAAAATGTGATTTTGCTTCCAAAATCAAAGAATGCTATTATGAATAACATTGTTAAAATGCAGTCAAAAAAAGGTTAAAATGTAATTAGAGATGGGAGGTCAAACACTAGATTTTTGAAGTGAGAATTAGCTTTTATTTGTGTATAAGGGATAACAGAACCGAGAGTAGAGTAGAACTTGTTGGTTAGGCTGATATTCCGGCCACTAATATGGAACTACTTCTGCCATAGAGAACTACAAAGGGAGACTAGCTAGTCCAAGCACGAAAAACAATGTGACTATGAATTATGCCACTTGATGTTTTATTCTCTTTAAAATGTAATAAGAGATGGGAGGTCTGTTCAGCTCCAAGGATACCACGCTCATGTTTCCTCACCCCTGCTGCCAGGCCTGGAGGATATTCACTAGTTGATCAGGGCTTGAACTGCTTTCAGACGTTTTGATAATGTGATAAGGCGCTATATCAAATGCAAGGCTTATTATTATTATAATTATTATAATCCTTGCATTTGATATTTGATGTAGCGCTTTTTTCACTTCTTCGAGACCTCTCAAAGCCCTTCGTTTTACGGTATATTCTGTAAAATGAATTGACCGTATATTTGTGGGCGAAGCTTGTTGGCTGGACAATTAGCCTTTTTTAACGTCAGTAATAAACTATTATTAGCAGTCATAAAACTATCAGTAATAAAAAGGCATGTTGTCACTGATTGAAGTACATTCATAGACCTGTCCCCCCCCTCCCACACCCCCGCACACACACATACATACACACACACACACACACAACCCCCACCCCCATCCCTTCTTTCAAACAAACACACACACACACACACACATTGACCAAGTTGCCTGTTGTAATGGTACGCCTGGTCGGTGGAAGCTGGGAGTTGTAGTTCGAGCCGGCGGCGCAGCGGCTGCGCCTGCGAACGAGAACTACAGATCCCAGCATGCCCGCGCGCGGGGGGTGTCTGTGTGTGGGTGGGCGGGGCTAAGGCTGTGGATGTGTCTTGTCACCTGAGCGAGCGCCGCGGGCAGATGGCAGTGACGCGGGCGGCGGATACTTTGTATCCAGCGCCAACCTCTCGGTAACATTGTATCCACCTCTCGCCGCCCCGCCCCCTCCGCACACACACACACACACACACACACCGTGTGTGTGGGAACATGAGGCAGGAAGATGACAGCGGCGGAGAGGGAGCGCTGCCCGCGGCCAACTCCGAGGGCGGTCAGCAGTCGGTCTCGACCATCGCCGCCGCCGCCTCTGAGCGCCCGAGCCCGGGCGTGAGCCCGAGCCCGAGCCCGAGCCGGGAGCAGGCGCCCCCCAGGCTGTGCGGTTACCTGAACAAACTGTCGGGCAAAGGGCCGCTCAAGGGCTTCAAGCCCCGCTGGTTCGTCTTCGAGCCGCGCCGCTGCTGTCTGTACTACTTCAAGACCCCGACCGACGGCATCCCCCTCGGCTACATCGACATCGCCGACGCCTGTTTCTCGTACGACTTGGAAGCTGAAGAGGGGCAGTTCGAGATCCGCTCGGCGGGACGAGACTATATCCTCAAGGTAGGGATGAGTTTAGATACACACACATATATGTATATATCTATATATATATATATGTGTGTGTGTGTGTATGTGTATCTATCAAAAAAAGAGGAGGGGAATAAAAACAGCAGCTCTCAGCCCAGAAACCCACTCGTGACTCGAAACACCCCGAAACCTCAAGACAACGAGTAAGTAAATACTCCAGAGAGCCTTCCCCCGACAATTATTATTTGGATCTGACAACACTTCTCTGACCTGATTCTTCCTATTCCTCTTATTTAGTTCCGCCTCCTGCATTGTGCATTTTAACCTAAATCTGAGGAACCTCAATTGGGGTTTTTTTTCTTACGGTTTGAGCCACTTATATATATATATATACACACAAACACACACACACACACACAGACTGATCATCACTTCCCGGTATCAGTTTCAAGTGCCTGAGTCGGGCTTCTCCTTCACAATTGGGACTCTGGTGAATCGCAACTGGGTTTCCTGGGGCTCAAGTTCTGGAGATTTGCACAGTAGTCCACCAAATTCAGACGGCATCTGTCTCAGAAAAGTAGGTTAACTTTGTGGGTGGGGACCTGTCAACGGGGATGGAATTAATTAAAGAAGCTTTTCGGAGCTCCAGTTTGCTCTGTGGCATAGCTCAGCCTCACCTCCCAATCGCTCATGTTATTCGTGATGGATTATTAGCTCATAGGGTGGTATTATTTTATTCGGTGTCCAGTTATCGTGTAGGATTACAGATAACATGGAAGCACAGTAACTGGCCATTCAGCGATGGTGTTTATCCTCCACATATATCTTCACCCTTCCTCCCCCTCTTTCCCACGTCGCTCTACTCCCTTCCTTCTCCCTTATTTAATGCAATACGTTTCTAATTATTTACACTGTTGCTTTATGTTTCAAATGCAGATTATTTTAGATTTGTCAGTGGCCTGAAATTCGTTCTGAATCACCAGGGTTTTTAGGCAGTGCATCAGTATACCAACAATTGGCTGTCGAAGCTGAGACCATAACAACATTAAACAGTGAATCTGATAAGTATTTGAAGAGAAATTAATGCAGAGATACTGATTAAAAAGCAAGGAATTAGAATTAAACTTGGAAGAGTAAGAGTAAGAGTCAGTGATTCTTGGTCAGCTTATTCAGTGCAGATATTCATCAACTATCCTTTCTACCCCACATGTGTGACATGACCCGCTCTGCCTTCCTTCACCTCCGCAACGTCGCCCGCCTCCGACACTGTCTCATGCCCAGCTCCGCCGAAACCCTCATACATGCCTTCATTACATCGAGACTCGACTACGCAAACTCACTGCTTGTCGGCCTCCCCAACTCCTCCTTCCATAGGCTGCAGATCATCCAGAACTCTGCAGCCCATGTCCTCTCCCGCACCAGGCTCCATGACCCTATCACCCCCATCCTCGCCCCACTCCACTGGCTTCTTATCACACAGAGGATACAGTTCAAGATCCTGGTCCTCCACAGCCTCCTAACCCTCTACCACCTCTCTGACCTCCTAAACCTCTACCACCCTGTTTGCTCCCTCTGCTCAGTGGGCTCCAGCCTGCTTCATGTTCCCTGCCTTGCTCGCCTCACTGTTGGCGGGCAGGCCTTCCGCCACTCTGCACCCACTCTCTGGAACTCCATCCCGCAGTCTGTCTCACCAACTCCCTCACCACCTTCAAGCCCCACCTCAAGACCCTCCTCTTCAACCATGCTTTCAATTTCCCTGCTTTCCCCCCCTGGCCTCTCCCCTCCCCCACATGGTCCCTCAGTTCGGGTCCGTAACTCTGTCTATCCAGCGCCTTGGGACGTCATCCTGACGTGGAAGGCGCTATAGAAATGTAATTTTATTCTTGTTGTTGCTGACTTCGATGGATAAGCCAACATGTTGTGCAAACAGTTGCTAACATGCCTTGCTCTGTCTGCTTGGACGCAAAGTCAAATCATATATTTTTAGTTGTTCAATTCATTTAAATGCTGCAGATTTACAATATTTTTTCTTTTTTTTCTTTATGAGGCAATTCACACTATGGTATTGTCCCATAACACAGTGGAAGATGTGGGTACCTGTCCAAAATTCTCTGCTCAGCTAAGCTCTCCATGACCCAAATGGAGGTGGTTTATTTTGTTGCTGCACAAATGCTGTCAGTATATGGGCAGTATTAAAGCTATTTAACATAACATAACATGTAGGAGCAGGAGTAGGCCATTCGGCCCTTCGAGCCTGCCCCGCCATTCAATCATGACTGATCTTCTAATCTAACTCCAGCTAATAACCTAACCCTGCCTTATCCCCATATCCCTTAATACCTTTTGCAATAAGAGATCTTAATTATCTGTTAATGTAATTCATTTTATAATAATAATATAATCCTTGCGTTTGAAATGATTCAGACTTCTCAAAGCACTTCACAGAATATACTGTAAAGTGAATTGACTGTATATTTTATGGGTAAAACGTGGCAGCCAATTGCACAGAGCAGTGTCCCACAAACAGTCGTGGATTGACAGAAAACTTTTGAACGTGCTATAACAGAACTCAGGGCATAGGAGATGGTAGCTGTGGTAATAGCTGTATCTCAAAGTGTGGTGCATTGAGCTTCAGCTTGATTCCACTTTAATCTAGCATAATTTGATGATTAGGAAAGGCAAGGGACCAGAACCAGGACTGCTTGAGGGCAGGAAAATCAACAATAATTGTTTCTTACTTGAAAGTTAAATGACTACTAAACATGGAATCATCATTTAATAACATTGTTTAAACTTACTTAAGAGATTTTAACAGACTTCTAGCCTTGGTTAGAAATAGCTACTTCACTGCAACTACTTGGCTATAGCATTCATTTCATTTACATATACTGTATATCCATCTTAGCCTCCAGTAGTAATGGATTCAGATCAAGTGAGTGTGTGAACAGTTGGCCCTGAGGTTCTCTTATGTAAAGAAACAGTGATTCAAGGATAAGTGATGTGTTGTTCATGCAGATCCGTGACTATTGAATTTGAACTTGAAGAGGTGGTAATTAATGCATTCCTCTACGTATCTCATCAAATTAATACAGTGCAACTTCACTCAGAACTTCTTTCTGGGAGAGTTGTGTGTGTGACTGTTGGGTCCTGTAAGGAGACTGATTTTCTTTCGGTGGCCAGTGGCTCTGTTTCACATTGTGGTTCTTCTGAAAATGTATCAGGCTGCTTTGTCAACATTTGTTCCTATTATGTACTTGGCACTGTGAGGAAGCAGTGAGTAGATCATATTGGCCACTTCCCCACAGGAGCTGGAGAAAATGGAAGGGAGGCTTCCTTTGGCTCAAGTTGCATGGTTCTGAGCAGCTTGCAGAGTGTTATTATCAGAGGCCCGGCAGCAGGTTCCAGCGTTGCTGTTGGTCTGTGGTCAGTAGAGAAAAATAAAATAATTTATGTGACCAAAAAAATTACATAACCTAAGATGACGCACATTGGAGCCAATTGATTTAGTCTGTAGTTTTTCTGGCTTCTCTGGTTACTGATCTTGTAGTCTCACTTCCTATGTTTACTGCTTTAGTATTTTCACATTTCTGTGTCGTCTTCCCCCAGTGCATCTGCATTCTTGAACTTAACTTCCCTCTTTGAGGTGATTTGAGGAGGTCAGGACCACTGGATGGTAAATAGATGTGAAGCAGAGTTGTGAAAAGGAGCTGAGAAGTAAAAACAATTGGCAAAGCAAGAAGAAAATCATTCCCGAGACTTATTTCATGAGATTATTACCCTAACTTGAAGGATTATTTGTTTCATATTGAGAAAGCTAGCTCAAGGCCAATTATGCAGGGCCACTTTCTCTGTGGAAAATATAATGCAATAAAGTAATGTCTCGTATCTTTTCTGAACTAACAGAGTTTGTTTGGTTTGGTTTTAAATTTTCACCTTGACTAAATGCCTCAATCAAACCCTTTACCGTCAAATTCTTTATTCAACTTTGCTTTTTAGAAATGTCCCAAGAAACATGCGTTAAGGTTTGGGCACCTACCCATACCAAGTTATGCTAATTATAAAATCTTTTTTTAAAATAAAGCTTTGATTAAATTGTGAGGTATATGAAGGTTTAGAATGCATCTACCACTGGGTTCCAACCCATCCCTGCAATGGGTCTATGCTGATGAAAGCTGCTGTCTGTGTTTGTGGACATTTTTTGTACATGCATGTCGTTTTCCTTCCAGAATCATGAAGGATCATCATGATTAGTCAGTGTTTTGGCTGTAGCAGACCCATGATTATGATGCAGTTTGATTTGCGATAGTATTAGTACTGTTTTCATGTGATGAGTCAAATCCAAGATTTTTTGCAAGTCATTGTTTGACTTCTCAATTTAGTTCGTCTTGCAGCATCTCAAACCTCCAATGACTTTTGGCAAAAGAAGGCCCTTATCACATGGTTACAGTGCTTTTGCATTGTGCAAAGTAATGTCCCACAAACAGCCATGAAGTGAATGACCAATTTTTTGGGGGTGTGGGGAGGCGGGAGGATTGTGAGCCAGGGCAAAGGGAGAAACTCGTTTCTCTTTTCAAATAGTGGCATTGGATCCTTAATGTCCACCTGAACAGACAAATGGGACCTCAGCGTAATATCGCATCTGAAGGACAGTAGCTTGACTGTCAAAGTCCTGACTTGAGGCTTGAACCCACAACTTTCAGACTCAGAGGCGAGAGTGCCATCAACTGAGGCAGGCTAATATCTAACGTCCTAAAGGCATTTCTATGGACAATATTTTTGGTTGCAAAATAAAAGTTGCAACACAACGGAATCTACCAGAAAGGTACAAATGGATAACTGAACTTGATCTTCTTTTAAACTTCTAATTTCAATAACTAATTGGATTTATTTGTGTAAATGCCAATCTATCTGCTCCATTCCTTTTGGGTTTAGTAACATTTTGTACAGCAAGTTGTGTTGTGTCAAGATAGGATACAGAGTGTATGCACCAAACTGTACCACACGTAAAACATTAATAATACAGTACGATACAATGGATGTTGCTGGCCGCTTTCAATCATATTGTTGTTGGATGTGTTGGGAAGGTGCTTTCACAAAATAGTCCTTTTCAAGTTCTTGTTTCTTCCATCTTTTTGGGTGACTTCCAGTTGAATGTTGTGTGTGAGTGGTTGATATCGATACTGGTGTTGTTTTTGGAAGCAAGCCAGGAACAATGAATTAATGAATGCCTCCTACGTAGTTCTTTTGCAGATTTTTTAAATGTCTGCATGTAAATATATCTTTCATATATAACGAATATAAGAAATATAAATTGGGCCAACACTAACCTTTTTGTACTTTTTAAAAAAACTCTTTATTTTCCCAAGCGTTCTAAGCTTCTACCATAAATTTGTGTTGCAACCTAATGACAAATCCACTAATCCATTTACTTTGCATGTGAAAATCAATCATTTCTGTTTGTGCCCTTCTTGTTTTTGCTTTTCTTAGTTTCAGGAAGTCGAACAAACTTTGATTTCTGATTTAAGGATGTTTACATTGTACCTGGGCATGCAAGTTGCCACTAGGGACTAAATGTGGTTTTCAGTAGCTGCTCTGCAGTCTAGACACAGAGCTGCTTTTCACCCCACCCTCCGAACAAGAAGCTATAACATTCGTTTGGAACGTGACATCCGTTTGTAACTTTTAGGAAGTTTTTTCATTTATTTCAGTCATTTCCCTAGGTTGTATTTTCTATGGGAAGGTGTTTTTTTTTCATGGTGCTGGTGACAACTGACAACAATGGTTGCATCAAAGACCAATTCCAAATGACAAGAATTTAGTGACCAGTTGGCCAGGCAGATGGAACCTTGGTTTAACATCTCATCCAAAGGATGATGCCTCCTGACAATGTAGCACTGCACGAGAGTGACCACCCATACATCGAGCTCAAAGTCCCTGTAATGTAATAACTTACATTTATGTAGCTGCTTTCACGTAAAGTAAATGCCTCAAAGCCTTTGACAAAATAAAAGTAACTGTGCCAAGAATATCTTCCTTTTCTTTAGTTTTGTAGATTTTCTTTCAATCTACACAGTAATTTATCCAACAACAACAACAACAACTTGCACTGATATGTCGCCCTTCATGCAGGGTAGTGTCTCAGAGCTCTTAATAGTGGCGGAGCCTGACTCCGAGCCGGAGTTTTTCAAAAACCTATCATCTTTAAAAACAATTCATCGCAGATATTAACATATTGTTAAGAGAATTGTTCTTTTAGATTTCTCTGGATGTTAATATTTTAATATTTGCAATGAGATGTGATGAGTAATGATGTATTGTCTGAAAGCAGTTGTTTGCTCAGTTTTAAAGCCACTAAGAAAGATGATTGATAAAGCTGCAGTGTTACTTATTGTGACTGAAATTCTCTACGTCTGTATGAGTCACCATGAGATCCATTTTCTAATGTGCATGTTAACGCAATGCTGCTTGACGACCCGAGAACATGACCCAGGCTGATCTTTGCTGCCCTCAATAAAAATGATTGTCTTTTTAACATGTTATTTGCAGTAATGGTCCCTTTATAAAATAGCCACCATGTTGCTCCCCCATTCTAAAGCCTCTGCAGTTTGCTGCAGTCCAGTCTGAGAAAGGACACTGCACTGACCTTTCTCAGACAGTGATGAGAAAAACATATCACAGGAGTGGTTGAGCAGCTGAAAGTTTGGGCTACTTGTGGCTAGCAAGCTCAACAGGTTCTAGCAACAGCATTTATATTAACACAAAACTGCCTCTGGAGTGCGTGTGGGGGGTTCTCTAAAGTGGGGGTCAGCCCTTCTGGAGATGATAATAGTGCATTCCTTTGGATTAATCTGTCGTTGAAGTCTGGACTTGTTTGTGTGCACGTACAATGCAAATCCAGAACTGCTTTCAGTCCACATCCGCTAACGGAATTTGATAAGATTAACGCAGCTAAAATTACAGCGGATCATCTTCTGTATAATCTACACAATAATTCGTCACTTCAATCTACAACTGTTTGTGGGACGCTGCTGTGGGCAATTGGCTGCCCATTTCACCCACAAAATATAGTCAATTCACTTTACAGTATATTCCATGAAGCACTTTGAGACGTGTCGAAGACGTGATCAGACTCTGTGATCAAATGCAAGGATTATTATTGATAAAAACTATATAAGCAATCTACGTCTAATGATCTTACAATTGAAAATGCAGTGTAAAAGAGACGTCTCTTAACCAATGCTTTACCACAAATTTCTGTCTGTGTATGACAAATGCATTATTCATTCAATGGCAATCAACATTTTCAGAACTATAAAGAAGATAACATTTCTTTAAATCACGGCTGTTAGTGGGAAATTGCTGTGCACAAATTGACTGCCATGTTTGACCACAAAATAAACAATCATTACACTTTACAGTAAACTCTATGAAAATGTTTACTGTACCTCATGACATGAAAGATGCTGTATTAAATGCAGTGATTATTGGTTTTCTAAACTACCCTGCAGCTTTTTAAGAAGGAATTTGCGAATTTGCAAATTTGAATTTATCATTTTTTTAAAAAATGTTTTTGTTGTGCATAACTGAATTCTTTACCCAAACTTTAGGTGCATTTGAACTTTTTTTTAAGTGAGATATAGAGTACGTATTTGACCTTCCACAAACGCCTACCAACTCAAAGCATTATAAATGACAATGTACAGCACTGAAAGAGGCCACTCTTTCAGTCAGTGCTGGTAATAATAATAATAATCCTTGCATTTGATACAGCGCTTTTCACGTCTTCTAGACGTCTCAATGCGCTTCACAGAATATACTTTAAAGTGAATTGACTATATATTTGTGGGTGAACGCGGCAGCCAATTGCGCACAGCAATGTCCCACAAACAGTCGTAGATTGAAAATGGCCAATTTATTATTGTTTTGTTTTTTGGAGGGATTATTATCAGGCGTGTGGAGTAAGGAAACTTGCCCAAGGTTTCGCCCTGCCTGGAATTGAACCCAGGTGTCTCGCTTGCAAGGCGAGTGATATTTATACTCCACTAGAGTCTCCATCTGCTCTTTACTCTCTTCTATATCTTTCTACTCCCCTCCTCCTCATGTGAAACTCGAGCTTCCTTTTGACCCAACCACACTGTCTGATACAATTACTGCTTCAGCCAGACAGTTCCACAATCTCATTACAATCTCATTAGGACAATAATTGCCTGGTGGATTTTTTTGAATTATTTTTCTTGAGAAGTGTAGGGAACGTTAGGAAATCCCCACTTGCTTGTTATCTCCTAGAATATCAAGCAAGCCTCTTGTGTGAATATATTTATGCAGCAATTCTGAGAAACCAAGACCTGTAACCTGCACATGATTTAAGTTGCAAGGTGGACCTTAATATAATTAAACCACAAGCCTGTGTGAGTCAAATAGTAAATAAACATCCTGTGTTAACAACACATGTTGAAAAGGGTGTCAAATACGTATTTTGCACTTTTCATGCTAGCAGCAAGATCTAAAATATGTGTTTTGCGTCTGCCTTATAAAGGTTAAACTAAATAGTAATAGAACAAGGTAAGGTTTACTTTTTCTTCTTTAATTCAAATTATATCTGTGAAGTTACATGGGTGGGTGGTTGTTACACTTTTCATAGGTTTATATGCTTGAGATTTATTTTTGTGAGTGTGTGTGAAAACCATACACTTTCTAAACGCCTACAGTAACCCATGTCTACAGTATGATGTGTTTTGGGAATTTTCTCAAATGTAAAACATAGCTGGGATGGGGCTCCTGCTGAGGATTCTGACACTCTCCTGAAAGTAGTTGCCTGATATTTTGAAATAATTATTGTTATCTGACATGTCTCAAGTTCACAAGAAAGGTTTGGATAAATAATCTGATCCTTTTACCATTATCCCATCACTGTATCAAACCATAAAGCTTTAAATGAAACCGATGTCCTGGCCTCAACCATCCTTCTTGGTAACCCATTTTAGATGTTAATTACCCTCTGGGTAAAGAAAGACTTCCTGGTATCTGTTCTAAAGTTGCCTTTTACACCCTAAGCCTTCTTGAACTGCTGTTTCACCACATCTAAAAGTATTCTGTTTTTCTTTCTCGAGCCCATTTAATATTTGTATGTTTAGAATTTGATTTATGTAGTTGTGCTTTTGCTCTTAGTTTTTCACGTTTTCAATCCTTACTTTGGGTGCAATGATATTCGTGCATGTTATTTGAGGGTGAAACAATTCCTTTTAACTTTGTAGATGGTATTTTTCCCGGCAGCGCTGAGTGGCTGTGGTCAAACAGACAACCTGCCTCCAGGACTTTGGCTTGAAAGATCAGTGGGTTGAAAGAGGGTGAGAGTGGCCCAGGAATGACCATCCTGGACAGAAGCTCTGTGCTTCTCTTAAGCAGCCTCCCTCATTATTTTCATTCAAATCAATGTTAAGCCAGTAGAGGACTGTATTAGCGAGACCACTTCCTGTCAATGTGAGGCAGCAGGCGAGAATTCAGTGCTCTGGGCAACCAAACTGCCAAAGAGTACTTACAAGTTTGTTGAACAAGTTTTAAGTAAGAGGGTATGTTGTGCAAGAAGAAACATTTATTGTGCTGCATTTCGACAGGCCCTTACTGCACAAGTTATGAGATATTGGCTACAGCAGCTGCAGCAGAAGAGGTGGGAGTTCAGCAACAATCGCACCGCTGGAACAAGGGACAATCGAGTTTCACCCACACTACCCGATTCAACTACAGGCCTCGTCGCTAGAGATATAAGTAAGTTCTGACAAAACATATCCATGTTAAATAACGTTAAACTTTGCATTTGATATCCGGTCTTTAATGTCAATGTGTTTCAAAAGGAATTTAGGTTAAATTTAAATCCAGGTATTTTATATTTGTTTTTCATGGTGCTTACTAGCAATGTCAATGTATAAAACATTTTTTTGGAAATGCACGCATTTTTAAGTAAACGTGGACTCAAATCTCATCCCTCTCCCAGACAAATGCACACCTTGGTGATTATTATCTCCCTCTTCAGTTCTAACTCCATGCGGGAGAATTGGATTTCTTGATTGCCTGAGAACAGTATTCAAGGGGCTGGATTAAAAACAACAGGGAATATCTTTTGAAAATGAGGTGGCCACCATTCAAGTGGGCAAGACATCGGAAGAGCCACTTGGCTTTTCATCACAACTTCACGTGCAATACAGTACATTTTTGTGATTGTAAGTGCACAATGCAATTTCTTTCCAAACAAACCTGTTTTGTTTAGGTTGGGAGTTCTTCTTGTGCAACTGGAAGAAAGTACTGCTATTTTTACCCCCTTTCCCTTCCCCCCCTCTCCCCCGTTAAAAGCGCTAACTCCCTCCTTTAGAAACTTCAGCTGATTGTTTTTCGTTGTCGAGTCAAGGTGGTCAGAGGCCGCTCGACCCACACGGGTGATGGAACTCAGAACGTGCAGATCTTTGCTTCAGTTTCACACCGGCTCAGTTATCAGTGACACGGACTCCATTACGCGGTTGATGTTAGGATTATGAAGCTTTTCATTCTGTATCAAATTATGTTGTTACTACCACAGTCCAAAGCTGCCAGAAATAGCACAAGTCCCAAACTGGCATAACGTTAGTTACTTGGTTGCAATGAAAAAAGGAAAGATGTGAAAGAAAAAGTGGCTTGTTTTTATTAATATAGAATCTGATTTTGTCTACAAAAGTACAGTCACTACACATTTTACAGTAAATCTCGTAAAGCACTTTGAATCGTCCTCCCAAAGTGAAAGACGCTATATCAAATACAAGGACTGTTATTACTGCTAGTTTTTCACTCACTTTTTTTGTACATGTTTAAAAAAAACTGAGTGATTCTTAACTGCAGATTCTAGCACTGCAAGTGGTAACTGGTGTTGTGGATGCTCAGATCCAGTTGTGTGAGATTTAGTGGCAGCTTTCTTCAGCCAGCTTTTGAACTTTGAGTTTTACCCACTTCACCATTTCCCATCCCCAAAAAAACAATCGCTCACAAACTCCAATGCTGTAATTTTTGCTTTGCAAGGGCAGAACTAATAATGTATGAGTACTGCTAAAAGAATAAAATTGACCTTTTTTTTTCCCCAATCGTTGTTTGCGTTCTCCCTTTCTTGGCCTCTTCCTGTAAGAAAGTCTGGCCAGAAGATCTAACATGTGGAACTGTTTGTTATTCCACAGTCCTGCTTCTTGAAGGTGTATGTTATCCTAATGGCTCATCCTGAGGATCACTCTCAATCCTTCTTTTTTCTAGTTTGCCGCCAAAGGCAAATCATGTCAACCTGACGTTCCAATGCTGTATCAAGGAATGCTACAATGCCTGAGATGTCGTCATTCGGATGACATGTTAAACCATGGTTCTGTCTGCCTGTTCAGGTGGATGTTGCAGTAATATGCTATTAACCCTTCACGTTCTGTAAAGGTCTTTTCCCTAATCACTTTGTGTTTTTATGGTAACAGAGAGGAAATGTTATTATTGAAATCATGAACTTTGTGATTAGAACCATAAAAATGTCTATAGTGGCCTGGATTATAGATGGTGTAATGCCAGCCAACCAAAGCAAGTCGAACCTTTGAAAGTCTAGGGGTAATTGCTACTTTTGGAAATGAGTTTTGCCAAGGAAAGAGATGAGAATATTGACATGTTCCACAGCACCCATGAATCATGTTATTTACTGCGGAATGATATTGACTACAGAGGATGGAGCAATTAACCAGTTTCATTCTGGCAAAGCGAGGATGTGGAGCTTCTGTAGGAAGGTATGTGCGGAGAAATGCTAAGTGGGTCTGGCAATTTTAAGGCACTGGAGACAGTTGAACATTAATCTGCATTAATACAGCACTCCAAGATGCTCTACTACATGAAGGGCTCAATGTAAATGCAAGTTGTAGTAATTTGTGGTGCATGCCTGCATCCTTAAAACCAAATCAATCGAGGAAGTTCATCAAAAGTCTGGACACGCGTGATGGGTATGCAGCTATGGCCTGAGTTTCCCAAGCCAGAATATTGATTGGTTTTAATATTGTGTAAACCTTACTGTTCTTCTATTTCCTTCATCTTGCTGCTTAAATTGGAGCATGAGGCCTTGGGGATTACTCAAACTCTCCCAATAACCAGCTGCCTCATACCGATGGCTCCTCAGTGTTGCCGGTCAATCAACTGAGTGCAGGTTCCTCTTTCTCTCCCCCTCTGCCCCCCCCACCCCAACCCTTTTCCGCAGGATTATATTTTCGATCATGTGTATATTGCTCATTTGGGGGATTCCGTGGGAATACCATTAAAATAATCTTTTTTTTAAGAGGCAATACCCTACCCCCACCCCCTCCCCCAATGGAGGATTCTCTAGTTATCTGACAAGCACGGGTTTGAGTCCTCGTGAAATAGATGGCAGGTACCAGGAACTCCCTGTGAGCTTCCTGGGGGGTAACACAGCTCGGCGTGAAATGTGTGAGAACATTGCCCACAGTTTGGATACACATACTTTCTTATTGAGCGATAGTTCCATCAGTTGGAGGTGCAGAGCTTAAGCGTCAGCTGCTTCCTTCTATGCAATCCAAACAAGGTGGATTCCAAGCGTTGGATGAACAAAAGCGTGTTCAGGAACTCAGACTCTAGGCAACACCTTCCAGCAGCTGTCACCTCAAGCCTCGGTTTCCTCATCAGCTCTCTGAAGCAAGCTACTTCTGCTCTTTTCCCCCATACAATGTGTTTTGAACCCTAACCTCACTTTCTACACGTCCTATAACTGCGGCCCTTCTGCTGACTTTGAATCATGTTGTCAGTCTGTGTTGAATCGTAAGCACTTTTGTGCTGCAGATTTTGGCTCATTACGGACTGTATTCGTACAGTCCAAACTCTGTATCATTTCTGGATCTGATTCGATGAAAGATCCAAGAAGTGAGAGTACGAGGTGTCATTTTGCCACTCAGCTCAACATTAAGGAGAACAATGGTTGTCTTAGTGGGACCTGCACTCTAATGTGCAAGACACTCATATACTTAGTAAATCAAAGCATGTTGGATTTTTTTTAAAATTACACAGGAAATCTGAATAACAAAATCAGCAGCTGCAACAGGATGTACGTTGTGAAGGAAGCAATGGTTCAGATGTAAGAATAATGTCCAAGGATAAGCCTCATCTGTTACGTACTCGCATTTTCTTGTTTTTTTTTAAATTGTGGATTGTTGGTCATTTTGTGCAGCGTGATAGGGCTTTTTTACAACTTGTGCACAAAGAATGGCGCCATATTTTCATTAAAGGGAACACTAATTCCAAGAGGGAATACTTTTCCTAGGTAAAAATCCCTTTAGCTACAATGCAGTGGACTTTCTAGAACTAAAAGAAACTGTTCTTAAAACCTGTGTTTTCTGTATGCTTTCTGTTCTGTCCCCAATCTTTCAGTGTGTATCCTGAGTCTCAATTGAAAGTGAGTTTTGCTCCTATCATTCACATCTATGAATGTTCTCATCTTTACTGAAAGAACTAACTTGTGCTGGGATATATTTGAGTGGGTCCTGGCAATTTCTCGTACTTTATTAAGTGGTTAATTTTTCGCCCACAAAATACACAATCAATCCACTTTATAATATATTCTGTGAAGCGCTTTGAGACGTCTCAACATGTGATATGGCATTATATCAGCCAGTCCGGAATCTTGGGGTCTTGTTTGACCCTCAACTATCCTTTCTACCCCACATCTGTGCCATGACCCGCTCTGCCTTCCCCCACCTCCGCAACATTGCCCGGTTCCGCCACAGACTGCGAAAACGTTCATACACGCCTTCATTACATCGAGGGTCGACTATGTAAACTCATTCCTTGTCATCCTTCCCAACTCCTCCCTCCACAGGCTGCAGATCATCCAGAACTCTGCAGCCCGTGTCCTTTCCCGCACTAGGCTCCGCGACCCTATTACCCCTATCCTTGCCTAACTCCACTGGCTTCCCATCACACAGTGGATACCGTTCAAGATCTAAGATCTCACCTTCAAAGCCCTCCACGGTCTTGCTTCCCCCTACCTCTGCAGCCTCCTAACCCGCTACCATCCTGCTCACTCCCTCCACTCAGCGGGCTCTGGCCTGCTTCACGTTTCCTGCCTCACTCGCCCCACTATCGGCGAGCGGGCCTTCCGCCACTTTGCCCCCACCCTCTGGAACTCCATCCTGCAGTCCCTCCGCCTCGCCCCATCCCTTGCCACCTTCAAAACCCATCTCAAGACCCTTCTCTTCAACTGTGCTTTCGATCTCCCTGCTTCCCCCTCCCCGCCCTCCACCCTCCCCGACCCAGACCCCCAGCTTGGGTCCATAACTCTGTCTGTCCAGCACCTTGGGACGTCCTCCCAACGTGAAAGGCGCTTTACAAATGTAATTTTGTTGTTGTTGTATATTAAATGCAAGGATTATTATTATTATTGTTAACGGTCCTTTGTATAATCTTAGGTATTGAGAAATGGTTAAAATTTGAGAGGCATCAAACCTGAGACACATTTTCTCTATCCTTTCTTATCACCCCCACCCCCCACCACCACCCCCACAACCCTCACCCCAAGAAAGGCTTGGCAATATTCTTATCTCTACCATGAGAGCAATCGGGTAACTGAGCAAAAACCAGAAATGAAGCCTGGGACCATCCTTTTCTGTATGACTCAGAACCTCACTTTGTGATGCATTTATCAATAACAATAACAAACCTTGCATTTGATTTAGCATCTTATTACATTGTTCAAACGTCTCAAAGTACAGTGTAATAATTAATTGTCAACAAACATGGCAACCATTTTGTGCACATCAATGTCCCACAAACAGCCATGTAGTGAATGGCCAATTTTCTCAGAAGGATTGTTGGCCACAATACTGGGGAGAAACTTCCTTCTCGTTTCGTAATACTCACTGAGTCAATTTCAGGATACGCCTGTAAAGTATTTTGTTTCTTATCTTTCAGTATGATTTCCACAACTACCAGTCTTTTCCCAAGGGAAATTTTATGAAACTTCTTGACTTACACAATACTGGGCCATTCAAACATGTTTTGGCATGTACAAGGCAAAAATGTTAATTGCAAATATCTAATCGACTGCATGTAATGCAAAGCAAATAAAGTTGTTTGAGTGCTCTAATGAACAATCCTGTTGACCAAAGTACACAAACACTTCTCTTTTGATAAATGGTGCACTAATTTGCATTAAAAAATGTGGTCACTCAGTCCACGACTGTTTGTGGGACACCGAGTACTCAGTGGAGTCCTGTAGCTCAGTGGTTAGAGCACTTGCCTCCCAAGCGAGAGACCTGGGTTTGATTCTGGGCAGGAAACCTTGGGCAACTTTCCTTACTCCACATGCCTGATAATAATACCGCAAGAAAACAAAACAATAAATTGGTCACTTCAATTCACAACTGTCTGTGGGACACTGCTATGCACAATTGGCTCAATTCACTTTACAGTATATATTGTGAAGCGCTGTGAGACGTCTAGAAGACTTGAAAAGCGCTAGATCAAATGCAAGGATTATTATTATTAACTGTGGACTCATCATCACCAGGCCAATTGTAGCCCAGACCCAGAGTCTGTTTGTTCTTCTATCCAATCTGATATTTTGCAGCATTAAACTCCATCTGCCATCGTTCTGCACAGGCTAATTCCTTCCTCAATCCAGGATTTCAAAAGTGCAGGAGAAAATCAGGGCCTTCACACAGACCTGTAAAAATCCAGGTGCGATTAATGGCGTGCCTTGTGTGAGTCATCTGCTATTGTGCCTACTGCTGTGAATTCAATGGGTGGAATGTATATGAAGTGAAGCTGGGGAGCCCTGGTAGAACTGCATTATTTATTAATCTTGAAAGGTCCCTGAAGACCACTGAAATATGGATCCTAAATAACATAATTTGACTGCAGTACATTGGAAATTTATCATTGGGCGCAAAGAATTTTGAGTGGACTTACTGTGAGTAATTATGCAGTAAAAGAGAGACTTTTTAAAAATAGCTTTTGTTCTTTTGCTTCCTGGTTGCCATGTGCTGCAGCTTAATGATCTGGCAAAATTTCCCTTGGTAAGAAAGGGGGCATTATCAGATGTTAATCTCTTGATTGCTGAATGTTTTCCAACCACAATGGTTTCTAATTTGGGACAATATCTGCAAAACAGTCTCGGGGAGAAAAAAAGAGTCAAGCTGTTCAGTGGCTACAAGAGCAGTACGTACTGTAAAATGAGTTCAGAAGCTATTTGCCAAAAGGAAAATACAGGGTGATCTAGTTTCCGAGTTGCCATGGGTAAAGTGAGATCTTGCTTAGATCGCAGGTGTTCTGTGGACGTATTGTTACCAGACGTGCAGTGTGCTCCCAGCTTCAGATACGCACAAGCTGATCAGCCATGATATTGTCCCAAACACTCTCGAGTGTTTATTGCCCTAGAAATTCTTGAGACAGTGGTCACGGCTGACCACCCAGCATTGGAATGGAAGACCTGCATGTTAAGGAAGCCAGCCAGTCCGTGACGTCAGGGACAACATGACGACCTGGAAGCTGGACCCATGGTCATTTATTTCACAAACCCGTTGTAATGCATGATCTACTGCAAAGGAACCAAGACACCTCGTTAACAGGGTAATCTCGTTGTGAAAATGAACTCTTCATATTTGTGTTTGCAAAGAGCAATGTTCTTTATGAGGGCAGTTGGGGGCAATAATATCAACATTGAGAAATATCGAAGCAGCGACTGTGTCTGCTTGGCACACTTAGAAGCATCCTTGTCTGTGGGTCAGAAGGTTGTGAGTTCAAGTCCCACTACAGCACTCCTTCCACATACCCCACATCTGTGCCATGATCCACTCTGCCTTCCCCCACCTCCGCAATATCGCCCGGCTCCACCACTGCCTCACACCGCAGGCTGCTGAAACCCTCATACCTGCTTTCATTATATTGAGGCTTGATTATGCAAACTCCTTGCTTGTCGGCCTCCCCAACTTCTCCTTCCATAGGCTGCAGATCATCCAGAACTCTGCAGCCCGTGTCCTCTCCCGCACCAGGCTCCGTGACCCTATCACCTCCATCCTCGCCCGACTCCACTGGCTTCCCATTACACAGAGGATACAGTTCAATATTCTGGTCCTGTTTATTAAAAACCCAAGTTCCTTTCTGCGGCCTGTGTCCAGATGTTGGTACCTTTACTGCATCAATGTACCTCAACATTGCTCTACAGCCAACCGAAAAATACTTTTGGTATCTGGCACACAACGATATTTGGGCACAAATCTTGAATCTTCCTCCTTGTTCCTTCCTATCTATGGCAACAGGAAGTTTCTTTGAGTACTGTTTGTCTCCTTAAAGCTGTGCTTAAAGAAAGCACTTACAGTCTGAATCACTGTTACCTTGTCTTGTGTTGAGTTTAAAAGGTTGACCAGTTCAACAAGAAAGCAGTTTATTGGGCTCTTCAGTATATTTTAATTCTCTATTTGTAGAGTGTTATGAAACACAGTAATTAACAGGACTGTATATCTTGTAGTGTTCTTGTCATTTATAGGCAGACTAGGTCATTTGGCACTGGATTCTCAACTAAAGGAAATAGTTTTTCTCAATATAACTTATTATTATTATTTATTTGTGCCCCTTCAGAATCTCTTGTCGTATCCACTCTCAATCTCCTGCATCAGTGAGGAGAAAAAAAACAATTTAGCTAGTCTGTCTAAACACATATACATCTTCTCAATCCTGGTATCGTTTTAGTGATTATGCACTGCATCCTTTCCAGAATTATGACATCCTTCCTGTAATAATGTGGGTGCAAAATTAACCAATGGACAGGAAGCAGGTCCCAGCAGGATGGTGAGTCCAAAGAGCAGTGTATGCCGATATTTAAAATTCAATTTTTGAGGAATATGCCCATTGCTGACAGCTGATCCAGATGAGGATATCATTGGCTAGAGGCAGATTCAGCAGTGGAGAGATTGGATTTTTTTACTACTGTCAATCCCCAAATCCTTTTGCCAATATAAACTAGATGTTGGACTCTTTCCAGCGGGAATATTTGCTGCTCCTCCTACCTTTCAGTGACTGCTAGAGCAAGAAACTTGTGTTGAAAATATGCTTTAGGAGTTCTAAAAGGTGTTGTACATTGCTTGAAGCATAAATTGAATGTTGCTGTTGTCAAAATTCAGTGTTAAGATTTTTTAAATTGAAAATTGCCAGGTTCAAAAAGTGACATCGAAGCAGTAATCCTTTTTCTTTTGTTTTTTATTAAAAGACTGTAATTCTGCCATTTGACGATCTTGATTCAGTTGTGAACTGAATCTTTTGCTGACTTTTGAATCTTTTGTTTGTGCATGATTACCACTGCCTTCTCGTCCTTACTGTTAATGTTTAGGTGTGTTTGATCAGGCATAGATTTAAGTAAAAACGGTGTGTATGTGTGTGTATGTGGTGATTCATGAATTTTATTGCGTTCCTTTTCAAACTTGGTGCTGAATTTGTATTGGAACATTTGAGAGAAAGTTAGGTTAATGTTGTAGATGGTTTCCTTAAGGGAAGGGTTACCTCATCATCCTATTTCAGATGCAGACACTGTTCATACTGTGCTTTTTCATCATGTTCTGTTTTTATATTGAGACATGAATTTTGGGACAGCATATCCAAATACTGTATATAAAAGGGCATGGTGCAGACTTTGGGATATTGATCAAGCCTCACCATTTTGTTGGTTCGGTGGAATGCCAAGATGTGTTGTGAATGCAGTTCACTCCACAGTATGCTATTAAGTAGACATTGCTGTTGTGTTCCTTAGTTTTTACAACTTTTTTGCCTTGTTCCTCTTATTGCAGAAAATTCAAACTGTTGATTCCTTATTTCGCCAATGTAACAAATCTTGAGCGTTTGCACCTTGTGCCGATCATTTCATTTCTGTAATTTATCTTTCGATCCAGAATCTAATAAGATCTGCTCTGTAGAATGCTCCTCCTAATAAGTAACATTTTCCATTGGTTCTTTTAGATTCCTGTGATGTTCTCACTGTAGATTAAGGTTAACCATCAGCCAGCTCACTAAAATATTTTCGGGAATTTTATGTTCATAACTTGTGTCTGGTATTTTGTGTGACTATTTTGATATTGATTCCAGACACTTGGTGCCTTCAGCCAGCAAAGGATTCTGCCGAGAGTGCAAGAAATATACTGGATACGCTGGTGGGTGAACACGTAGTGGGCCACCCTGCTCCTATCCATCCCACTACCATCAACTTCTCATTGAAGCATTGGGGCACGGAGATCAGGTGAGGCATTTTGAGTCAGAAGGAAAGCTTTTACATCTTCCAAATTCATTTTGATTTACCCAGTAAATTATCAGTTTCTTTACTTCTTTCAATACTAATGCAATATTTATCAATCATTTAATTTCTGTTATTTATCTTATGATCTAGAATCTAACGAGATCTGTACCGTGGAGTCCTGTAACTCAGTAGTTAGAGCACTTGCCTTGCAAGCGAGACACCTGGGTTCAATTTCAGGCAGGGCGAAACCTTGGGCAAGTTTCCTTACTCCACACGCTTAATACCTCCAAAAAAAAATTGGTCATTTTCAATCCACGACTGTTTGTGGGACACTCCTGTACGCAATTGGCTGCCATGTTTCGCCCACAAATATATGGTCAATTCACTTTACAGCATATTCTGTGAAGCGCTTTGAGACGTCTAAAAGACGTGAAAAGCGCGATATCAAATGGAAGGATTATATTATTATACTGCAAAGTCTTGTTCACAAGAGAAAATTTATACTTGTTTGGTGTTGTGTGACTCACACCAAGCCTAGATCTCACTACAGTTAGAGCTGGAGACTTTAGTATGTCTATACTGATAGCTAAGTTTTTTGTTATTCTGCATGATACTTCCATAGCGCCATAGACATTTACAGCACAGAAGAAAGCATTTCTGTCCAGTGTGCCTATGCTGAATCTCCTCTTAAAGCATTGTTTTGACTGTTGGGTGGAAGTTCAGAATGAGAAAGAAAGTGAAATGACCAATCTACAGCATCTTAATTATCCTTAGTGTCCTCCATACCAGGCTCTCTCCGACCCTCAGACTATTGGCAGTGAACTATTGAATTGATTTCAATCAAAAAAAATCTTGAGGAGTCCAGAGCAAACTGGGTTGAGAGTCATATGGCTATCATGTGGGAAAATAATTTATTGAAGGAGTGGTGGCTTTTTGGAAATCCCTAATACTTTAGATCCAATACAATTCATTTTAATGTGTAAAGGGGGTTTCAGATTTATAGAATAGAGACCTAGAAGCAGGTAAGCTTTCTTTCTCTGAACAGTTGGTCAAAGACGAGTTTCTTTTAAAGCCAGACCTCTGGCAGCGCTGGTCATTTTATTCTGTGGAATTCTCACCTTTGTCCAGAAATTCTATGTCAAATCTGAAACCAGGAAGAGGTAACAGTGAGCACCGCCGAAGCATTTTCTACACTGAGGATTGGGAGATGGTTGACCCCAGTGCCAAAGATATGGAGGAAGCAGCAGGACTTGAAGTGAAGAGAAGACATTCATCAGAATCAAAAGGTTCGTCATTTCATCTTTTCAACTAGCCATCCAAACACCACTTAGATAATTAGCAAACATATTGCATCACTTATTAGTTTATTATTTAATTTAATATTTATTATATACCTGCTCCTAAACAAAACATTAACCTTGAAAAATCAATCTTTAACTCCACCCCACGTTTTTGTATAGAGAAGTAACAGAAACTTAACTATTTCTAACGGTAGGATGTATGTATATTTCATTTTTCTTTAATGTATATTTAACAGTGAGCTTTGTAGAACTGAAATTTGACTTGCTGAAATGTTATCTTTTGAGAAATTCTCTGGCTACTTTTCTGTAGGTTCAGCATTTTCATTTGATTTTGGACGAGCAACACATAAAAGCAAACGGCCGTTGCTGAGAGAGATGATGGGAGCATCGAAAAATCGCAACAGCAGTGAATCGTCGCCTGTAGAGTGGATCGTTTCTAATGGGAAAGCAAACACAGAAATCCAGTCCAAAATTCAGACTCACCAAGAGGAAGTGAACAAACTGAGAGAAGATCTAAGCAGCCAGAAGGTAAGGACCTGCACAGGCTTGACCAATTATTTGCAATAACCAGCCCTTCAGATATAACAGCTTGAAGAATTCAAGTGTAAATCAAAAACCATAGTGCAGAAATTAATTAAAGTGAAATAAAATCTTCACAATTCATAAATTGTCACAGCAGTTTGTATTTAGGATATGGGCAACCAACCAGGTGCTGGGCACTTGTGGAATCGTGAAGGCATTTTACTCATTTGGCTGAATTTTTGATCCTGTCAGCAGCAGCTGAGCAAGAAGAGAAGCTTTAGGAGGACAGGGCACTTGGGAAGAAGTGTTTCCAATATTTTATGTTCATATACCTGCTTGTGCCCCTTAACTGTGGTAATGATGCCAGGCTGGGAGTAGATCATGTATTGGCTGTAACCATGTGGTGGTGGCCGTAGAAACTGAAGATGTTGACATCAGGATGTAATATTTTACTGCACAAACGACAACCCACTTTTTATAATTTGTCGTAGCAACTTTCCACTAGTTGGTATTCAGGTTGAGCCCATGAATAATTGCTGTTTGCTCAACCAATCCAAGGAAAAGCTAAGGCAAGCAGCATGATTCGCATAGTCAGGATTAAGGACATTTTATTCATTTTAAAATCAAATTTCATCTCAAGAGAAAAATGCAGCTCTGGCGAATATTATAGCTCAAGGTAGGCCACAAGCTCAGTGGGTGGCAGTAACGGTTTTTTCAGCTTGTTTCCAGCATATTAAGCCATCAGATGCTGTACAGGCAAAAGCTATACATTTATCCTCATGTGTAAAAATTTTAAACTCACTATTTATACACCATGGACTAAATTCAGTTAACAATATGTTGTGCATTGGAGCACTTGTTCATGTGAACATTAACACCCAGTTGTCTAGTTTTTAGCAAAGAGATATCCATTTTTTTCCCCATCTTATGTATCAAATGCGTAACTCAATGAGCAGTTCTGTATAATGTTGCTCAGTAAACTTGAGTCAGCCTTCAGTTATCAGATTCTGTGCAACTATGTAGTCATCTTTGCAAGTGTCCAAGGCTACTGATAGATTCCATCTGTTAGGTTTTGCTACATTTATGCAGTAAAATGCTCTAAACTGATCTAAAAATGCTATGTATAGCGTTCTTGAAGAAAAAGGTTTTCAATTCTGTAAATTTCCACAGTGTTTACATGTTTGAACATCAGCATCGTACTTTGTTGGTGTCAAGGTTCTCTCGAGTAGATTTTAGTGCTTTACATTTGAATTCAGAGTATCAGTAATCCTCAAATTATCAGTGAGTGTCCTCCATAGTCATGATTGAAATTCTGAGGATATGAAAGTACTCACATTGTTAGACGTTTCACCCAACCGTACGTTGTATTAATACTAATACAGGTGGAGTCCTGCAGCTCATTGGTTAGAGCACTCGCTTTGCAAACGAGAGACCTGGGTTCGATTCCCGATCAGGTGAAACTTTGGGCAAGTTTCCTTATTCCACACATCTGATAATAATCCCTCAAAAAAAATTGGTCATTTCAATCCACGACTGTTTGTGAGACACTGCTGTGCGCAATTGACTGCCGCGTTTCGCCCACAAATATACAGTCAATTCACTTCACAGGTCTATTCTGTGAAGCGCTTTGAGACGTCTCGAAGACATGATAAGGCGCTATATCAAATGCCAGGATTATTACTATTTTTTAGAATGCAAATAGTGGACCTCTTGCCACATTTAGATAATGAGGATTTATTTTTAAATTGAGAAGCCCGAGGACCTGTGTGCATTTGGATACAAAAGTATATAATTATTGCTGAGACTCCATGTGTTTGTGTGAGCATCTTCACTGGATACTTGCTGTTTTTTTTAAATAAAGGAACTTGTACGACTGTTGCAGCAAACTTTGAAGTGTTCTCAGCATGAGAAATATCCTCCGAATACTGGAGCACAGAGATGTTCAGAGAATGAAAAACTGGAGCTTCTGTATCAGAAGGACCAACAGATTCTGGCCCTGAACAACCAGTTAGAACATGTTAACCAACAGAAGGACAATGTGGAGCAGGAAGTCAAAACTCTTAAAGAGAGAATGAGTGAAATGAGTGAGCAGCTCAGCATGTTTAAAGAAACCATTCAAGCCAAAGACGAAGTCATTATAAAACTATCACGGGAGCTCAGTGAATGTGAAAGCAATCATTCAGCACCAGGTGGATTATCGAATGCTACTCTGTCACCTGCGTGCAAAGACCTGCAGGAATTGGATAAATTAAAGGTACGTGCATATCGTTGATACCTTCAAACTTTAAGCAGTAAAACACTTCACAAGATCACATGCCTTATGCACGAAGCTGCCACTTGGTCGGCCAACAAAATAAATATTTTTCACTTATGCCATAAATCAAGAGATATTCATTCTGGAAGAAACTGCAAACAAAACATTGGTATAAAACTGACTCACATAGACTGGTGTGAATGTTCGGCGGGCCACTTTTTGACAGAGCTGTGTGCCACTTCCTGCCCATGGGGTCCGTGGGTTGGCCAGCGCTGTTTTAGTGGATCTTATTATAATGCACCTTGTTTTGCTGCAGATGCCTGACAAAGCTGCGTTCAGCATTTAACATCTGTTACTGAACCTGACCTTTGAAATACCCCCGGGACAGTTTTATTGCCAGGAAACAGAAAGACGGGTATTTTTCCTCCCTCTTGGCCTCGATTTAAGTGTTTGGGTTTTTCTGCAGAATGTAGAGCACATTTCTACTGCACTTTTTTGCATGTGCACATTTATGTATACAGATGTGTGTTTGATCAAGCAAAAACTCCAAAATATTTATCTACACCCAAGTGACAACTCTTCAAATCTGCTTAATTGCCTCCACAAACCGCCCGCCTTCTATTTTGAATGAGGGCATAGCTGTGCTATCGTCCAGCCATTGGGTTCAGATGCCGTATCTTTGGAATTTCTGCTGGCTGACATGCAGTTGATATTTTTATTGCTGAATAATTATAGCATGGTTGTTCTTTTTTTGCTGTGTTTTTGCAACAATGCTTCAGATGATTTGGAATGACAATGAATGTACCAATTACTCCTGTTTTTTTTTCCCCCTCTAAAGGATAGCCTTCAAGGCTATAAATCTCAGAATAAGTTCCTCAACAAAGAGATTTTAGAACTGTCCATCCTTAAGAGAAATGCTGAAATAAGAGAGAGGAATCTGGAATCCAAGGTATTTTTAATTCAGCTGATATGTTTTTAGGATAAGAGATTTTAGAGTTGAGTAATTGAATTCCTATTCAACTGTTAACATTCTACAGAATGATCCTTTTTCTTAATGCAGCTATAAATATCTTTTATTTTGCATAGGTGAAATATGTTCGACTGTAAACGTGAATGTTTTACAGCATATTGCAACATGAAGTTGGTAAAACAGAAGAACTGTTAATAATATGCTCTTTGGGATTCATAAACCTAAACCTTGCATTAGAAAAGGGCACAAAGTCAAAGTGGCTGTCGCGATGTGTGCAGTGTGTGTGCAGGGTACTAGAACCACAGCTGACATTTTTTTCTGAAAAATCTGCACTGATAATAATAATCCTTGCATTTGATATAGCACCTTATCACGTCTTCTAGACATCTCAAAACGCTTCACAGAAAATACTGTAAAGTGAATTTACTGTATATTTTGTGGGCGAAACGCAGCAGCCAATTGCACACAGCAGTGTCCCACAAACAGTCGTAGATTGAGTGACCAATTTTTTTTTTTTTTGAAGATATTATTACCCCAGTTCCTGCGCGTGTGTTCTATGCTCAAATGCTCCAGGACATATTGCACATGTGCAGAGCTTAGGAAATATCTACAGCAACATTACCACCGAGGTCTTGAGTTGACTTTGAAAAAATGGGTAACCGCAAAGGACAGCCCTTCTCCATCTTAAGACAATCTTGCCAGTTAGGGCTTCAGCTTGTAGGGCTTTAGCTAGATTACATACAGGGTTTGTTTGTGCACATAACCAATACATAGTTCACAGAGGCAGACTCTGAGAATGTATTAAACTCACTGTGTTTGCTTTCAATGTTTCTAATCTAGTTAGAGTCTAATTTAGTTAGAGTCCAAAAAGAGACCACAGAAGAGGATTTGGTAGCTGCTAATTCAAACTTTTGACTTCCATCTATGCTTGTCCTTTTCTAAAGAACTTGTTACTTTCCTATATGGTAGAGGTTTACGTTTTTTTCCCCACTTGTGAAGACTGATGTCTTCTGATGTTCTTTTTGTTCCTAAGAGTTGAGTAAACCATTACAGAGCTCTGGGAAAAATCATTTGAGCACAGAAAGCTTTCATTATGAATGGATTGTGGCATTTTGGCTACTGTTCACTGCAGATGGAGCACTGCTGATCTAAACCTTTTTAGCCTTCATTATTGTAGAATAACATTCGTGCTCTGCCAATAAATTGAATGAGATCAGCCTTTTGGAAAACCTTTGTTGAATCTCCATTAAATTCAATGCCTTCTTAATTTGTTTTTCTCTAGTTTGACTTTGGATAGTGGCCTCTATCAATTCTGTTTTTAAGTCTGTAACTCAATTGTCTCAGGAAGATTTCCTTCATTTTTCCCCCTATAAGTACTGAAGGTTATGGTGTAGATTAATTTACAAAAAGGATCACTCAAAGGCATTAACTTTGCTTTCGGTATTTCTTTTTGCAGTTTTCAAATGATGTGATGTTCTAATCAGGTGCAACTATTGTTAAGCAGACAGATTGTGTTGTTATATTTCTTCAACTACACAAATTGAAAGAATAATAAATTGACTCATGAATAAAACTGTCAGAGGTGAAATACTTAGTGGTTAGGGCACTCACCTCGCAAGCGAGAAGGCCTGAATTTGATTCCCGGGCAGAGCGAAATGTTGGGCAAGTTTCTTTATTCCACAACCTCTATTTACCTAGCAGTAAATAGGAACCTCGTTGTTAGTCGATTGGCAGATTGCTTTTCCGGGGTAATAATAACCTTCAGAACAAAAAAAACAAATTAATAATTTAGTCACGCAATCCACGACTGTTTGTGAGACAAATTACTGTGTGCTGTGCGCAATTGGCTGTCACGTTTCACCCACAAAATGTACAGTCAATTTACTTTACAGTATATCTTGTGAAGTGCCTTGAGACATCTAGAAGATGTGATAAGGTGCTGTATGAAATGCAAGGATTATTATTATTAATCTTGCAGTGGGTTTCCCCTTCACCAGTTTAGGTCTGTCACTGGTCCTTCAGCTAAGCAGAGTGGATGGTCCTGGGCTCCCCTAATGGACATCGGTGACACAGAACTGTCAGCATTCATAACATGCAAAACTCAAATCAAATGTGAAATATTTTGGAGCTAATAGCAAAAAGGTTGAATGTGTTGATGGATTTTTTGGTATTTCAACAGTGCGCCACTCAGGAAGCCCAGCTCTGCCAGATAGAGAGCAAGCACCTTGTTCTGCTTCAGGAAGTGCAGACTCCAGTTTGTTCTAGTGAAAAGGGACCTACAAACGAAGTCATTTCCAGACTGGTGGAAGATGCGCTGAAAGTGGACACGACGGACAAGCCTACTATCCTCAAACCACATCCCGTCAGGTAACTGCCCGGCTCGCGGAATGAACTTAAACGATAAATGCTTCCCTGTATTGGGCACATCGAAATGGGAGTGTTTCGCACAGTTATGAAAGCAAAGAAATTGCTCATTTTTTTCATATCGGAATACTTTATATGGTCTGATGATGAGCAAAGGAGGGGGAGATGGCCATAGGTGTGGTTGAACCTTTATTTTTAAGGTGGGATTTAAAATACTTAGACCTTTAGCTTAAGGTATTCGTAAAACTTTAAAAAGTACAATCGAGAGTAATTCATACAACAAAAAAAAGTTCTCTTTTCTTTGTTTCTCCCCGCAACACACACACCCACATTACACTCATATTGGGAAGAAATGATAAGTATTAATGCTCGTCACATTTCCATTGTGCAAACCCATTTTGGTGTGAGGAAACTTTTCACTGGGAAAAAATAAAACTCCTTTTTAACCCGACCATTTCTCGTTGGACTTTCGACTTCCAGTGAATATGACATATACGGCTTTAAGACTGTCCCCGAAGATGACGATGAGGAGCAGTTGATTGCCAAGGTGCGGGCTCTAAATTTAAGATCGTTCTCTCTCACCGAGAGCCAAGAGATTTCCACCGGAGTCAAGTGGGAGAACTACTTTGCCAACACGGTGAATCGGGAAATGGCGCGTTCCCCAGAATTGAAGAACCTTATTCGCTACGGAATCCCACACGAACATAGATCAAAAGTCTGGAAGTGGTGTGTCAACCTCCAGGTTAAAAAATACAGGGACAAGTGCTGCCCAGGGTATTTTGACTCCTTGCTGAAGAAGGCGCTAGAGAAACCGAATCCTGCTTCCAAACAGATTGAGCTGGACCTGATGCGCACTTTGCCAAACAACAAGCACTACACTTCGCTAACCTCGGAAGGGATACAAAAACTTCAAAACGTCCTTTTGGCATTTTCCTGGAGAAACCCTGATGTAGGTTACTGCCAAGGTTTAAACAGGTGAGAAACTATTCCTAACTGAGTATTTGGGTAGGAGAATAGAGTTGCCATTAATTATTTGGAGGCGTCATTGTTGTTATAAGCGTTTTGAGACCACCTCCAGATATGACAGGTGCTATATCAAATGTAATGATTATTATTATGACATAACCTGGAACCTAGATCTATGTTTAATCGTGATGTACAATACAATTACATTTATATAGCACCTTTCACATCGTGAGGACATTTCAAAGTGCTTAATGTATCTCAGAAGGAGATATTACTTTTAAATATCCTTTTTGAAAAAAACTTTCCTCTCGATCAAAAGATTTACTGCAGGTATAAACAGGAGATACAATCATTGAGTTCTGTAGTGGATTGGTTAGAGCACTTGTCTCGTAAGCGAGAGGACCAGGATTCAATTCCTGGGCGGGACGAAACGTTAGGCAAGTTTCCTTATTCCACATGCCTGTTTGTTTACCTAGCAGTAAGTAGGAACCTGGTTATTAGTCGACGGATCACTTTTTCGGGGGTATTGATCAGTACAAAAAAAATAATAATTTGGTCATTCAATCCACGACTGTTTGTAGTACACTGCTGTGCTCGATTGACTGCCATGCTTCAGCCACAAAATATAGTCATTTCGCTTTACAGTATCTTCTGGAAAGCACTTTGAGACATCTCAATGATGTGATATGGCACAATATCAAATGCAAGGATTATTATTATTATTATTACAAGAAATAGGTTAGAGGCAATGCATCTAATCCATCCGGCCTGGGCAATTCAGATACTGTACATCAATTTTCCAGAAACAGTTTTGCTGCATCCTTGAACAGTGGTTACATTGTGCTGACTTGCCTGAGCCTTTTTTCTATTTAATTTGTTTACACCATTGCCAACCTGAGCCCAAGTAGAAAGGAGTGTGCAAGGAAATCCATAATGCTTTCCTGTCCAGTGATAAATAGAAGCAGGGAAATTTAAACATGAATCGATATCTGTATGCTTCAGAATGGCATTCAATATAAATGGTTTATTGCAATGGTTACCAATTAAAACATGAAAATCTGCTGCACTATAGGATGCTTTTACTGGTATTAAATACTAACCAAGGTAAGAGAAGCACAAGTTGGATCGTGAAATAGAATGCAAAATAATGTATGCTCTTAGTTCAATCATTGAGGGGAAAAAAGATGAATAATGTTCATTTAAATGAGGGACTGGGTTTGAGCAATGATGCCATGTGTTGCTGCCCTCCTGTGGCAAGTAATTACATAACAGTCACTATGCATAAATCATCCAAGACCAAAATATTGACCTGTTTATACAGTAAGCAGGGATGAAGCTATGAGTGAGTAACAGAAAAATATGGTTTATTGCTCTACTCTAAGATAACAAATGTTTTGACTCTGAATGAGCAAAGTTACCCAATTTTAAGTGAGCTTGATTTGACTTTTTAAAAAAATGTTTATGTCCACATCCAGTCCGCTGTGTGCTGCCACTGTTGAATAGTCTGCCGCTCTCATCCCTTTCTGCTGCTCACATATACACACACATCTTTGTTAATTTTTAATGGGTGCAGGGAGGATATGCACATCACTATCTGTGAAATCCCTGATGTTTTGACTAAGATGTTTTGCATAATTCTCCTTAAACTGTTTGACAAATTGTATACTTGGAGTTTTTTTTTAAAAAAAACATATTTCACATCCGCTGATAGTTTTAGTGACAGCCACTAATTTTTTTAAAAAGTCATTGGCAAAGTCAAAAGGATGTGTCTGTCAACAAGTTATACTCAACGCTATGTTATAGTGCTTAAAACCAAGGCTTAGAGCAAGTGAGGAATAATTTTTAAAAATGGTAATATTAACATATAAAATATTTCATGTGCAGAATAGCAGCAATAGCTCTTCTCTACCTGGAACAAGAAGACGCTTTCTGGTGTTTGGTTGCCATTGCAGAGTGTCTCATGTCTGCTGACTATTACACAAAGACTTTACTTGGTTCACAGGTAAGGATGAGTGTTTGCATGCTTAACTTCTGAAATTCCTCCTAATTCCTTAAGTCACTCAAGGGACCATTTTGTCTTAAATTTTAAGCTATCTCAAATTTGTGGAAAATTCAGAAATTCTTAAATTCTTAAAATTCTAATATTCTAAAATTCTTAAAATTCAATCCACGACTGTTTGTGGGAACCTGCTGTGCCAATTGGCTGCTGCGTTTTTTTGGGGGGGGTTTGGGTGGTGGGGAAGAGGCAGAGTGGAGGGAGATGAACCTGACCTGGGGGTTCTTAAGTCTGATCCCAGACGCCAGATGTCATTCCCAGCATTAATGGCCATCACTTTGATGATCTGATGAGTTCACCCTCTTCCTCTCCCTCAAAACATATGAATGGGAGAATAAACTTTCTTTTTTCTGTCAATCAAAAACTTACAAGAAGATTATTCCACTAGTACTTTTTAATTTATCTTTAATCTTGAAAGTTTTGTCTAGACAGACTGCATTTAAGCCGCAGCCAATACATCTTGGGGTTGTGAGGCCACCACATTGGGCGTTCACACAGCTGATGCAACACTGGCAAGTTCTGAGAGTCAGCAGCATTTATCTGCACATTTGGTATCAGTCTTAATGATCACGCCATTGCAAGGTCAAACGTACAATTCAAGAGGCATAAAGGCCGTTCACAGAGCTGAATTTGTGCAAGTGCTTTGATGACAAATGTTTTATTTGCATTTATAATAATAATAATAATCCTTGCATTTGATATAGCGCTTTTCACGTCTTCTAGACGTCTCAAAGCGCTTCACAGAATATACTGTAAAGTGAATTGATTATGTGATTTTGCTTCTTCTTTCACCCCCGCCCACACCTGAACTGGGAACATGGGTTAAAATTAAATGGATACTGTGGTAATGTATTCAGGTATTTTTGCAAAGTTTTTCATTACCCATCAAAGCTGCCGCACTAATTCTGGTTTAACTGCTGGAGATGGTATTTTACAATCATACAATAATTACAGACCAATGCTGCTCTAACCCATCCTTCTTATAACATGTTACATGCTTTTAATTTTTATTGGAAACAAATAACATAAATTGTTTAAGTTTTTTGGTCTATAAATTTTGAGAATGTCAGTGGAGTATTAGAACTGCACTAATAAATTTTAAGGTAGGCAGTCTGGTACCATTGATAAGTATTACTTCCGCAGTAAACTTGAGTGGAATCATTAATCAGAACTGTTACAATTTGCAACTAAAATGAGTAAAAGGTTAGGACTGCACGTCATTTTTGCCACAGTAATATTGCCAGTCACTGCTCCTAATATTTCCTGATTTAGTTTGTGTTGTGACCATTGTCATAATTATTCAATTTTTAAATGCTGTGTTAACTCCTTTACAAAGGAGCTGGATGAATACTTCTGAAGGAACAGTTCACCTCCAAAATACACAGTCACTACACTTTGCAGTAAATCCTGTGAAATGCTATGAGACGTCCTCCTGACTTGAAAGGCACTTTATCAAATGCAAGGATTATTATAACAGCAATTCTGGGTAGTGGAGATAACAGCAAATAGATGATGCAATGCTGTGTGGAATACGATACAGGGAAACTCCATTAGTTATAATGCTACTCTATTGCTTATAACGCTAAAATTCTGTGGACTAGATGGCTTTCCACTATAAAGAAAAAGACTTCTGGATCAGCAGATTGTTCTTGATATCACTGCCTGGGCTATGTATCCATTGAAATATTATTATTATTGATTACAAGAGTATATTTGGTATAGCGCCTTCCACAGGAAGATGCTCGAAAACACCTCACGGGATTTACTGTGCAGTGGAGTGACTGTATTTGTGGACGAATGCACAACCAGCCATGAAATGAACAACCAATTTTATTTTTTTATTGATAGCCAGGAGAACGGGCCTATTTGGGTCAAATGGCCTATTTCCGTGCTGTACAGTCTATGCATATCTATGATTCTCAATGTGTGTGACTGAAACAGACTTCTAAATCACATTCTCCACCTGTTTTGTTTTCTGTAATTTAGGTTGACCAGCGGGTGCTCAAGGATTTGCTAAGTGAGAAGCTGCCCCGGTTACATGCTCACTTTGAACAGTTCAAAGTTGATCTCTCCCTCATCACCTTTAATTGGTTTCTGGTGGTATTTGTGGACAGTGTTGTCAGCGATATTGTATTCCGCATATGGGATTCATTCCTGTACGAAGGTCCTAAGGTACAAGCAGAGCACTCATTTTCAACTTAAAATTATACGTCAGAAAAAGTATAACTTTTTAAGACCCAGTAAACTTAATTTTTTTGTTTTTGGCAATTATTTTTATCATTCGTAGCTGCACAGAAATTTAGGAAACTCAGCAATTCAAATATTTTTGCATTAATCTTCTCTGAAGCTGAAACTAATGTTTGGAGCGTATATATATATTTATTTTTCTGATTTATGTTGCTTCACCTTTAATACTTCCCTGGCCCCACCCATGTGATTGGGGGTTTAACGTATTGCAGTATGTAATCATATGATAAATACACGTTACTGACTTAGTCATCAGGCAGGAATTATTAATGGCTGATTAATGCATTGCTGTTCACAGGTTATTTTTCGATATGCACTTGCGGTTTTCAGATTCAGAGAGGAGGAGCTTTTAAAACTCCAGGATCAAATGTCCATATTTAAGTATCTGAGATACTTCACTCGGACCATACTCGATGCAAGGTAACATTTTTTTTGTGGGTTTTTGGACTTCCAAATTGCAAAATTGCAGCATCCATTCCAGCGACTTGTTTAAATTGGCTTATGATGCTTAGTGTGACTCTCAGCCAGTCAAATGTGCCGTATTTGAGTTATAAAGCTACTCTTTATTCTGTGTGCATTTCGGAATTCAGATATTGATATTGGTGTTAATATACCCCAAAAGCAATCGCAAGTTTTTGAAAATTATTATTGGGGGAAAGCAATTTATATCGCAATGGTAATTTTTAGTTAACGATGCCTTCCTCCGTAACAAAGCATTGAATATTAAACAATATATAGAAATGAGTTACAAAGCTGTAACCTAAATCAGAGGTATTGGATCTGTAGATATTCACAAGGTCACAGATTTGTTTGGATGAAGAATCATCCCATCTGATCCCATCCCTCCAGAATACCTGCCCCAGCATCACAGAGTCAAGCTTTTTTTTAAATGTTTTTAAAATTGTTCTTCCCCCAGCCACCCTTATTAGCAACCTGTTCCAGTTGTTATTTACCCTCTCGGCAAAGAGGGAAAGTAAGTAACTTCTGGGTGTCTGTCCTGAGATTGCCCTTTACAACTCTCCCATTTGTTCTACTGTCCTGAAATATCGTTCTGGGTTTACTTTCTTCAATCCCATTTAAATTGTTTGAGATGGCAAAAGAAATTGAATGTTGGAATTTTGAAGTAAAAACCGCTGGAATTGCACAACTGGTCAACCACCATCTCAAAGATGTACTAGTAATAATAATGCTTGCATTTAATATAGTGCTTCATCACGTCTTTGAGACGTCTCAAAGCTCTTCAAAGAATACACTGTAAAGTGAATTAACTGTATATTTTGTGGGCGAAATATGGCTGACAATTGCTCACAGCAGTGTCCCACAAACAGTCGTGGATGTACTATGATTTTTATCCGTAAATGTTGCCTCATTTAGTTGGACCGGTGAAAAGGCTTCAGTCAACCAGATTTTCAATTATGTTGAATTGCTTGACAGTGCTTTGCAGAAATATTTATCACTGGTTGGCCTTATCAACATCCATAATTTAAATCCAACTCAAAGGTTTTTCTGAGCTTTTTACTTCAGCTGCTCACAGGCACCAGTTGCCGTGTGTAAGATTTGCTGTGGTTGGCATTCCAGCTAAGAATTGTGATCATTCCTCAGGGCAGAGTGCATTGACCACATCCAACTAACATTCCTCCACAAATTTCCTGTCACTAAGTGGCTTGTATCATGTAACTTCACAGCTTGCTTTTCTTGCTGCTTTGTTTACAAGCTGCCAAAACATTAAAACCATCAGATGCTGCGTGTGTAAATTTCTTTTTAACTTTTTCAGCTTTCAGCTGGTTTATTTGACCTTTTTAAGCAGTCAGCGAGCAGCATTATTGTCTAGTATTTCACCGTATTGTGTGACACTCATCTTATTCACAGCAACACTTTATTTGTAGATCAGGCACAATGCAAAGACATTGTAATCCATAAAGGCATATTCCAGGAACCAAGGTTGATGAAACATCAGTGTTTCGGATTATGCGAAGCCTTAACTTCTGACTGGTTGAATTTATTATTAAGCGGGTACTCACCCAGACAGGACCTGCAGAATCTTAGAAAGAGTAGGAGCTTCAGCAACTTAAAAACGTTAGCTGTTTACACTGAACAGTTTACAGTTTATAGTTTGCAGTGATATTTCCTGATAAATGTCCACTTTTGTATACATTGTATATAAATATTTGCAATTACTATACTATTACACAATAGTTTACAGTACATAAACAATCTTTACAGCCCTCCAAAGCTATATAAGCTATATGCAAGTTGTTGTTTATAAATTCATGGATTTATACTTTTAACAATAAATTAAGCAGACAGAAAGCTTAAGGTTTGCTTTTATCATTCAGCAGACATCTTGCTGGTAACTAACTTGTTGTAATGCATTAGATGCATTACAGTAAGTTAGTTATTTGCGATACCTTACAGCTCTTGCTTTTGTACAAAGTTCAGTTCTTTCCATATTCTTGATAAGAAATGTTATGCACCAGTAAGGAGTAGTAATGAGGCATTGCATTCCAATTAGCTTGGATGCCAACATTATTTTAATTGCCTCAGGTTAAAATATTTAGATGTCTTCAAAACCAGTTGTTCCTTTCATCATATGATCTTTTAGATTTATTTTTAAAAAATCCATTTCAACTAAAAAAAATCCAAGAAAAAATAATTCATCAAGATAGTCGATGTAAATCATTTAGGTTACAGTTCAAAGCAGGTTTCTTCCCTGAAAGTGGAGAAGATGGATTGATCTCCAGGTATTGTTTTGTATAGCTTCTAAAATGTTTTCCGACCTTTTACTTAGACACAAAAACCCAAATCAATTGTGTGTCAAAACAAAGGTGCTCTTGACACAAATGATTGCTACAGACCCGGGTACTGTTTGCTCCTTCTTCTGACCTTGGCCGGGTTGCTAAGCACTTGCTCTGTGCTCATTTCCTCTCGAAAGAATGAGGAATATTTTCCTTTCCCCTTATTTTGGCTAGAGAAAATGACTAGTGCTAAAAGCCCCAGTAGAGCAAACATCGCAAAAAGGTTTCCTTACTCTGTACTGTCTTTAGGGGCTATTTTTTTTTTAAAAATTCCCGTCGGTAGAGTCCTTATTTTTAAATTCAGACTATTTTAACTTCTTTTTCAAATCAAACACTTGCTCGGTCATGATCAAACTCAATTTCATCCTGGATCTGGTACAGTCCAACATGACTGGACCTTCTGTATGTACAGTATTGCAGACCACATTTTTACACAAACTAGTTCAAGCTGAGTAACGATTTCAGGGATGGTATTGATTCATTCACTTGTTGGCACAACTTCACAGAGCAAAATACATTTGTTTGATTAGGGGATGTAATGTAGTATTTACACTGGTGAATTAAGGTTCAAGTTTGGGCATATTATTGGAGTGGATTAGGAATGTTTCATGCTAACAGTAAATGACCAAAGTGCAAAAACTAGTCCTCAGGACCATGATTCCTGATCTTGAAACTAAATACAGCTTAATTAATTTTCCCTTAATCTCTTAAGAATTGCTTCAAATGTCCTAATTGTGTTTTTTGTGGGTTTGCTGTTGCAGAAAACTTACTAATATGGCATTTACGGGTATGAATCCATTTCCAATGCGGCTGATCCAGAATCGAAGAGCCTTCCATCTGGAGAAAGTGCGCTTGGAACTGAGAGAACTAGAGGCCATCCGCCAAGACTTCCTCCGCGAACGTGAAACAGCAAATCCCGAGAAGAGGGATGCAATTAGTGACGATGACGAGGACACTTAAAAACATCGTCTCTCTCTGTCTCTCTCTCTCTCTCTCTGTCTCTCCGTCTCTCTCTTGAATATTTAGTTTTTCCTTTACAGAAGTAAAAGCATTATGGAATTCCTGAACTTTACTGTAAAACTGCCTGGGGAACTAGATGGTAGGGACTTTCAGTACCAGGCATACCCATTGAATTTTCTTGCCACTATTGGAAAATGCTTCCCCAATTCTTGACTGACCTGATAGCTTGTCTTGAAGAGAAGGAAATCCAGATATAAGTTGCTCACCCTACTTACAAATGCACCTCACATTTTGGATGATATGAGCAGAACTGTCACCAATTGTAGGTCAAGAAGCCATCGAGCAATCTAAGATCACGAAAGCTATTTTGGATGGTTCTTTCTAAGAGTATAGTAAAACGTATATTTCCATTAAGAAATATGCTGGATATATTTCCCTGTTGTGGCACATGTTAGTGGGGGGGGGGGGGGAGGAAGTGGGGAGTGTGTATAATTAATGTTCAAACTTATGGAACAAATATTCAGGTGCACTTGCAATATGTAGACATTTTTAGACGTTTTGCTATTAATGCACATATGTCTTTGCGATGACAATGTAGCCCGTTCCGGTTTGTCAATCATATGGGATCATTTACAAATGCTGATTAGTAGCAGTATTATCTCAAGATCTTGTCTGGTATGATTTTTAAGTCGTATCCATTCACTTTCATTATTTTACTTGTGTTTTGCATATCAGTATTTTGTGGGGAAGCGGGCTTCCTTAAGGACCAAAAATGTCAGGGTTTTTTTGTCTTGAGAACTGTTGAAATCTGCTTGTGATTTTCATTTTGGGCACTTATTTTCTGAACGAAATTGATGAGGAAAAGAAAGAGAGAAAAGAAAGTGGTTAACTCCTATTATTTAGCTATCCATCAAGTCACTACAACATTAGTATATTTTGATAAGTTTAGTGATATAAGGTGTTTCTCTTAAAATATTGACCAGAAGTACATTTTGCACATTTCTAGCTCTGCGGCAATGCATTATTTAGTCAGTACTTTAACACTTTTTTTTAAAAAATACAATGATTCACCTCTTTCCTCCCTACCACCACCATAATCACCATCACCACCGCCCCCAAACAACTGATCTATTCACAGGAATTATCCCCTTTTTATAATGCCATATGCCATTTGTCACCTTTATGATGCACCGTTTCCATCATATGCTGTCTTTGAAAATAATTACAATTCATAACATATTTATGACAGTAGAATTTGAAACAATTGTGGGTCTGAAGGACATCTTGTGAAGATCGAAACCGGAGTTTTTAAAACTTGTTTCCTCGTTTAATTTTGTACCCGTGTCTTTCAAATTACATCACACCATCATTTCTACACACAGTCCATCCCAATAATATTTTTAGCACGATTCCCAGTTCACTACAGCTCCAGGGAAGGGCAAAATCTGCCACATTTTTGATAAATAGAAGGAAAGTGGATTTTTTTCTTTGAAGTGAGATCAAATTTCAAAATGCAACTTTGCTTTTATATTTGCAGCTCAGTTTGACAGGAACAGGGCTGTTCAGTTTAACGTTTTTCTGCATTCAGTGGAACCTGAATCGCCTCCAATATGGGAGGGACTTTCATGCAAGTTACTGAGTGCATCGTGAAGACATTTTTCAGAAGTGTACAGTTTACCGTACATAGCCCTGAAAGGGTGTAACACAATTGGTTCTACAAGTTGTATTACTGCACTTTGCAATCTGAAATGTATAATTTGCAAATTTTGATAAGTAAATGATAAGGAAGGATCTCCTGTATTTCCTAAATATCAGTGTAGCTCCATCAATGAATGTATGTCCAGTATCTAAACGTCATTGTTGGATCAGTTATTGACAATATTATCTGCACAAGCTGTTACTTTGTTTCATAAATACATGGGATCAGCGCCTAAAGAAAGTGGAAAAAGAATGTTTTGTTCATGCTCAATGTTAACTTTTATTTTTGTTACATTTAGACATTAGCATTTGCAATTCTTATTGCCACACTCTTGTTTTGTGTAAGTTTTCTTCTGTGAATCGTAACGTAAGATGTTGATGTGTCATTCTAAAAATTAAATTACTTTGGCACAACAAAAACAAATGCCTCCTGGGAGTATTTTTTTTTGTAAATATGGTATATTGGCGCTAAGGGCTATAATTTCCATCTTCAACCTTGATTGTGGCCTTGTGACTCTACACAAAGGTTTCTCAAATGTTTTATTTAAATAAAACTGTATGTGTTATTTGCAAATGCTTCTATTTACTCAAACCTTTCCCCACATGTCTCAGGCAGTTTGCTAAATATTGATATTTGTGTTATACTATAAATATTTAATGGATAACAGCAATGAATAAAGTACATTCATATTTTCAATGATGCAAGGTTTTTCTAGGCCTTGTGAGTTTTGACCTATTTCAAGGGCTGAAGTTCTTTTTGTTAAGAATTAGTATTGTTGCAATCCCTTACAGTGATATTTTCCAGTATTAAGTATACTGGAAAATTTCTATTAACCATCTTAGGGACAATACTACAATGATCACATGAGAACTATTAGCCACCAATTGAAAACAAACAATCATTGTTGGATTGTGGAGTCCTGTAGCTCAGTGGTGAGAGCACTCGCTTTGCAAGTGAGATGACGTAGGTTTGATTCCTGGGCAGGGCGAAACATTGGGCAACTTTCCTTGCTCCACACACCTCTGTTTACCTAGCAGTAAGTAAGAACCTGGTTGTAAGTTGACTGACGGATCTCTTTTCCTGGAGCATACAATTCCCTTAAAATATTTTTAAACAATAATTTGATCATTCAATCCATGACTGTTCATGGGACACGGCTGAGCGCAAATGGCTGCTGCTTTCACTCACAGTATATTCTGTGAAGCACTTTGATATGTTTCGAAGACATAATAAAGCAAGGATTATATTAATTATTGTTGTTCCAAAAGTATTTTTTAAAAATCCATATTTGCAATAAATTTGTATACCTGGCAATGGAATGCTACCAGTGTAATATCCTACAAGTGTTACACTTTTAGGTATCATTTAGAAATGGTATTTGCTAATATAAGTTTGCATAGTAAATACTATTTCTCAATAGATCAGAAGTTCAAAGCTCAATTCTGAAGTGCTGTATTTAACAACCAGATGAGAATCACAAATTAATATTTTCAATGTACCATTGAATTTAATTGTTAAACACAACCCGGCATTTAAAGGCTAAGCTTTAGAAAAACAACACAGCTGGTCAAATGAGTTTACAGTGCTTTATATACCAATGTAGAGGTGTTGTGATTGAAAATCGTTGAAATTTTATGCAGTAATTATAACCATTTGTGAGAACAAACACTTTGATGGCTTTGATTTAACTTGTGTGAATTTTTTTTAATATGTTGTAAAGTACAAAGAAAAAATGATTTGTGGCTGTCCTTTCCAGTGGTAATTCATTAATTACATGGCACCATAAAATATCAGAGTGAAGCTTTTGGGCTTTACAACTGAGTGAAGAGGAGCTTAATTGCCAAAAACGTATTGTAAAAATAAGTTGTTTTAAACTCACTTTGTTGTTGCTGTTCATTACTGAACAATTAGAATCCTATCGTTTGTGTAATGGTTTGTCAGTGCAGCACGTTATACAGTACCATTTTAATAGTTTATTCCTTTAGATGGCGATAAAGGGAACAACTTGATGTCTGATTAGTTGAGTATTACATAATATTTAAAAAATGCTTCTGTTGGAAATAATGCTTATATTTAAATGTCAAAACATTTTAAAGCTAACTGCTGTCAAATGTATGAATCAAATGTATTTCTGTATGGAATTGCGAGAAGTTCATGTAGAATTCACCTAAAACCGAGTCCTCCAAACAGCCATAAAGTGAACTTTATTTGCAGAACTGAAAACCAGATAGTATCATGGTATCTTAACAACAAATCAACCAGGCAGAGAGGACCTCAGTTTGACATCTAGTAAGAAGAAGAATACAAAAAATAGCAATGGAGCCCTGGAAAATCAGCCTGAATGTTGAGCTCAAGTACCCCTGGAAACCTTTGATCCCCAGGTTTCCATACAACTTTGAATGTTTTGGTAACTAATGCATCATTATTATTAATCTATAGCAATAAGGACATGTGTACCTACAAGGAAAAACCCACTCCGTCCTCTTTCAGCTCTTAATTATAGTCCTATTTGTGTTTGAAAGCCTGATGTACCTTGAATTCTGACATCACAAGCATTCTATAGTAGATAATGAAGCATTTGAACTAGGGCAAGGTCACACACGAACCTCTGTGTGTGTGTGTGAGAGGAGGGAGCAGTAACTAAAGTTGGTCTCAGTATCTCTGATAGGAAAGAGATGAATTAGTCTGGGTTCCTTATTTGTCATGAAACTGACTCATGGAAATATTGGTTCAACCTAAGTTTGTGACTCACATTGGCAACATGTTACAATTTGGGTTGTGGTCCATAAATTGAAATACTGTCCCTGCTGTAAGAAGCTGCACAGAAATAGTTTATATGTGTGTGGGTGCGGAAAGATGGGCAGGGGTAGAAAACTTTCAAGTGTAAAGCTTATGGCAAATTGAGGGACAATTCGACTCTCTGTACTGCTGTCCATTTCTATTATTCTTGAGAAGTTGGTCGATATAAAGCAGATGTGTCAGAACCACATGGAAACCCCAGTTCTGATCATTTCTGACATTTGACTTTTAAGCTGAGATTCTTCTCAACTTCTCAGTAGATGCATTCATATGTATTTAATGAATTTTGTGCTTCCACTGGCCTTCACTGGTACCCCATCAATCGCTAGTGCAGCTGTGGTTTTCTTCACTTGACCATTTTTTTCTTTTATAATAGTTTTCTCTTCTACATGTAATGAAAATATATGTCTCCTGAATTACAATACTATTTTCTATGTATGGGTATGCAAGCTAGTGAACAAATCTATTTTCGTATGAAACTGACCAATAAATTTAACCTTTGCCACTGCTAACAGACTCCATCTGAAGTTTTGGGTTATTTTTTCTTCTTTTTGTTGACAAGCATGCAAAAGAAAACAGGTTCAGCCATGGCATAGTTTCCCATTTGCTGGTATTCACGCTCAAGTGTAGATATGCAGCAACACTGTTTGCTTAAAGCTCTGAGCTCTTTTGTTTTAATTTCTGTTTCCTTAATGTTTATCACCACATTTTTCACATCTTCTGCAGTGCTTTCTGTCAACTTTAGTAGTCCTTACAAACTTTAAATAGTCCTACTGTAATATAATTTCAAGTGCTCCGAGACACTACCCTGCATGAAAGTTGCTATATATAAATGCAAAGTTGTTGTGGTAATATTTGAGGACATTTTATCTAAACTAGCTTTTGATAATTTGGACTTGGAACTCAATCCAAGTCTGGAGGTTACACTTCACTGCTGTCTCCATCAGCTGAATATCAGACTGATCTTTTTTAATTTATCCAAATGAAAAAAAATCCATCATAGACCCAGCTATTAGCACACAGACCATCAAAGGTTTACATGTTAGTTTGGGGCTGACAATTTACAAATTCAGATTAGTTTTTTCACATTTATTTTGATAATTTCGTTGCCAATACTCCAGGCAGAGGGAGCTTCTGAAGAATACAAAGGAGAAAATGTAGTTTTTATCAGTTTCACTTTTTCATAATTTGTTGAATCACATTCATTCAAGAGTTCATCAAATCGCAATGATATAATTATGAGCAGCTCCCTGTCCTAGATGCATCAAATGGACATTTATGGAATTGCATTGTAAAAAGAGTACCATCCTATCATTTCATGTACGTGAATGAATTCTGTAGCGTGAGATAGCAGAATTTTGTTGCTGCAGTTATGCTACCAAGTTGGGCAATGATTTGATGGGATTTCCAAACTTTTTGTATTTTAACCAAGAATCAATATTGCTTTTAAAATGTTCTTTGTTTAGTGAAACTCTGCTCATGTGGTTTGATGCACATTCACAGAGCACTGCCTCGGTTATCTAAAATTGGCAGTATAGCTGAAGTCTGTACTCTTGCGACACTCCACTGGGAATCTGCCTACTCTTCCAACATTCATCACACTTTGTGTGAACTCCAGAACTTTGATATTGGCGAAGCAAAGGTTTGAGATGGCCTTAAGATAAAGATACCCAATGCATCCCTCAGAATGGATCAACTGTACCCCCTAGTTACTCTGAGGCAAGATAAGTTCTGTAAAGCTTTATTGAATGAATGAGTCACTAAACACTGGGGAATTTCTAACTGACTAGAAATTAGTAAATAAGGTAGCTGTATCACTTTTTTGCAACCTCTCAGTGGATACAAGCATTAGGTGTTGACATGTACATAAATTAGTAAGTTACCACAAGGAAAAGGAGGAGAGGGGTAGCTGGACAGAGCTCAGTTGAATTGGTGGGGGGTTTATTGAATGGAGTGCCTCAAAGATCTGATTTGGGACCCCCTTGAGCTTCAAATATATGTAAATTTGCCTGGATTTACGCATTGAGTGTAAGGTCAAATCAGTTGAGATCAGATCCCAGATGTCATTCTTAACTTGTCGAATGCTCTGGTCAGGTCACACTTGGATTGCTGCGTACAACTCTCATGTAATATGAAGGTTTCCCCCCAGACCCTTGTGAACTGCTCAGAAGAACAATGAGGCTAATGTCCACTATTAGGAGACTGTGGCTTTAAGCGGTGTTTGGACACGATAGGTCTCTTGTTCCTAAGCCTTAAAAGGCATTGCGAGGGGCGGCTTTATGTTAATATATAAAATATTTAACAGGATAGAGAAAGGAAACCCTAAACAATACTTTCAGATATGGCTGGACAATAGGTCAGAGGTTTATGTTTGTGAAGGGGAGTTTTGGACATCGCTAGGAAGTGTTGCTTTACACGGCGGTAACTAACAGCTGAAACGGATTACTTGTGGTTAAAGGCAGTCGGTGGACCCAATTAAGAAAATTAAGTAATGTTACAAATAGGAACATGATAGGGTTGATATTCTGGGAGGATGAAATCAAATGGGTCAAAAGGAGGCTTCTTCATTCCAAACCTCTCCTGTGATTCGTATTATGGTCCTTACTTTCCCTGAGTTTATACATACATACATATATACATATATATACATGCCCTTTCATCACAGATCTTTTCCTTCCTAATTGAATCCCATTCATTCCTGGTTGCTAAGTGTGCAGGGGAAGTTTAAGCAGACTGTTATTGCAATGGTGTCAGTGGAAAGTTTTATCTGTGCGCTGTCCGAAATAGTTCTGAAACTCGATCATTGAATAAAGAACAGCTTGTGCGGCTGAGGTTAATTTTACTGTACTTGTTTGCTTTGCTCGAGGAGGGCAGTGAATAGGGTCGTGTAGGACTTTGCCCTCGGCTATTTCTTTGCGTCTTTGCAAATCTCTCAGTATTTATGTTTGTAAGTAAAATCCGAAAGTGGAGAAAATCTTTCTCTTTTCACGCACTCTGCTAACCTGTATTACATGTATTAACATTATCCTTCAAACACAGATTAAACAGCTTTCTTTTAGGAAATAATGTTATGGGATATAGTACACAGGTAGTTTGGGACATAAGTGGACGTGACTGCCAAGAAGGGGGAAGGCCAACCAGATGGACTTTAATAATAATAATAATGATCCTTGCATTTGACTTAGCGCCTTATCACGGCTTCGAGACGTCTCAACGCGTCTTCGGGGAATATACTGTCAGGTGAATTTCGCGGGCGAAAGGCTTGGACTTTTTTTTATATATATATATTGGTCTGGTATTTTCCAGCGTTTCTGACTGCTCTTAAATTGCAGTGGTGCAAATATGACAGAGCGGCGCTCACGGGGAGAGAGACTTGACATGTCATGTCAATTAGAGGACTCCCTCCCTATCCCGCCCACACACTGACACCACAGCCTCTGCAGCCGACACACACACACACAGACAGACAGACACACACACAGAGAGACAGTCACACACAGAGACAGACAGACACACACACAGACAGACAGTCACACACAGAGACAGACAGACACACACACAGAGAGACAGTCACACACACACACACAGACAGTCACACACAGACAGTCACACAGAGAGACAGTCACACAGACAGACAGTCACACACACACAGACAGTCACACACACAGAGACAGACACACAGAGAGAGAGACAGTCACACACACAGACACACACACAGAGACAGACACACACACACACACAGTCACACACAGAGACAGTCACACACACACACACCCCGGAGACAGTCACACACACACACCCCCGGAGACAGTCACACACACACACACCCCCGGAGACAGTCACACACACACACCCCCGGAGACAGTCACACACCCACAGCGCAGCTCTGGAGTAAGTACAAGTCGCCCTTTCTCCGCCTCTCTCTTCCTTCGCTGCTTCAGTGGAACCCGAGTGGGTTCTCGGCGTCTGAACCGTGTGGCGTCTCTGTTTGTTTACGGGTCCCCGAAGCTGATCATCGGATCAGATGGACCGGAGAGCCTTCGAGTTGGAAGTTAAAGCCACCAACTTCTTCCTTCCCTGAGCGTTAGTTAGTCAGTGATCTGAGCTCCGGCACTAACCGACTAACCCCATCATAGCGTTAACTAACTGCCCGACTGGTGTGTGTTGTGGCTCTCCTTCACGATGTGTTTTTTCCGCCTCTGAGCCTTTACAGAATGTCTTTTTCTCCCGCAAATTGAGGGGGTAACTGTCGCAGTGGTGGTCTTATCTGATGTGTGTGTGTATTTCGTGACAAAGTCACTCAAAGTGACTTATTTATAAAGTAATTACAGTAAAAAATGTTGTGATTCCCACTTGTGTCTCCTGTGGTGAAGACTCTGAGGTCCCTTATGATTAAGGGCTGTTAATAATAATAATAATAATAATAATCCTTGCATTTGATATAGCGCTTTTCACGTCGGGAGGACGTCCCAAAGCGCTTCGCAGAACGCACTGTAAAGTGAATTGACCGTATATTTGTGGGCGAACGCGGCAGCCAATGGCGCACAGCAATGTCCCACAAATGATTGAAAATGACCAATTTATTATCGTTTTGTTTTGGAGGGATTATTATGAGGCTCTGTGTGGAGTAAGGAAACTTGGACAGGACAGAAGTTTGGAACTTTTTAGAGAGTCTGTTGGGGAGCGGGATGATTCCCAGTTTTGTTCAGAGCAAGACCTGCCAAGCAAAAGGGCTGATGATTGCTTCGTAACGCAGTACTCTCACCAACTTTAAGTTGGAGCTGGAAAGTATCTCTCTTTTAATCTCAGCTCACCTTAATCCTGTGAGCACTGGTACAGGTATGGGAGCAAATGATGGAAGGGTTTGGTTTGGGAGGGGAGGGGAGGGCGGGGAGCACAAGAACTGAATAATTCAGTCCAGCCCAGTCTTGTCTTGTCCATCTGTTTCTTTTTCAAGCTTTTCTCTTTTTTTCTTTGCCGCGTTTAAGGTTCAGAGGTTAGTTTTTATTCTTTTAGTACTTTACAATTACCTGGTTGGTTGGGGGGGTGGGGGGGGGGGGGTGCATGCCTTTTTTTCCCCCATTCAGGCTTTTGTTCCTATGACAGAGGGGAAGGTATGTATCACATTAATTGTACTCACTTTTAAGGACAATATAAAAAAAATTATCCTGCATTTCTGGCTAACCAGGTTCATCTTTTGGGTGAACAAGAGTCTTGATTCTATTTGGCAATCCACAGATTATATCAACAACAACAACAAGATGACATTTGTATAGCGCCTTTCACGTCGGGAGGACGTCCCAAGGCACTGGACAGAGTACATTATTTCAGACCCGAGCTGGGGTTGGGGGGGTAAGGGAGGGGAGGGGGTGGCTGATGGCACGATCAAAGAGGAGGGTCTTGAGGCGGGACTTGAAGAAGGCTAAGGAGGGAGCGAGGCGGAGTAACTGGGGGATGGAATTCCAGAGGTTGGTGGCAGAGTGGCTGAAGGCTCTTCCGCCAGTGAGGACCAGGATCTTGAACTGGATCCTCTGAAGGACAGGGAGCCAGTGGAGTCGGGCGAGAGTGGGGGAGATGGGGTCACGGAGTTTGGTGCGGGAGAGGACATGGGCTGCAGAGTTCTGGATTATCTGCAGCCTGTGTAGGGAGGAGTTGGGAAGGCCGACAAGCAGGGCGTTTGCATAGTTGAGCCTGGAAGTGATGAAGGCATGAACAAGAGTTTCAGCGGCCTGAGAGGTGAGGTAATGGCAGCTTCTCAATGGCAACTGCAGGGCAAGGTGAATCTCTTCCTAAGGAGGTTATTCTTTAAAGAATTAATTTTCTGACAAAAGATTTACATTGTGGCACACAGCATCATGTACAAAGGATTCCCCCATCTGGCCTGTGATGTAGCTGTGGCACATGACTCACAGGCACATATTGAAATCAACGCCATAAGCAAAAAGTCTATTTTGTAAACATAAATCTAACTGAAGCTAACTTTAGCCATAGTGATGGCAAAATATATACAGGTGTGTCGGAGATAAGAGCGTATTTGTATTATTCAAAACTTAGAACTCTTAGAATTCAAAACTCTTCTGTGTAACAACTCACACAGAAGAATATCTCAAAGTGCCAACAGAATTTTACAATTGACTGAATGATTTGAAGAAAGGAGCCTTTAGGTAACTTAAAACAGGAGTGAGGTAGCCTGAAATAGCTTGGGAAGTGAACTTCAGACATTGAGGTATGCTGGTTGGAGGCTTGGTCTCTGATAGTGGAGTGTGGGAGGAAGAAAATATTTCAAAGGGGTGGAGCAAGGGATGGAATCTATAGGACCCAGAGGAGCTATGCGCTGGAAGGGTGTGAAAGTAAGGCTAAGACTCTTGAACCGGATCCAGTGAGACACAGGAAACCATTCAAGTTTGGCAAAAGTAGAGGTGATGGGAGATCAAGACATTGTGCAGAACAGGATTTGGAGGCTAAGTCTCAATGGATGGAGCTAGGAAGGCCAGTGAGGAGATCATGGTTTGGGGTTTTCTGCCACAGCTGTTGTAGTGGTGAAGTGGGGCATTAAGAGGTAACTTAGCACCACTTTCAGCCAGGTGCAGATCATTGGTCCATCTAGCTTACTTATTCAAGTTTCCAAAAGATTCCATAGGTGAAGGAAGGTGTTTCTGGCAGTAAATTCGATGTGTGGTTCGAAATGTTTCATGTGGGAAGCTAATTGAGTGTTACCTTTTCCAAAACATTGTCTTGTATTGATTGATGCTGGTAGGAAACCACTTGCTGGTTAATGTCACAAACACTGCCCACTGTAGTGTTGCCATTTACCACAGCTGTATTTCCATTTTCCACTGGAAACAATTTCATAAATGCATTGGGAAAAGGTGTAGGCCATCTGGCCCACTTGAGTCTACTCTCTTGTTTTGGTTAGCTGGGTGTTTGACACACACTTAAGCCCATCACCAATGCACCTCAGGCACTGGCAGCATCAGCACCCAAGGATGCAGGCTCCAGTCAGGAACCTGGGCATCTTGTTTGACCCTCAACTGTCCTTTCTCTCCCATATCCATGCCATGACCCACTTTCCTTCCCCCACCTCCTTCCCCCATTGCCCAACTCCATCACTGCCTCACCCCACAGGCCACCGAAACCCTCATACATGCATTTGTCACTTCAAGGCTCGACTACGTAAACTCCCTCCTTGTCGGCCTCCCCAACTCTTCCCTCCACAAGCTGCCTGCAAATTATCCAGATCTCTGCAGCTCATATCCTCTCCCGCACCGGGCTCCGTGACCCCATTGCTCCCACCCTCGCTCAGCTCCATTGGCTCCCCATCTCTCAGAGGATAGAATTCAAAATCCTTGTCTTCACTTTCAAAGCCCTCCATGGCCTTGCCTCCTCCTACACCTCTGACCTGCTGACTCACTATCAACTTGTCCATCCCTCCGCTCAGCAGGCTCCGGGCTGCTCCGTAACTCCAGCCTGAGCTGCCCTACCATCTGCGGTCGGGCTTTCAGCCTCTCTGCCCCCACCATTTGGAACTCCGTCCCACAATCCCTTCTCTTTGCTCCCTTCCTTGCCTCCTTCAAGGCACTCAAGACCCTCCTTTTTGACTGTGCCTTCAGCCACCCTCCTACCTTACTGCCCTCCCTCATCCCAACCTTATCCCCCCACACTCAGGTCCCGCTGACTGTTCAGCGCCTTGTGACGTCCTCCCAATGTAAAACTCGCTTTACAAATGTAATTTTGTGGTTGTTAAGAGTATCCAAGTCAAACTACTAAGAGTGTGGAAAATTCCTTTTTTTGACACACCCAGGTGGGAGCACCCTCCTCACCTAGTCCTCCCACAAAGTGTTAGACACAGGTTGGAATGTTTTAGAAATGATGAACGTGAGGACTTAAAATGTGCACTTGGGTACTGCTGGTCTTTAACCAGCTAAACCCATGAAGTTTGCCATTATAAACACTGTCTGGCAAGCTTCTCGCTGCTTGTCCAGCTAGGACCACCCTACCCATTAAGGGCTGTGACTTACAAGTAGGAAGAATTCCTGCCCCCATTGTAATTTTATTAGTTTTTTAGCAGCTCTTCTGAATTTCTTTTGAAGGAAGGCAGTTGTGAGGCAGTTATACTTTGAAAATCTACCTTTTAAAGAGGCATCGTTGGACTGAATAGCAAGCTTTGGAGCACTATTTATAAACACAGTTTAAGATCTCACCTCCCACGAACAGATCAAGACTAACTTGTATACTGACGTAGCCAACTCGTTGTACGTGTTTAGCAAGGTCACACACTCTTGTGCCAAATCCTCTTTTGAATTTCACCACAGTCTGGATTGAGAGCTTGCTTCATTGAAGGTGGAATGAATACCAGTTATCTTTGCAGCAACTCAGGGATCACCAGATGAAATATGGCTCGTGAAGGATCTTAATTTTGCAGACACAAGCAATATAGCATAACAAAATAACACAGTCCTTACTAACTTGACTCTGACAGCAATCCTAGCAAACCACCCTTTATTGTGTTTATATTGTTTCTTAGGCTGAACAGCTCTTATGAACAAGTCCACAGACCCCCCTTACACATGGTGCTGTTGGCTAAAGACACTTAACCAACCTCTTAGTTGGACAGACTATAGTCAGGCAGACAATTTATACTAAAATGCATATTCCAACATCAGTCAAGAGATAATAATAATTCTTGGATCTCATACAGCGCCACACACTTATCTGTCAGGTGATCAAGCTAATGTTGATATATTTAAATATTAGGGTGCATCATCAGAGATGGGGGAACTTCCTACAGGTGACAAGAAGCTGAAATGGAGAAAAACCTAAACAATTACAGAATTAACAGTCAATGCATCAAAGTTGCAGTAGATGAAAAGGACACCAGAATAGAAAGGCACAAATAGCTACAACCTCATCTCCCAGAGATCCCTTACGAGTGGGTTTGGCGGCATTGATGCAGTGGAATGTTTTATTATGATAATGCGATGTTGCTAAAATTGCAACAATCCCCCTTTATTGTGTTTATATTGGATCAAGTCCTCAACTGGCACCACTTGATGCAGTGAGATGACTGGCCTTGTCTCAATCCTACCTTCTATAGTTCTTGTAATTGGTGCTCTTACTGTAAAGGTGGAGTTTACATCATCCAGGACATCATCGAGTATGCAGTGCTGGTCTGGGCATCACCATAGAATTGTGTTTTTCCAGCTGTACAAAGAACTTGTGTTACTGAATCTTTGGCTGTGTATGATTTATTTTTCTGACGGGCATTTTGTTTAAGGAACAAAAGAGTCCCACATGGCCCCACAGTCGACAGCAGAGCACTGTGTGAATAAAGGCAGTATAGCTCGCGTTAATTCAGGAAGTCAGTAGTTGACATCCTTTGTGGGCAGCATTGGGACTGATCGATACCATGTCCAAATGTGCATTAAATCATATATGTAGCAGCAGTATTTGGTGGATATAAATTCTGAACAAAGCGAGGTGCATAGGAGGGAACAAAATGAAAAGGATTTATTTTACTTTGCAATTTTTTTTGTCTCTGGAATTTCTCTCCTTGATTTCATTTCATTAGTGTGAGTCCATCAGAGTACAAGCTGCAGCATTGGCAGTCGGTCCATATTTCATTTGTGAAACACAGTCTTCATGTTCCCATTGGGAAGGCAGTCCCTTCAAATCAGGTCATTGCACTTTCAGCAGACATAAGCACTCCACTGTGGGAACAGTGTGGTGCCTGTAGAACTGTTTTTCTTTTTGTATAAGTTGGCAAAGTAATTAGTTATGGAATAGAATTATTTATTAACAAAATTGCTACACTATTGCAATGTTTTCATACTATCTTATTCTGCGTTTAATTCTTGACAATACTGAGGAAAATGTTTGAAATTACACAGTGTATTTTTTTAAATGCTTGTTTCCTTGCCTTAAGAAAATGCAATATATTGGTGAGTTTTGGATAGTTTCCAATTGTTTCAGTAAAAAAATTTGGATTAAAATTCCTGATCAAACACATTTGTCACTGTCAATTAAATTGTTTCAGTAAACTATTTGCAAGTGTATAGTAGTAGATTTTTGTGGGGGTTTTATGAAAAAAAGGTAGAGCTCTGTGTATTTATGCTTAAAACATACACGTGCCGCTCTATCCATCAGCCTGTGAAATTTTTAAATATTAAACAAGAATCGATTTTCTGTCTGCTCTTGTTGGAAGCTTCAAAGTGATTCAGTGGACCACCTGCGTGTTCTCTAACTTGAATTTTAAAATTTCAAAAGTTGACTTCACTCCAGTTACGTGATATACTCCAGCTATTTTGTGAGACAACCTCCTTGAAACCCAACACCAAATTTTCAGCTAATGCTCGGTTGGGATGTATTTGTACTGTACTGCGCAACAATACTTGCTTTTGAAACTGCTTGATAGTTAGATGTCATACAGGTTAAACGACTTATCCATGTGTAACTGTTCAAAATATTTATGCATTTCATTATCAGTTTCTATTTTGTTCCATAGTTTCCAGCTAGTAAAGCAGCTCGAGGAGCTAGCAAAGATACGTTAGGTAAGTACAGGAGAATCTGTATAAATCGTATATTCGCTTAAATTATAAATAAGATCAAATACCGTTCAAGAGTTAATTTCTATGCTGTTTAACTTTGCATAAATCATATTAAATGTATGGTCCCAACTGATATGACTTATGTGAGGTTTTTCTGTAGATTGTTGCACTACGAAAGTGAAGACCAGATTAAGAATGTTGCCTCTCTTCAGCTTCAGTTTTTGTTGAGTTATGAAATTCTACTGTTTTTCAAAGGTTATTGCTACGATACTTACTAAAGTTGTCCAGTGATGATGTGTGACTTAACTTTAAAAGAACAAGTATTAATTTAGTAGAAAGTAGAGATTTGAACTGTATACAATACCAAATGTAGTTTAATTTAGCATTTGTTTTTACATTTTTCTTTTAATTGTTCAGCGATATTGGCTTTATTTATATATTAAACATGTTACACAGGCGCCTGTTGCAGTACACTGGAAATGGATTTTGAAAGTTTTCCCTTGAACATTTTCGTTTGATGATCTGAATGAGGATCTCTGGCATGGCTACCTTTAAGCAACAGAAAGTGGAGGATTTTTATGAAATTGGAGAAGAACTGGGAAGGTGAGAGCTTCTGACAGGAATGTTATACATTGACACTGCGAGTGCATTTGTACCAAATGTATCCTGGCAGCTGCATGTTCATGCTTGCTGTTTGGAAATTCCTTGAAAACCAATTATGAAAGGAAGATGTCTGTTCAGTCCTCAATTTCCAAATAACACTCTGTGTAAACCACCATTAAATAAACAGGAAGGTCGTATTGTAATTGTTTCCCATCCCCTCTCCTGGTCTCCCTCTATACTTCTTGAGTGAGGTGGCAGGCAGGCCACCACCTGCATACTCCATGGTTTTAATTGTATGTAATGCAGACTTGTAACCGATCACTGAATGGTGTTTAGGGAGAGCGCATCTCGCAACAATCGATTAAACCACAATAGGTTAAAAAGGAGTGCACTGTGTCCTCCAGGATATGCTTTCCTTATTGGTCAATACAGGAGACTAGCCCAGGTCTTATAAAACTAATCGATTTGGAAGTGGAGTGGCAAGTGGGGGAATAATGCCAATAGAATGAACATTTCTGCTGGTATTTTCTCTCCCTATTCCAAAATGAGTTTTTTCAAAGAATAAATTAGTACCAGTATCTCAGATTTGCTGGAAGCTGACAGTTCAGTTGATTTAAAGTGCTATATCGATGCGAGTTTTGTTGTTGTTAGACTCTTGCAATAACTTAAGGAGTTTCCATTGGTTAAGTAATGCAAGTTTCAGAATGGTTGATTTAGATCGACTTTGGAGCTGTTGGTTGGTCTTGTGAGGAACATGCTTGTTTACTCATACAACTCCATGTCTAACCTAGATGGTTGCTTTTTGAGGAGTAAAAGGATTCTGAACTATTTTCCTGTTAAGCTCAAACATGCTTTGATCTAAGGAGCCTCAGAACCTCCTCTTTTTAAAATGGGTTTCAGATGCCCAGTAAGAAATTTGATTAGATTTAAAATGACGATAAAATGAAAGAAAAAAATCTTTCCTGTGGATACCAAAATGAGTTTATCAGAAGTTCATTAAAATACAACGTTTGACTATAATTTATAACAGATGTGGGTTGGCTGTCAAGCTTTGACTTGGGATTCATAAAGAGCTATGTTTTGCCCACCCATTGTTAATTTAAAATCTGACACCAGACCTTTTTGATCAGTATAAAACCAATTCCCCCTCTCTGTGGCTTTAACTATTGATTGTCTGGAGAAATTCTGACCTTATAATTTTTAAAAGCATTCAAAGTCAGTATAACGTTATATGGAAGTATTTGAAAAATGAACATAAGTCTCCCCGTTCGTGATATTACGCATAACTGGGCTGCAACTGATTATTCATTCCATATTCCTCTGCAGTCCTGATGCTTATATAACTTAATTGTTAAGAAAATGTTTCATGGTTTAAAAACTGTTGATTTAAAAAGTCATGTTTATTTTAGACAAATAAATATCTAGTGTTATTTTGCACAGCCATTTCCACTTGAGGCACAGAGTAAAAGGTACAAGGAAGGGTTCCAGTATATTGTTTTCAGTAGTGACTGTCATGAACAGTGTTGAAAGTATGCAGTAGTAAGTTGTAAAATGTTTAGGACTTCGATGTTGTACAATGGAATTTTCCTGCAGTAATGCCTCATTGAGAACATGCAAATATGGTATTTACCATCATTGCCGGATGTCTGTTAATCTCAAATCATTTGTGACTTTAAATTTGTTCTTTTGTGTCTTAAGGATGATCGGTCCACTACAATTTCTGTCTCTACGCTTTCTCTGATAGATCCATGCATTTTTCTCCATTCCTACAGAGTTGCTTTGACTGCACTTCTCCTGATTTACGTTTTGTCTATCTGCTTTGAGCGGTATCACTGGAACCCCTTGGAAGATGCTCAAAACTCTGCTGTATGCACAAGGAGCTTGATGTTGCCAAAGCCTTTTTTTAACTCATCTGATTGCCTGCAGAGTTTTTTCCTTCTTGCTTCTCTCCTGAAAGTTGTAATATAGGAGAGAAGAAAATTGTGTGTGTTGGGGTGGGCGAGGGGGTACGGGGGTGGAGAAGAGATAAATGACCCAAATGTACCAATGGTTGACAATTACTTTATTTGCTTCTCTTTAATACCCTCACAGAAGTCCATTCCAATCTATCTGAAGCTATGGAAACACCCTGGTGTCAGATTCGTTGACATATGCCCAAAAAAGGCACTAAAAGTGAACAATAATGACCTTAGTACTGTCGCAATACGTGAATGCTGGTTGGAAAGAGGCTACCACAAAGTGGTGGTTTTGTTGCATTCATGGATTTCATCAGTGTAAGAAACCTCTTTCTGTTTAAAGTACAAAATGCTTTGAAATTGGTTGCTTAAAATTTCAATAGCAAACTGTAGTCCTAATTATTCAAACATTTATGTAGTAAGAATGTGTCCCAACTGTCTGTGGTGTTTAGTTGTCTGAAAAACAATATGCTGAATGCAAAGCAGTCTCTTTAGAGGAAGCAACTGAGTCTTAAAGGCCTTGTTTGGTTTCCTTTTTGTTTAGTGTGGTTGACACATGACCATTTTAAGACAATATGCTTTTTATTGATCTATATGGAATCTGGTGAATAAAGATCTTTGTGACAGTTGCGCTCATCGATGAGACATGGAACTATTATGTTGGTTAAAGATATGCATCTAACTGGGAATGCTTTAGTACGTGTGATTATTTTGAGGTAATATTGAAGGAATGCTACATTTGCCTGTGCTTGGAAGGGAAGGAACTTATGAATACTACTTAATGTTCACTATGGTGGGGATTTGTGCACTCAAAGTGAGAGTAGGATCAAGTTAGGTTTGTTTTGTTATTCTATTATTGGTCTTTATGGAGATAAACCCAAGAGAAAATCATGATTTTCAAATAATAGTAAAGATTATACATGGTGGCACATGACTTGTTATATATTTCATATTTCTATGTGATTTGTGGGAAATCCTAATAGTTTAATATTGGCAATTTTAAAGTTTACCTTTGAGTTATCTCTTCTCAGAAAAAAAGAACTTTCATTTAATAGTGTCTTATTAATGTCAGTATCTCAGAACTCTGTGGAGTCTTGTAGCATATTGGTTAGAGCGTTCCCCTCGCAAGCGAGAGGATAACAAACAAGAATTTTAAGACTCACTTGTTTCCTCTGAAGAGGACAGGACAGGGTGAAACCTTAGGCAAGTTTCCTTACTCCACACACCTCAGTTTACCTTGCAATAAGTAAGAACACGGTTTTTTTAGTCGATATTTTACTAAAATATGAATGGAGGAGATCATTGTTCTGGAAAAGGAACAAAGTTGAGAAAAAATTGAGCTCTGAGGAAGGCCTAAATTAATTAGGGTGGGGGGAAATCTGAACATTAACTAACTGCATGGGGTGATTTCAGAGAAAACTAGATGGGGATGAACATAAGTTTAGTGCAGGATCATTCTGCCTTGTCGATCTTTTATTTGATACTGCACAATATTTGGACTGAAGCCTGATTGTGTGGAATATTGTTTACAGTTCCAGGACACTCAGGTGCTGTATTAGAAAGCGTGCTGTAATGGCTGTACAAAGTGTGCGGAATTTGATATTACACTAATCCAAATGGTGACCTACAGGTATGAACCTTCAGTTCAATATTCTAGGATGTGTTGGATTAAGAGCATTGTTGCCACTGAAAAGTTGCAGGATGTTTTTTTGCGCTGGCTGAAACAAAAAACCAAAACCAAAAAACAAAAAATCATCTTTGAGTCTGTGATTTTACTGCTGGATTTTTAAATTAAAATTAAGACGGCTTTTCAAGATCTCAGTTTTTCAAATGCGTGTACTGCAGTAGTGGGTTGCATTGTGTTTTTAATATAAGGAACCCGTTTTGAAGCTGTGGTTTCACTGGATACTGACACTATTTTAACAAATAAACCATGTGCCAAGAGGTCTGATTGTTGCTAATACTTTGAAGATATCGAAAGCATGAAAGAGCCAGCTTCTTTCTTACATTATATACACTGTATCTAAATCTACACATGAGGGAAAGGGAATAGAGCGGTTTGAGAGGGAGTAAGGAAACGGTGAGACTCGTGGGGTATAAATAAACAGGGTGGGCTGAATGCCCTGTTTCCGAGCTCTAAATTCCATGTAAACCAGAACCTTAAAAGGTTTAGCATTTAATTTATATGTTGTTTTGGTGCAGTCTATAAATAATGCCACATCAATGGTATATGTAGGGAAGCTACTTCACCCAACCTTGATAGAAGCTCTTTTAATGATGGAACAGGAACTTGAAGTTCATTAAGATAACCTCCTTTAATAAATGTAGTCCCCTGGGAGGTTTAGATTGAACAGTATATGGAAACCTCTGAGCTAGTTAGCTGTATGTGCAAAGATAACTGTCAATTTACTGACTGAACTGGAAGCATCACCATTAACGAGAAAGTTAAATATAGAACATGCTCTGGTGTTTTCAGTTTGCAGCTGTTCATAAGCTAAGCACACGAGAGAGAAGTGTAGATATCCCAGGACAACTGACATATCTTTGCAGACAGGAATGTTTCTCTGTTCCAAACAATCTGTTTTATCATACTGTTGAGAGCAGGTGTTTGAAAGCCAAGTTTAAGTTTACTGATCAGCGGACGATATTGAAAGCCTATCAGAATACAAAACTGCCATGTTCAACATAGTTTGCATTCAAGGAGAATCTTGTTTTCAGTCTCTGAAGTAAGGGTCTTAACTTTTTTTATTTTTAGAAACCCTTTCATGTGGAATTGAATGGATTTGCTATCATTAAAGCAGGAGATGACCATGTAGGGAATTAATGCCAATTGACACAATTAAATAATAATAATAATAATAATCCTTGCATTTGATATAGCGCTTTTCACGTCTTCTAGACATCCCAAAGCGCTTCACAGAATATACTGTAAAGTGAATTGACTGTACATTTGTGGGCGAACACGGCAGCCAATTGCGCACAGCAATGTCCCACAAACAGTCGTGGATTGAAAATGACCAATTTTTATTATTGTTTTGTTTTTTTGGAGGGATTATTATTAGGCTCTGTGTGGAGTAAGGAAACTCGCCCAAGGTTTTGCCCTCTGCCTGGATTGAACTCAGGTCTCTCACTTGCAGAACGAGTTCTGCATTACTTCTTCCTGCATTACTTCTTCCTTCCCCCTCTCGTATTACTAAGGATAGCAGTAACAAAGGATATAATGAGATTCAATACTGGATAGTGAACATTTCTCAATTAGAAAAAAAAGCAGATATGTGGTCATTGGCCGTTACAGATGGGGGTGGGTGGGGGGATTATACATGACGTGCATCAATAGTACTAGCATTTCGAATCGATGTACTTACAAGATAGCAAAGCAAACAGATTAGAATTTACTCCAAGATAGTGGTTAACCTCTGTTCTTGTGACGTGTTGTTGACCTACATCTAAAATTGTTGGGTATAAATGTTGCCTTCTCACAATATTGTTAATGTTTTCCAATCTAAACTATGGGCCTTATCTTGAGATCACTGAAACTGGATAAATGGGAAAGGGGAGGGAGCTGTGTGTGCATTAATCTGTGTTCGGTGTGAACAGTATTAGCATTTGTCTTAAGCAACTTACGTAAATGCACTATATCAATGTATTTGTTTAATTCATGTTCCTGTCAAATCTGTCACTGCAATTTACAGTGAAATCTTGTGAAGTGCTTTAAGACATCTTACCAATGTAAAAGGTGCTATATCAAATACAGGGATTATTATGAATGCAGCTAATTGCTGCAGTTATTCTTTGAGAATACTAAATTTGTAGAAATGTTTTAATCTTGAAAACACAATTGGTCCTTTTTATGGTGGTTTGTGTTGGATTATTTGAATGTAGAGAATCAATTTCGCAAAGAAATGGCATTGGATGCACACCTGGCAGCCGAATAATGAAACACTTTGTGTGGTATTTGATTGTAAAAAAAAATGTCAGTGGCCTTTTTACTTTTAAAAGAAACACAAGTGTGGGGTTGCCACGCCTCAGCCAGCAGCGTACCATAATTTTCTTGTAAAAATGTCAGAATATCTCCTGTGTGAAGAGTTTAAAGATATTGTGTTGTGCTGTCAAATACTGGGAATGGCTCTAGGGGTGGGGAAGGTTGGTAGAAGTCAGTAAGGGATGTTCATGAGTGCTTTCTATTTGTGTGACATTACTATGCACTATGTATTACTTTTTAGTTATAGTCTCAATGTTACACAATGTGAATTATGCAACACTGAAGCTAACCATAGCCTCAGACGGATGCTAGCAGAGAATACAACATGTAAGGATGAATGGATAGGAAACTGAACTAGGAACCTGAAGAGAAATGAGAATTTAGGTAAGGTTGTGGTTAACTATTTGCTCTTGTGCCACGGAGTCACTGCCTTTATCAAAAGCTGTGAAAAGAGAGAATTTGCCTGCTTGCTGCAGATATCTAGAGAGTTTGAACTAATGGGTATATTCCAGACCACAGTGTTCAATGTACCTCAAACAGGGCACAAGCAATAAGATACCGGAATAATTTGGGCAATAGTTTGTATCCTGACAAAATTGTTTTGAACGTTGAGTGACATCAGGAACTTGCTGGGAGGACGTATGGAGCCTAACAACAATGTGGGAACAGAATCATGTGCGCAGTTGAAATGATGGATCTCTGTAACATCCCAGGTTAATTATTATTTCGCTTGAAATGTTAATTGGCTTCCCTCCCACTCTCAGGCTCCTCCCAACCAGCGTCCTGAGTTGATGATTACATATTAACCGATGACAACTTGACTTCCTCACACACTCGAGTTCATAACTCCTCTTGAGTTGGTGATGATTTGAGCTTTCATTGTTCGAATAAAAATGTTCAAGAACAACCCAAGAAGACCGAAAAAGGGAACTTTAACCCTTAGACAAATTCTGTTGGTTCTGCATGTTTTCAACTCCCACACTGTGATATGGGATATTGAGAGAAAGAGTATGAATATTACAGCAGTAGAAATACACACTTTCAATAAATGTATTAGTGTAAATAACTAAAATGCACAGTTTTAAATGAAGAGATATTTTAAGAAAATATTCTTGTTCGGTATTTCTTTCATTCTGTTTGTGCTTTTTGTTATTCCCTACCTCAATTTTGCCCTTTAGCTGATTTATTTTTCTATCTGTCATTTACCTTATGCATTTCAGTGCCTGCTGTCGTTAGAAAGGTGGGAATGCTTGTTTTTTCAAAACTCTTCTTAGTTTTCAATAGCTGGGATTTTAAGGATAACTGAGGTTTCTGCATGTATCAGATTCAAAGTCACAAAAATAATGTTTTCTAAAGGCAGTTCCGATGATGAGATTCCCCATTTTGTGTTTCTTAGATGCTTTCCAGCGGTAATAATCTCTCCAAATAAAACAAAATTTGGTCAATCAATCCACGGCTGTTTGTGGGACACTGCTGTGTGCAATTGTCGGCCACATTTCACCCACAAAATACACAGTCATTTTACTTTATAAATGGTCTATGAAGCGCTTTGAGACGTCACAACGATGTGATGAGGTGCTAGATCAAATGCAAGGATTATTATGATGTAAAAAATTGTCTGACTGAAATGTATTGTATTTATTTAAAAAAACAATATCTCTAATTCTGAAAAAACTAAAGAAAAAACTGAACTGTATTTTTCTCATATTGGGATCAGTTTTCCACGAGTGTTTCTCTCTATTTAATATAGTGGCCAGTTTGCTATCGTGAAGAAATGTTGTGAGAAAAGCTCTGTGACCGAGTATGCAGGAAAGTTTATTAAGAAAAGACAACTTCGTGCCAGTCGAAGGGGAGTGAGACGAGAGGAAATTGAACGGGAGGTGAATATCCTACAGCAGATCCAACACCCGAATATTATCACCTTACATGATGTCTATGAAAACAGAACAGATGTTGTACTCATTCTAGAACTGTAAGTAAGAGGATTTCCTTTTGCTATCTATCTGTGGGATAAAAAGTTACAAGAACAGGAAGGGTAGTACTTAATTAAGATGAAAATGAGTTGCTAAAATGGAGGTCGCTAATCAACAAGAATTTTTGAATCATTCCTCAAGGCTAAAGAACTAGGCCTTAAATGTTACTCAGAATTATAGTTGAAATATATAAATGTTCATTCAAACTTCAAATACAAATGAGCACCTCTAACGTTTAGTATCGGATAAATTGCCTGAGGACATTGTCCCTTTTTCATAAAAGAGTTTCACTTCAAGAAAGCATAAAATAAGAAAATGCTACTTGAATGCCTCTTCCTTCCATTCACAGATTATTTACCATTGAATCCTCTCACTGTTTACCAAGGGTTTAAATCTCCTGAACAAAAAATTGTATTACAATTTCCCAGAAAATAAACAAAGCTGTATTCCAGATGTTTATCACAACCTGCATTTATATCCGGATCATTGAAGAATCTTGATCTCCCCTATTCCATTGTGCATCACATTTTTGTTTTGCAATTTACACTTTATTTCCTTGTTATTGCAGTAATCCAAGCACTAGTCTCTCTTCTACATCCAATCACCGTTTTACGCTTTAAAATAATTACGATGGCCTTTTTCTTTTTTCAGACTTTGTTAACTTTTTGTCTGCAAGTATTATTGCTGTTTCAGTAGTATTTTTTGCATTTTCTGATTCTGAGCTAGGAAGCATCTAATTTGTACTATATTTCTAGCCATAGATGGCTATTTTCCAATCTTTAAACTTCAATTGATGCTGGCAGAATCTGCAATGAATGTCAGGATTATTTTTCCACTGCATATTGGATTTGCGTGGTTTCCAGAAGCTGGGCACTTAATCTAGACACAAATATATTCATTCACTCCAGACAGTACATGCTAATGTACTTGAAAGGAAGTAGAAAAATAGGAAGTTAAGTGGTTAATTTTGACCAAAAGGAAAGGGTTACAGAGAGAAAAGGAAGTGAAATAAAGAGAATTCAAAAGAGTACAAACAGTGGACTTTTTTTTAAAAGTACCCAAGAGTCTAGACAGAGCAGCTTGCAATGACCTTTCTCGATGTGTTTTTACGTTATTAAAAAAACAGATTCGATAATAGCTTTCAAAGGGCAATTGGATATGTACTTGACAAGGAAAAATTTGCAGGGCTATGGGATAAGAGCGGTGGAGAGGGACTTGTTGGATATCCCTTTCAAAGAGCTGACACAGGCACAATGGGTCGAATAGCCTCCTTGTTTGCTGTAAGATTATTTGATTATATTACATTTAAATGGGTGCAAAAAGGTTCTTTTCCCAACTCCTATATTGATCGGATAGAGTACAAATCACAATTCGTGCACATTTGGTGGATTTAAGTTCTAAGCTCCAGTTATCTTCATATTAATACTTATAATCTATACTAAATGCACAATTTATAATTGACTCTTTTGTGGTAGTATTGATGGTTGAATATCTCAAGGATTTGAATCACTTTTAAGCCCCAGCTACCAAAGTATTCTTGTATTTTGATTAATGTTCCAACAAATCGCGCATTCAGGCAGGAATATCAGCAAATGTGAATGTTTTTCTGCTTGGATGAAATTTAGTGTTCTGTAATGTATCTAAGCCCAGATAAAATCAGCAACTTTGTGTTGGTGGCAGGTATCTTAACCAGTAATAGCTTCCTTAATAGTTTTTCTGTACCTAGAGAAAACAATGAATGGAATGTTATTATCTATTTCTCTTGAACCAAAATAAGCGACATTCCAGTAGCTTTCTGTCATTTGTTCAATTTAACACATCTTTATATATGTGCTGAAACGTCAGGGATGCTTAGCAGGAAGAGCTGTGATATTGTAGTCTGTTACTACACTATATATAGCAGTGTTTTGAGACTGAGAATACACTGTGGGATTTGGAATGAGAACAATGAGAACTTTTCATAGATTGTCCAACATCTTCAACTGAACAACAGTGAAATCATATTTTATTTATCTTTTATGCGGAGACTAAAGATTTAGGATTTTTTTTGACAAGAAGCAACACAATGGGGTGATTCTTCCCACACAGTAAACGTGCCAGCCTTGGGAGGGATGAGTGTACCTAATGCAGTTGATGGCTGTTCAATTCACGAAACATAGTATTGGGAGCTTTTAATGGAATTTTTCAGAATTAATTCACACCCCTGCAACTGCTAAAATTTATCAACAATAAGGAGAATTGCACCTGTGTATCAAAGAGCAAATGGTTTACACACCAATGCTGCCATTTCTGATTAGAAATGATAGGAACATGCATGAATCGTTCTGTCCTGACCAATAAATATTTTTCCTGCCCTCTTTTGCTCCCATTGTTCCAGATGAGAATTCATGTAGTCGATTTCCATCTGGGACTCCATTCAGCAAACAACAGCTGAAAGGTTCTGACATTGCTGCCAGAAGGGAGAAGCTTGTGTACTTTCTAATGTTATAACAAAACTCAGATTAAGCTACACCAGAAAACTGTTAAACTAATTTTTCGAGTTGTCGACCTTCATTCTCTGTGCAAATTTTTTTTTTACAAAAGGAACAATCGTCTCGTACACTGCTTTTTAAATCAAATGATTCTGCTTCTGTCTGTGAGTCCTGATTAATCTCTCTAATCGTGCCAAGTATTTTTTGTGTGACTTGGACAACAGAACATGTTTTAGAAAGTATTTTCTGTTTCTAGACGTGATGTGGCATGTATTGGGTGTTTTAGCTTTTTTTTAAGTTTAACTTAAGTGATGCAAAGCTGTGAAGACAGTTAAGGATTTATTTTTTATACTCTTGTCTATTTAAGTTATTAGCTTGTAAATTGACGAAGAGTGAAGAGTTTTTTATTTACATGTTAGTACCGTGGTTGTAGCTTTCAGTTGATGTCTTTTTTTTTAACAGATTTCAGTAAAGCCTTTATTATTTTTGTGGTTTTACTGTATTGCCACCGACTGTGAATAGAGTACTTCTAAATCCCTTCCGAGTTCAATATGTTGTTGGAATATATCATTAAGCAATAAGGGTTGGTCCAGGTGTACCATAAGGGAAAAAATCAGATTGGCCACCTACCTCCTACCCTCCCTGCCCTCCACCTTCTCTAATCCCAACCCCCAGCTCGGGTCCAAATCCTTGGGATGTCCTCCTGATGTGCAAGGGCCTATACAAACATATATTTTGTATTGTATCACTTACTCATCCAAAATGGAAGGAAGTTTTTCACAGTATCCGAGCCAACAACAACAACAACAAGATTCCATTTATAGAGCACCTTTCACGTCGGGAGGACACATTGAAAGAATTAAAATTACATATTTATTATACATCAGCCATTGAAATCTGACTTCCCCCTCCTTTTTTCCAAATTGAAAGGTACGAGCTGCACATTAACCTTGTAATTGTAAAAAGCAGAGATTGTGTAGGTCTGTCAAGGTTCAACTGGGTAAACACAAGTCACTGGTAAGTTATGTGACATTAAATTCAGCTGTCAATGGATCTGAGCAAGCTCAGTCACTGGGGAAAGTGACTACACAATAAAGCACTGTTGTTTGAAAAGCAACCCATGTAAATTATTGCTGAGAGAGATATCTGTCCAAACACTAATTTTATGCCAAATAACCAGTTAGGCTAAATCCTCTTGCAATAATTACCAATTGAAAGCCGCTGCAGTAATCCCAATTGAAGGAAGAGGAAGTATTCTTGTAAAGTTAAATGAAGAAATGCCACTGCAGTTTTTGTTGATCTAGTGTTTCTTGTTCTTTGGTTAAAAACGTTCTGATAATTTGTTTCAATATGATACGCTTTTATTGATCCATTATTTCCTTTTATACATTTAAACTCAGTGAAATTTCCTACTGTTCAACCTTGTTTTCCGCCCCAGAAACTCCCCAAAGTCCTGACCGCCACCCCAGTAAAATGGCCCAGGACTTGAACCTAATGCCATCTACATCAGGAATTGTCTACTGCAGTATATTCAGAAGATGTTCTTACCCAAGTCATTGATCTTATCCAAGTTACAGATGGGATTCCACTGGTATCTGGAATGTGTGCAGCCCGGACAGTACTTATTTAGCCTCCATACATCATGATTTGGGAATCCTTGATGTACTAGCCAGTAGTGTGGATTATTAGTTGGGGACATTAAAATGGCTGTGCCTGATTTTTCTGTCCGTTTTTTAAAGCACACTTTTGTACACATGGCTGAGCAAATGTCAGCATTTTCAGAAGTAACTAAAGTATTGGATTGATTGCTCGATTTATTGTTTTGAATGTTGTTTAAGAAACCGGAAAGGGGAGAATGTAAGGGGAAAAGTTCAGGATGTCAGAGGCTACAGATCACAATGTACGTTTCTCTGCTTATTTTCAAAGGAAAACAGACGTTTAATCGTAATCTACGTTGTTGAACGATTACTGAATCTTTAGTTCCCACATTTGCACACTTAAATGTAACCTAAACTATAAGTTAAAATTTGTTTTGACTTTTAATCAGATGGATTGCTATTTAAGAGGTCTTTCAGAACATCCTCCTATGAAATATGTACTAAATTGTGCTTTTTCGGTGAGGCAATTTTTGAAAAGGCTGTCTGGTTTGTGGGAAGTGGGAAAATACTTGATTCTGGTGTGTGAACATTAAACATTCTCGATGTTTTGTACTGAACATGTGAAATGTACTATACTACGGTACTACTGAGACTTTGCACTCAGTGGAATCACCCAAATGAATCCCTAATTGTATCTCCCAGAACAATCATCATCAGTCCACTATTGTTTGTGTTTATAGGGCTGTGTTTTTTTTTCTTGCAGTGTGACCGGAGGAGAACTCTTTGACTTTCTGGCACAGAAAGAATCTTTGAGTGAGGAAGAGGCAACGGCATTTATTAAGCAAATCCTAGATGGTGTGAACTACCTCCATTCGAAGAACATTGCACATTTTGATCTCAAGGTAGAATCTTCTTTTGTCTTACATTTCCTAGGTAAGGTCTGTGAATAGCATGTGTCCTCAAAATCTTTTATCAAATTGCCCGAATGTTTGTGTGCTATATGAAAAATCGGCCTATTCTATCTGTATAGGTAACCATGGGAAGAGAATTAAACATCAGTGTCTAAAGGAATTTGCATTCTATTCCAACTTATGGAAATAACTTATTGTGAACTGCATAACATTTTGATTAAATGTTGCTAGTCTCCAATGGTCATCGCCTATGTGGTTGGATAAGCAAAAAACAGCCAAATAAATACAAACAATAGTAGGCCGGTGGTCATTATTCTCTAATCTAACCACTAATATGTGATTATTAGTGAAAGCAATGGCACATTTTGTGTTGTCAATTTAGGGTATGTAGCATGGAACAGATGTGATCCAGCTCTTAGTACAGTTTTCAAAGTACATATGTGGGTTGAATTACAATCAGATGTTATTTACTGAGTATTGCATTGAGCTTTTTCTGGGGTTCGGGGTGTTTACCAAGTGAACTGATCATCAAAATTGGTAATGTTGTCTATTTTTTTAACGACAATAATATAATTTCATTTTTTAAAGAAAAAAACTATAGAACTTGTATTCTATTGAGAGGGAACTTTTAATTGAAATAATTAGGTTCAGATGATTCTAGAAAAGCTACTATATCAAGTTAAAATTAATCTTTCTTAAAAAAAATCTAGGAATCAATAAATTCAGACATACAACACAATCCATTCATCATCTGCAAATTGCACCTTTTTAACCCTTCGCATGTCAGTCTAATAAAACAAATGTATGTGTGCATCCACCCAAATTATTTTTTNCCCTGGTCTGACATTTTCTTTTAATCAATCTTTATGTATTATGTATTTTTAGCCAGAAAACATTATGCTTCTAGACAAGGTACCTGTGCCACACATCAAGCTGATCGACTTTGGTCTCGCTCACAGAATTGAAGATGGAGTAGAATTTAAAAATATATTTGGAACACCTGAATTTGTTGGTGGGTATTTAAAATGCTGTTACTGCATTTCATTACTTCACTTCTAGATTGAGTGGATCACAAATCAAACTTGTTTCATACGGAAATGGTTAAATATTTAGTTAAGTACTGACAAAATTAGTTTTCACCTGCCTTTTTATGTTAAGCTCACACGCAGGTAATTTTGGGTTGTATTTGTCTTGTGCTTATGATACTCCAGTGAATTAAAGAAGATAATGTATTTTAAATGATCAATATTTAAATTGTTAAATTTCACCGACAAATATTCAGCCAATTCAATGTACAGTATATGCTGTGAGGCATTTTGAGATGTGAAAAGCTCTATATCAAATGCAAGAATTATTAATATTTCAGCTCCAGAAATCGTGAATTATGAACCTCTTGGTCTACCAGCAGATATGTGGTAAGCATACACAAAACACTTCAACAAATCTTTCGAGGCAAAAGTAGGAAGATTCATTAGATTTTACAACTAGTTTTGTCAGATCAATGTTAATAGGTAATCTTTACTCATCTGAAAGAAAGCTAAAGCTCTTGAAATCCATACTTTTTTTGAAATCCAAGTAATAAAATTAACTTATTTTTGTTAATTTTTTTGTATTTAAACACTTTAAGAAGTGATATCTGTTTCTACCAAACGCCTTCCTGAGTAATGCAGAAAAATGAAACGATCCAAAGTTTAGAATTAAACAATTTAATTTTGCCTATGATCTATGATAGTTAGTTAATTGTCTCGTTAAACTAAAGCACTATTGGAAAATAAGATTCAACATTTGATGAAACAGTAACAGTAAATATAGTTACAAATGTAAATCATGCATTAACTTTAATACTTTATTTTGCAGGAGCATAGGTGTTATTACCTACATATTGTAAGTATGTACAAAAGATAGTGTAAATCTAGCAACATTTAAAAACAATCTTCAATGAATTATTAGAGCTCTGATTTCATAACCTTTTAATGTATTAATAGGTTAAGTGGGGCTTCCCCTTTCCTGGGAGAATCCAAACAGGAAACCCTCACAAACATCACTGCAATGAATTATGACCTTGATGAAGAATTCTTCAGCCACACCAGTGAACTGGCAAAGGACTTCATTAAAAAATTGTTGGTGAAAGATACTAGGTGAGAATTATACTTAGAAACCTTTAAGTATTGATACTCCTTTGTTACTTTCAAGAAAGGTTTATTTTTGGTTAGCATGTTTGATGTATGTGAAAACCCATCACCATGCTTAATATTGTATGTCTGGGAAAACCATCCTACAGTAAGCGAGACAAAGTTTCTCTATGGTGATAAAACAATGTTTTACTTCATTGCATTCATTATTGACTTATTTAATGAATGAGATTTTAAGATGGTCTGTTTGTAAACCTGTTTTGTTTATTATTTTAGGAAAAGATTAAACATTAAACAAGCTCTTTCCCACCCATGGATAACGGTAAGTTATAACCTTTGCCTACAAATGAATTACATTTGTTTTTGTGAAGCATGTGACAATTGTTGTTTGAGATTGCATGCATATTGACAAGCAATTGCAATGATCTTTTATTTGAAGACTTAACATTGTGCCACCTGAAAAGATAGTTTGTTGCCTTTTAAGTATTCCCTGCCTTTTTATGAGGAAAATAAGTACTTTTATTGTCAATATGCTTTGGTGTTCCTTTAACTGAGTTTGAAATATAATTATAGCATTTCAGATGGGGAGAAACAAAGTGCTACATTGTGAGCCGGAGCATGGCTTCACAATGATTGTATCATATGTATGTAGCTTGAACTAAGGCCAAAGCTACACTGGAGCCTGGTATAGTTTTGTTTTTAAAAGAAATGGAAGTGAAAGTTGCAACATAGCTGTATTTGCTTTTGTCACGGAGTCCTGTAGCTCAGTGGTTAGAGCACTCGCCCCGCAAGCGAGAGATCTGGGTTTGATTCCTGGCAGGGCGAAATCTTGGGCAAGTTTCCTTACTCTACCCACCTGATAGTAATCCCTCAAGAAAAAAAAACTAATAAATTGGTCACTTCAATCCACAACTGTTTGTGGGCCACTGCTGTGAGCAATTAGCTGCCTCATTTCACCCATAAATATACAGTCAATTCACTTTGCAGTCTATTCTGTGAAGCGCCTTGAGACGTCTAGAAGACATGAAAAGCGCTATATCAAATGCAAGGATTATTGTTATTTATTATTATAACTGTTTGTTCTGTCGGGGTTACATTTAGTTTGTTACCTGTCTTAAATGATTTGTATATTTCCATTTTAAAATTCAACTTGAAACAAATATGCTCTAACGTTATCAGATTAAAACTCAGCACTTTATTGCTTCAGTGCTAATGTGAATGCTGTGCAATCTTGGTGTATCTATTTTTATGTGAAGTGCACAACATGCTAGAAGATTATCAATGCCATTTCCTTTCTGCTGAAGGGACTGAGTAAACAATCTAACGGCACTGTTTTGCATGTCCATAGCAAATGTTTGCAATATTGTTTCATGTGCATCCCATTCCACAGCTCTTAGATGAAAGACTTACATGGAGTACACCTAACCGTGCAACTAACTATGCAATGGTTGTGAAACACTGGAATGCTAAATTTCGTGTCTGTTGCTGTGGTGTGGATTTGTGCCACCTTGTGTGCAGCCTAGCCATTTGCAGTTTTAATGTCAATAATGTCGAACTCTTCTGTCTCGTTCACTGAAGTCTCATGAAAAGGAGGAACAGGAAACCTCAGAAAGCAAGAAACAGGAACGCAGGAGGCTGAAAACCAAGCGATTGAAAGAATACACCATTAAGTCTCACTCCAGCATGCCGCCAAATAACACCTACGTTAATTTTGAAAGATTTGCCAAGGTGGTGGAGGACCTCTCTGTGATGGAGACCACTTTCAGCGGATTGGCTTCAGCCCATGATTCTCTTCAAGAAGACATTGACGCACTGATCTCTATTTATAACGAAAAGGAATCCTGGTACAAGGAAGAGAATGAAAGTGTGAGGCATGATCTGTCACAGATCAGATATGAATACCGTAAAGCTGAGTCTAGGAAGAAGCAGCTTCAAGATGAAATTAAGAGCGTCAACAGTACCCTGAACGCAGTCAGTGGAAAGTACGATGAGCTAAAATCCCATTTTGAGAGTCTGAATCAAGAGATTTCAGATGAACTTAAATGGGTCCAGGATGTAATCCAGTCATTTCAAACTGAGGACACAAGTGAAGGCTATATCAACGAGGACTTTACATCTGTGTTCAATAAAGATCTGAATGAAACTTTGAAGGATTTGTTAAATAGCACATGTAACGGCGAACTTATCGCAAGCATGAAATTAGATATTTCAGAGTCTGGTCGCTAAATTATTTTTTTGGGGGTTGGGGAGGCGGAGTGAGGAGTGGAGACCTTGCCCCTATAAGATTATTTTCATGCATGGTATTGGATTTATTGTTCAACTGAAATAGTATACTATTTACTCTTGCACTTCAAGAAAATGTTTTTGCGTTTTACAACATCTTTTTTATTTTTAAATTAGTAAATTGATATCTGACAGCATGTAGGGGTCTCAATGACTCAGGAATCAGTTATATTAATTTGACTAAAATTAGGTTTACAGAATACAAACCAAATGAGAATACATCCATATTTTGTAGCAGATTGAACGTAAATAGTTGGTGTGTTTTGGGAACTTCAAATAATAACTTCAAAGAATCCTGCTTCTGCAACAATCAAAACTGAAAAGGTTTTATGCTTACAGTAAACTCCTGATAACTCAACCCTGGATTAACTTGTTATGACTACTTCAGTCATCATGCTGTCAATATCCCGACCGCATTTGTTTATGCATTTATACATATATGCCTAACTCTCCACTTCGGGTAACTCGTCACTGAGCCCTTTTCCCTTGGAGTGATGAGTTATCAGGAGTTTACTGTATATTCAGTACATGCAGTAATTGAGAAATGTTCAGAATTGTATTAGTATCAGAAATTGATTCTCTAATTTGTTGCTGTGTTCAACTCTGTGCAATGTTGATTTGTGCTTTGTAAATTAAATGGCATAAGGTATTTATTGGGAGCACCTTAAACGCTACTCTCCTATCCCATTGTTTGAACTCTATTTCTGTGGAGTCTGCTATGGAAGAGAATAAGGCTGTGGCTTTGTCTATGAACCTTGTATATCTTTCCAGGATGTGTTCTATTGATTTATTATAGTTTTGATGAACAGTGTCAAATCCTTTTTGTTTTATTGTATTATCTTCATGTAATTTCCGGTCTATGAGAAGTACTTCAATATTTAAATACAGACAGTAGGTTCATCACCAGCACTCCTATTAAGTTTGGTAAATTTTCAAGTTTCAATCCCTCCAAGAGAGGTGAGGTTGTAACACTCATCCTTAAAAATGTAGAGCCTTGAATGCCAACATTGACACGCAAAATATGGGGAATAGAGTTTAGTATGCTTGAAAAATTCTACAGCTCATTGTTCCACAACTTCTGAATTACCTTCATCAAAAGGTTAACGTTATGCACTTGTTTGTACACCAGGTATCATATGAATGCCAAATAATTTTAACAGTAAATCTGCAATTTGAGTTCGGTCATAACCCACAAAGTAACAAGAGTAACAGTCTGACCTGGTCTGTTTGCTTTCTGTTTGAAATCTTTATGTGAACAGCTCGGAGAATATCCTCCTGATCCGAAAGGAGCTATATAAATGCAAATTGTTGTTGCTTGTTGTTTATACAGTGAATGTCTAAACTAAAATAAATGGAAAAAAGTATCAGCATCACAAAAAATGATTATTCCATGCACACTTCTGCAGTAATGTAATCTGGTATTGCTTAGTCTTACCTCTTGCTTTTTGTGCAGTCAATGATTCTGCATTATGTAGTTGTAAAAATGCAGCACATCAATCAATGGTGATGAATACTCTGTCACTGGAAGACTAGTTAATAGTTTCAACAATGAATAATGTAAGATATTGACTGCATATCAAACAAAGATGCATGTGACAAGAAACTATTCAGTCTCAAGTCTAAATTTAACATTTGTATATTTATTATACGTTTACAACCACATTGCAGTTGATTATTTGCATTTATAGAGCACTTGTAGGGTAATTTTCTATGATTTCAAACATCAAAGTTTGAAACTCAAGGCTGATCTCTGAATGGTTTGGGAAGGCAAAGCATGGAATTCATATGAGACGAATGTAACTCACTGACTGATCAGTCTCCTGCTAGCAATCCATCTCATCACGTGCCTCAGGCAGGTAATTTGATGACTTTTATGCATGAACTAGCTGATTATAAACCTGGAAGCAGCGAGAGGAACACCATTCAGTCGAGGTCAAGATGACCCTTCCCCCATAGTGATTACAATCTCTATATACCTCAAATATAAATGTAGTTTGTGGTTTGTGGAAATGTAGTTTGTGGTGCCTGATAATGTTTAGCATTGTTTGGACATGAAAATTTAGGCGGTTCCAAGACAGTATTGTTGTAAAATGAGTAAATCACTGATTGCATTATTCTTGATACTCTCTTCGGAAAAGTTTACCATTTTGTAATCTTTTGCTCATAGAAACCATTCAAATCAAGTGACACTGAATGCATGCAAGATTAACTTTTTTTACATGACCAATTTCTGCAAACTATACAGCACGGAAAGAGGCCATTCGGCCCCATTAGTCTGTGTTGGTAGTTTAACAGAAGCTGTTTTAGATGACCTTCATTAGTTTTGATACTGTTTCATCTTTGCTGTAGCTAGAGTAACTGGAGCCAGAACAAAATGTTTAACTTACATTTTAACTTTAATGTTAGCAAAGAGGAATGGAGCAATTTTCTTTAATATGTGAAACATCTCACTAGCATTGTCACCAGTATATACAATATATAGTTTGGGACACGACATGTCAAGTGACTGGCAAGATGTTATTCTGTTCTTAGTGAGCAGAGTGCGTATCTATAGAGCAGGTCAGGCAGCATCCATGGAGAGAGAAAAATGCGTTAACCTTTCAGGTCTATGACCTTTCGTCAGAAATGTATGACGGAAGGTCATTGACCTGAATTGTTAACTCATTTTCCTGTCTCCATGGATGCTGCCTGACCTGCTGCATCTTCCCAACGACTTCTGTGTTTAACCAGATTTCCAGCATCTGCAGTACTTTGCCTTTCGTGTATGTATAGCATTGTGTATTCCCTATGTACAGACCAGTGCAAAGCATCCAGCGTAACTTTGTGTTGCTTGCTCCATTGCTCGACTGACTACCCTAAGGCATTTATTGCCAACAATGCAATTGAGATGTAAAGTGAACATGGAAAGCATGCATTATTTAATTAGCCAAAGTGGTTTAGGTGAGCACGTAAGCCAAAACTGGAGAACATTTTCAGCATTTAGTACAGTACAAGGCCGTCATCAGCAAGTTGACATTAAAGATGTTCTTTGGTAATAAATTTGTAATAGTAACTTCATGTTTAGTTAGTTTGTGCCAAAAAGGTGGTTAAAATCATTTCCTTTGAGGAACAGGTTTCAGAGGGCCATTGATGCACTGCCAAAGGGCTCTGACCCTCCAGCACAATTCCATCCTTGTACAGCGTCATAAACAAACTATAAATGGTGGGGCTTTGGGATCAGAACTCTATGATTCTATAGCGGGGGAGTGGGATTGATTTGGATAGCTCGTTTCAAAGAATTGGCGCAGACATGATGGCCCGAATGGCCTCCTTGCATGCTGTATGATTCTATGATTCTATGAGAACTCCGAGCCCCAGCTTTTCAAACTGAATTGCCATAATAATTGAGGGGAATCAAACTCAAGTTAGCTGCTGGCACCAAGCTTAAGATGGGAGATGTCAATTATGAAGAAACCTTTCCAAAGTTTCATATGATATTGAATTTTTCTTAATTTTAAAAAAAGTGTATTTTTTAGGCAGCTTTTTTACTAATGAAATGAATAGCCAAATGTAATGAATGTAAGTGACCCATGACTGTTTTCTTCCAGCCATTTAACAAATGCCAGGCCCTTGTCAGAAGAGAATCTGTTGTGAATTTGGAAAATTTCAGAAAGCTGTATGCACGAAGGAGATGGAGAGTAGGTGAAATTTGATCTTTATTTACTGACAAAGTAGAATTTTTCTTAAATTGTTTTCCTCGACATTTTTGTAGAAGTTTTCTTTGAGACTGATGTAATTTCTTTCAGCTAACGTATCGGATTGTGTCACTGTGCAATCATTTGACTCGTTCGTTCCTCAAGAAAGATTGTCTGAAGAAAGAAGATGCTTCAGTAAGTATCGCATTGGTTCTCAGACCTTTAACATTTGCTGAAAAGACTGGGGGGAAGAGGAGAGAAGAGAGACAGTGAGACTGGATAGTGGTGAACATGAGGGTGAGAGAGGGAGAAGAGAAGAGAGACGAGCCTGAGAGGCAGAAGTGGGAAGAGTGGCAGAGGGGGCGGGGGAGAGGATAAATTAACAAAAAAAACTGAGACTGACAGAGAAAAAATGAGAGACTAAGAGACTGACAGAAAAAAGAGCTGTCACAGTACAGTACCATAATGATAATATTTTCTTGATTGAATGGAAAAATGTTTTGATTAACATTGTATTTTGTATTTTGGTAATAACTTTTTTTTGTTTTGTATTGCCTATTCGCAACAGAGTCAGCCCCAAAGAATAGTCTAGAAATACATGAACTGTGTATTTTTTTCTGCCTCTACCAGTGTTTTCTCACTACCTTTGGTCACGTCACATTAAATAGCTCAGCATTTTCCTGTTATAGAGTGAATACTGATCAGTTATTCATGGGTGCTTTGTGGGACATTGTCGTACACAAATTGGCTGCCGTGTTCGCTCACAAGAATATACACAGTAACTACCATTTTACAGTATATCCTGTGAAGCGTTTTTAGACATCTGACTGACTTAAGGTACTTTATCAACTGCATGTATTATTATTATTTATTATAGATTTTTTTGTAGGAGTTTCATTTAATATATTAGGGGAGAATTCCGCGCTATTCAAAGTAGTATCTGGATCCCTTCATGGCTTTTTGGACATCAGAATGGGCAGATAAGACCCCTTTTTGAGTTTATCATCTGAAGGATGGCACAGCATTTTAAACCGTGCAACACTTTGTCTGTGTGTTGCTCGACAGCTAGTTTAGGAATGTCAGCTGGTGAGGGACTTGAGTCCAAATCATTCTGACCGACGTTTGAGAAATATATATTTCTAATATTGAATCACGCAAGACAAAAGTAACTTTTTTTCTCTTGATGCTTTAGAGAGCGTATGGAAGTGATAACGAAGAAGAGAGCGTTGGAAGGAGAGTGCTAAGACCCAGGAGACGGAGTAGCACATCATAAGGAAACATTGTGACTGTTGCACTGAACTAAGGCAAATGTTTTATGTCTCTTAGAATCAGCAAAAGTCATAATAACAGCAGAAGTGTTTTCCAATGTGTGTGTGTGTATATATGGCCTATCACACAAATTGAGTGTTATTGTTAAAATATGTAGGTATTTAAGATCAATTCTCAATTCTGTTGGCCGATTGTCAACAAGAGTCACTTTTTCCACTGATATCATTCCTGAAGAAAAAGTGTGCAATATGTTTTTAGGAACTATGTATATTCTAGCAGTGTTACTCACTGCCTTTTGTCAGGTCACATGAAATATTCAATCTCAAGGATTATTCTCATGACAACTCCCAACAATGCATCACTAAGTGTTGGAACATTGTTCTGTTTCCGCTTCAGATATAATGTGTTGATATCAGTTGACCTGAGCCAGTTTTGACTAATGACTGGATTTTGCATCCCTGAATTAGTGAGCCAAGGTGCCTATGGCTATCCAGTGACCCTTGCAACATGTTTGTGTGGCCATCAATGAAGGCAGGATAGAGATCTGCTGTGAAGCCCTCACAGACACTCACTGCCTAGACTCGCAGCTGGAAAATGACCATTTGGGTAAGGGATGTTTCCAAGACAAATCTGTGCCTTGTAAAGGGGTAAAACTAAGTTTAATAGCCTTAATGAAGCCATTTTGCTTCTCAGTGATTGCTGCAATAGCCCTGCCTTGTGGAATTCCTTGGCTGAGGAACAATAGATACACAAAGAAGTCACCAATGAACCTTGGCTGTGTCAACATTTCACAGCTGGGCAAGCTGCGAATGGAGGCCAGAGACATAGAGCAGAAATATGCGAAGGTGCAGCAGATGACATCCCACGTTAGATGATCATTCTCTGAGGCCCCCCACCCACCTCTCCACCACCACCTACATTTAATTTGCTCAGGTTCTTAGCAGCCTCCAGGAGTTGACCATAACAATGCAAGTTGTACTAAGCATTGAGTGTGTAGGCGTTAATGAATGGGAAACAGTTACTTGTACTGTAAGTGTTTTTTATAATGAGTGCCAAGCTAAGATGGTAAAGTGCAGGTTATAAACTCAAGCATGTATGTAAATTGTTGTAAATCAATGACATCATTTCATTTTTAAAGAAAAAAAATCTTTCAAATGCTAAAGAACATTTGAAAGATTAACTTTTAATGATGAAGATGCATTAATAAGCATCCTTTAGTAAGCATAGTCTGATTTACAGTCACTGGAGTGTCATTAAAATATTTTAATGCCTGGAGAAATAGTTTTACATGGTTGGAACTGTTAATTATTTGGGAGTTTTCTTCACTAGATGTAAAAGAAACCCTTCTGTTGCCACACACAGATTTTCTGGTGACTTACTTTTGGAAAATGTGGAAAATATTAACTTTAGACAGACCAGGCAGTGTTTTATTATAGAGAGTTGGTATGATCTAAATTTAATGTTCAGCACAGATTTGGAATATATAAACCCAGTATGCAAGTACATGTATTTTGTTCTTCGGGATTATTTAGGACTTGTACTGCCGAAAACAAATGCAGAAAATCTTTAAGATTTTTTAAATCAAAGTGATTAGAATCTTGACTCTATAATTTTTTGTTACTTTGTACTGTATATTAAAGTATTACATTTGTGTTTTTATACATTCCAAAACCTGAGTTGGTGGGGTTCATTATCTGAGTTGTGTAAGTCGTGTGTATAACCAATTTAATATGTGAGTTGTGCAAGCCACATGTAATAATAATAATAACATGTATACAGGACAACTTACAAACAGTTGCTGCATATTATAGAAAATCTTGTGAAGCGCTTTGACATATTCTTCCAACACTATATCAAATGTAGGGAATATTATTTATTATTATTTAACCTTATTATAACATGATTGTGTGGGTCCAATCTCTCTGAAGCCTAGTCAAGCAATGCATGAAACATTGGCTGACTTCCAGATCTTCAAGTCGCCTCTAACGTCACTTCTAACCCCAAAGTTGTGTCACTGGCACTTGTCAACAATATTTGGCAGCTGCTTTCAAAATGACAACATTCGTTGAAATAAATTGGTGGTAGACAAAAAAAAAGAATCCTACTGTTTGATTAGAGAATTTAAATATTGCAATCTCAATCTTTATATTTTATATACTAGATAATTATTTGGGGAGTAAAAGTTTGCAGGGCTATAGGAAGAGAGCGGGGGAGTGGGATTCAATTGGATAGCTCTTTTTAAAGAAGCAGCGCAGATACGATGGGCAGAATGGCCTCCTTCTGCGCTATATAATTCTATGATTCTATGATGATACAGCGCCTTTCACGTCGGGAGGACGTCTCTTAAGAGCTTCACAAGATATACTGTAAAGTGACTCTATTCTTTGGGGGCGAATCTGCAGTGATAATAACAGACACTCAATGTGATGCAATATATTGGAGCACCAATGAATTGTGCCCACTCACAAGAAAAGTCATTTTCCGAAATCAATAGAAAAACAACCCGACTGTAACATTTTTTGTCAGTATAAGTCTCAAAATATGGGAACACCATACAACATAGTCAGCTGTAAGGTTGAATGGTTATTTACTTCATTGAAGGTTTATCTTGAACATATAACCTTTTATTATATTTATATAAGCCCTGGTCAGCTGCAACTGGCAAATAATTTTGCTACTGCCTAATGTTAACATATGTAGAATTGTTGTACAGCCTCAATTAATTGAACGTGTATTTTTTAAAAACTGTTGGTAATTCAGGGCAAAGCTGTTCATTCTAAAAATATTTTAACTGATTTCTGTTGTTAACTGATGTATACTTGTAACAGTATTTGCTTCCAGATTCAAAAACCATAAGCAAAGCGAATTTTAGAAACAGAAATGTATCTTTTTAGACCAGCTGTGCATGTATAGGGATTTGCCAATAGAAAAGTTGGGCCAATGTTTTGCCAATACCTCAGGGACCCAACTAATAAATGCCATGGGTTTCTTCTTTGCTACGTATTCCATTTTGTTTTGGTATTCATTAAAATTGTATTTTATCAATGTACTAAACTGTACACATCTGAACACTGTGACTATAATTTGTAGAGTATTTTTCTGTAAATAAAAAGATTAATGAAGTTATGGATATGTGTTGATTATCATTTTAATGTGATTTTAAATGTTCAACAACAACAAGATTACATTTGTATAGCGCCTTTCACGTCGGGAGAACGTCCCAAGATGTTCCAAGACCACTTGCAACTAATGCCTGTTGTCTACATCCTGATACCACATATGCTGCTGTTTTCCACATGTTGTGGGAAGTTTACATGATAAAATATTGTTCATTGTGCAATTCCGTGGCCCAGGAATCAGCAGATTTGAACATTATTGACTTGATTGACTGAAGCTGAGAAAGCAGGTCAATTGTGGGAAATATCTTAACTTAGAATTGTTATGGGAACAGATGGCATGGTTGACATACTTTAGCCAATGCCAGAGAAGATCCTCTTCAGCAATCTTCAATCCTATATATACCCAGACAATATGTCCCCGATCACCATAATATGGGCATTGTTTTGTTCCCGACTCCATGATGAGGGTGGAGGGGGAAATCCCTGTTCCTATCCTGTCAAATGTAGAGGTCTCTTTTTCCCGATCTCATCTGGAAGATCTCTGTCCCTACCTTCCAGTGAATATTTAATACCACGTTAGCTTGTGGTTTTAAATGTTCACTTTAGTTTGGCTCAATCTGTGACCTCAAATGAATGAGATGTAATTTGGAGCCATTGACCTGCCAAAGAGAGTAGATTTTTTTGAAGTGGGCAGCAATCCAATGTAGTGCGGTAGGATTTCAATCCATGATCTTATGCTAGCGGAATATTTCCCTCATTTCATACCTTGCACACCAAGTAAGATGATCCAATTTTCCCCCCAGAGCTCTGCGGAAACCTTGCTCGAAACTCTTTTTTTTAAATAATTCAGCATAGGAAATTAAAAGATAATCTTTTCATAATAGAGAACAAATTAGATTTGTGGGGGTTTCCAACTTAGTATGTTTTTAGTAGTCATGGAAAATTGTCACTTTAACATAACAGATTCACGTTAATTAAAAAAGACAAGTACTTTGATCTATTTTGTATTGTATTTATGAAATGTGTGTAATTGAAGATTATTCAATAATCAGTGATGGAGTACAGTTATTTTGATGGGTGTCTAGTTAGTGTCATTTAGCTTTTGAATATGAGTTTCCCACGGTAGGGACAACAAAGTAGATCTCTCTCATGGTACAGCTCTGTGCAGCCAAATATTTGTGAAAAACATTTTACTCATCGTTTACCTTAAATTAAATTATAACTTGTCTTCTAATGGAAGTCTGTGATTGATTACAAAAATATAAAACTTCCATTGATAAACATAAAACCTTACGAGACTGTGGGACATCTGTTTTTCTCATGGTGTATTTAATTTATGAGAGGAAAGTGTTTGATTTCCCCCAAACTAAGTTCTCCTACCAAATTGCAACAAACTAAGAAAACAAGAGCAAAGTATAATTGCATTATTTAAGCTCTTAAGTCCCAGCTTTTAGCAAATCTATTCAGGAATAAAGCAGCAGACAATTTGATAGTCAGCAGTGAAACCTTTGACTTTGTAAATTTTAGTTTAAAACTATTTAGCCAAAAGGTTCTTTCAAATGGGTTTATGGTTATGAAGTAGTGCACATCCCATTTGTACAGTTCAGTGCTAATACAAATATTTTTTAAAATTCTGCTTCACTAAATGGCAATTAATCTAATCTTTTGTAAGTGCAAAGTGAAAAGTATAATGAATGTATCTTATAGGGAACTATGAGATAAATTGAGATAGTTTGCTTTTTCATTTACGCAATGGTTGAACTCAATGGTTCATTCTGTTTATTCAGCTTTATAAATATATTTCCTATGGGTGATGTTCATGAACTGTTGCAAACCTATATTCTATAGTAATCTTCAATGTAAATCATGCAACAGGAATGCAAGATGGACAACTGTTGTGATATTTAGAGCAAAATATTAAAGAAATATGGCGGGGAGATTTGTAGATCTGAAGTGGTATGTTTTGAAGCAGGCTAAAGAGCTGGATGGCCTTCTCCTAATGCTGTATGTTTCTACAAGCACAGAACATGAAGGCTTGAGTACAGAACTAACATATAAATTACTGCTGGGAATAATTTTTTCCCCTTATCAAGTTTATTGAACACATCTGGTTATACACGGTTAATATTTTTTATGTTATGTTATTTTATCCTTAATTGAACATTAGGTATTTTAATTCACAAAGTCAAATTTGCTATATGTAGAAAATGGTGCAGAGTAACCCTATATAGTTTCCCTATTCCCATTTTCCCTTATTACATCAATGGAAATATACAATCCAGGCACTACACATCATAATATAATCCTATGAAGGGTATGAGACGAAATTCAGTGTGCTTTTCTTGCAGTTGAGCTAATGTTTAACTTGTTTTTCTTTGTTTCTCCAGGGAAAGAAGTTTGGTATGCTTTTTGTTTTCATAATGCTGATAATATTTTTTAAATGATATTGCTCCATGATAAAGAACTCATGGGACATTGCCATTTAAGAATGTGGGCAGGAAATGTCTGCTACACATTCCTAAGGCTTGAGCAGCTGAAGGACTTTCTTTTCAGGAGTAAGGTTGTGGAGGCATTCATCAATTATAAAGATATGCTTTCCGTCAGCCTGCAGTTGACCAGAAAATAATCCTTGTGGTAAATGTGGAAATATCTTCAGATTGGTATGTTGACACACTTATCTTTCAGCATGCAAGACCCATTTTAACTCTGTGTACTAAGCTATGTAACCCTGATTTTATATTAGAGAGAATCTCGACAAGATCAGACCTTGTGCGTTATGCCATCCTACACTGACAACTGACTAAACCAGCAGATCAAGTCGTCCTATTGTCATTATGATTTTGATCATCTGAATGGCACATGTTACGTAACTTTTGTTAAATTTCTTCTGTGCCTTACAAGATCTGCACTCTGTTTCCAGGCTCTGCTTGGAGTCCTCTCAGATGGCAAATAGGAGGTTTGTGACAACTGTTAAACTATGAATGTATTCCTGAATATTTGCCCCTCTAGTTTTTTTCTCTCCTGAAAGCACAGACTTCCCTCTGTTACCCCATTTAAGTGGCAGGTCTTTATTTGTAAATCCAGACATGAATATCCACACTATGAAACTGGGGACATCATCACATCCATTCCGTTCCCCTTTTCACAACTGCATCCCTCCAGCAATCCAATGTGATGCCCCATACCATTTGTTAGACCATTCAGGTCAGGTTTCTCAGTTACAGAACGTGGATCATGTTTGGATGTACTGAGCAGTGAGCACTCAAAACTCAGTTAACTTCTCACAACTGCATAATATTGGGAATTCAAGGGAGCCATCTCTTGATAATTGGACTTAAACCTGACTGAGTAGGATTGAGGATTTAGAACTTGATGCAGTGTGCAGATTCAGAACTAAATGCTCAAGATTCTGAGGAGAAAAACTTCCCATTTTTTTCATTAAATTCATCTTTTGTAATTTTTAGATTTTTTTAAAAAATCATCTTTGGACCATTAGAAGAATTGCAAACTTTGCATGTACATCTCTACCAATCATGTAAGCAAATGATGCCCTTGTATAAATTATACATTAGATGGGAAGTGTGTAGGATCGCTGTGTTTGAGGACAGCCAATTTTAAAAAATTAAAAGTATTCTGTAGCCAATCAAAAATTAATGATACACATCTGAATAATAAATTTTGAATTTGCTGTTATATGGATGGCACTAATCTGAATTTTGATTGTGTAAATGGTACAACTTTGAGCAGAAGCTGCTGCAACTTTAAAAAAAATAAGTAAAAATGAGCCCTGCTCCCTTTAAAAGCTCAGTGGATAGAGCACTGGACTCACAACCGAGAGACCTGGGTTCGATTCCCGGCAGGTCGAAACCTTCGGCACGTTTCCTTACTCCACACGCCTGATAATCCCTCAAGAAAAACAACTGTAATAAATTGGTCACTTCAATTTACGACTGTTTGTGGGACACTGCTGGCTGCCGCATTTTGCCCACAAATATGCAGTCAATTCACTTTACAGTCTATTCAGTGAAGCGCTTTGTCTAGAAGACGTGAAAAGCGCTATATCAAATGCAAGGATTATTATTGTTATATTTTTCAAGACCATCAGCTGGTTTGCTCCACACTTAACTCAGAACAAAACCTTTGCTATTAAAACTTTAATGATCTCATGTTGAAGCTCACTGCATTGGAAACTAACATAAACGAGGCATTTACTTAGATTTCATGATAAGGAAGTGGGAATTATAAAGTCAGTAAGAAAATCGTTTACATTTGCTCATTTTGTATCAAATTGGAAACTCGTGTTTACTTTCTTATATAGTTGTAGTCAAAGACTGTTTAGTGTACTCAAATGGAAACTGTGTTAAAATGTTTCAAATGAATCTTACCAACACCAAAAGTTTTTTAAAATATTTGAATATTGTAATTCTACGAAGGATTACATTGTAATTGTACATATTGGGGATTATTTTGGGCCACAAATGAACTGGAGGACCTGTCAGCTGAAACTAGTGCAACATTACCCCCTTGTGTATTTGATGTGAAGTGCATGTTTGAGGCTTTTTCTGTGTTTAAAACAGGAAATCTGAGAAAATTTACATGATCTGCTGAAAGGAGATGACGCATCAGAAATTGCCTAGAAACCTATTTTATAAATCAGATGACTTGTATGCTTAGGCCAAGAATAGCTCTGAGCCTACTACACTGTCCTTCCCCATGATCCACAACAGTGGGCTGACCATGCCAAGTATATTTTAGGCCAAGTATAGATCCCATTTCCACCTATTGCAAAATTCATTAACCAATTAGTCCAATTAACTCATTGACAGAGGATCTTGTACCAACTGTACAGTACCAGGTGTCGGAAAATATCTATCATTGGGGCCTTACCATGTTGAGAAGTGGTACAGTATTTTTAAAGGTAAAGATCTTTTTTAGTGATTCCAGCAGCAAAATATTTGCCTATCACTTCCTAATTAAAAAGGTAAATCAAAAAGAATTTTAATTCCAAATGATGACTTAATAATAATAATCCTTGCATTTGATATAGTGCCTTATCACGTCTTCGAGACATCCCAAAGTGTTTTACAGGATATACTGTAAAGTGAATTGACCGCATATTTTGTGGGCAAAATGTATACAAATGTTTCCTGAATTGATGGTGAATATATAAAATCACCACTAAGTTTAAATGTTTGGGCTGTGGTAAAACTTTCTCTTTTCTTATCCTTTTACTGAATTAATAATATAACTTTGTTTCACAGGGTGCAGCACAGCTATATTTTCATTTTATAAGACTGATTCTCATTAAAAGACAACTTTTAATATTTCACATTATACTGAGCAACAATGTTTGCAGTAAGATTTTATATCATAGATTATTAATGATTGCTGACAGGTTCTGACTAAAAGCATAATATGGAATTTCATCTAGGTTGAATTGGATTATTAAGTTCCTGAAATTTACTGCCCTAATAAAACAGTTGCTTAACTAAACTGAACTAAAAGTAAACAATTAACTGTTGAAATGTATTTCACATGACCAAAATGTGAAAGTTAATTATTGAAATAGATCCAAAATGAGTAGTAAGGACTTTAGGTTGACCTTAAGAAAAGGAAGGACACAATACATGTTTTTTAATACAGTATGAAGAGTAATACACTTTATTAAATATTGCCTGGAAATGTTTAATTGATTAAATCTGTTTTAGGTTTGTGCCTTGTAGCTTTTTGTTCTTTACCACTTGCTTTTTGGCGCTAGCAAGTCTGCTTCTGTCCAAGCCTGATCTTTAGCACTCTGGTACACTGCCAACTGAATACATGTTTGTATTTAGAGAAATCCCTGACACATACAATCTAAATGTGGATGTTTTGAGCTGTGACCCATTTTAAAGGGAACATTTTATGAAAGTCAAGGTACCATACACTCAGTGTGTTTTTTGAAGATATTTTTAGTTAATTTATTTCAGTAGAATGTGCACCTTCTAGTTAGTGCCCCTTCTTTATGATACTGTGACAAATTACACAAATGAACGTTTCCCACATCAAACAAAAAGATTGCCATAAGACTTCTTGTGTAATTGTTTTTCTAAAAATTAGTAGTAGTCTGAATAAGCAGGAAGAATCAGACAAGTTTTTATAATTATGTCAGTTGTGTTTGTACATGTCAAATTATGTTTTACAACATGTATTTTTGTAATCAAAATGTCCTGTCCGATAATGAAGCACAAAGGACTGAAATGACTGTACTATCATAATGTACAGTGTATTGTAGATCCTGTCCTCTGAATACATCAGAAATCATACTCATTTTCTTTGGAACAATTATTTTTTCTTGTGGTAAAGAAAGAAAATACAATGACACCCTGGTGGCGTTTATTCAAAGATGGGAGTTACTCTTCCACCCCCAATTGTTAGGTGAAATGTACAGGAAGAACTGTTTGTATACATTCCCATTTCGCTCTAAAGCATTGATGGCCAGAAGTATTCCCCTGAAGTTACACTAATCTAGTTAAGTCTGTGTTAAATCAATATTTTGTTTCCGTTAACTACTGAGTAGCAATATTTATGATGTGGACATAAATCAACAAAATAACAACAACAAAATTACATTTACGGACCGCCTTTCGCGTCAGGAAGACGTCCCAAAGCGCTGAACAGTCAGGTGTCGGGGCCTGAGCATGAGGGAGGGGTGGTGCAGGGGTGAGGGAAGGCAGAGAGATGGGAGGGAGACCAAAGGCACAATCGAAGAGAAGGGTCTTGAGACCGGCCTTGAAGGAGGCGAGGGAGGAAGCGAGGCAAAGGGACCGTGGGATGGAGTTCCAGAGTGTGGAGGCAGAGAGGCTGAAAGCCCGGCCACCGATGGTAGGGCGGGTCGGGTGGGAGACATGGAGCAGACCCAAGCCCGATGCACGGAAGGAGCGGGCAGGTTGGTAGGGAGTCAGCAGGTCAGAGAGGTAGGAGGGGGCAAGGCCATGGATGGCCTTAAAGTTGAGGATCTTGAACTCGATCCTCTGGGGGATGGGGAGCCAGTGGAGTCGGGCGAGGGTGGGAGTGATGTGAGTCACGGAGCCTGGCGCGTGAGAATACACGAGCTGCAGTTTCGGATGATTTGCAGTGTGTGAAGGGAAGAGTTGGGAAGGCCATGAGGAGGGAGTTCTTGTAATCGAGCCTCAATGTGACGAATGCGTGGGTGAGGGTTTCGGCAGCCTGAGGGGTGAGGCAGTGGCGGAGTCTGGCAATGTTGCGGAGGTGGTGGTAGGCAGTGCCGGTCATGGCGCGGACGTGGGGGAGAAAGGACAGTTCAGATCAAACAAGATACCCAGGTTCCTGACTGGCTTAGTGAGGTTGAGTGTGCAGCCATGAAGGCTGATGCAGCCAGCGCCTGAAGTGCGGAGGCACTGGCGCGAGCCAATCAGGAGGTCCTCAGTCTTGCTGACGTTGAGTTGGAGAAAGTTGGCCCTCGTCCAGGACTTGATGTCGGACAAGCAGTCGGTCAGGACGCCAATAGTCCTGAAGTTCAGGGTGGAGGCAGAGAGACAGAGTTGGGTGTCATCCGCATCAAGAAATATTCAATCACAAAAATTGTATTTGGTTGTCCGACCACAAAGGTCAAGACTAAAACTCTGTCGTGGATGTTAGGCATTCGAAAAGAGAGGAGTTTTTCCTGACACCCTATCCTGTAGCTACACTGACCATTCACTATCTCCCTGCTGTCTGTGGCACATCAGTGCGTCCAAATTTGCTGCCGCATTGGCCCCTTAACACTCGAATCATTACTGCAAAGCTCTTCAAGACGTGTCGGGCTGGCATTGAATATAATAATAATCCTTGCAGTTGGTATAGCACCTTATCACATCGCTGAGACATATCAACCCGCTTCACAGGGATATACTTTAAAATGGATCGACGGTGTAGTTGTGGGCGAAACGCATTTATTTAGGGAATTTGTTGGCCAAGACACTGGAAGAAATTCTCTTTTCATATAGTGCCATGGGATGTTTAACATCCACCTGAACAGGCAGACGAGGCCTCAGTTTAATGTCTAATCCCCTCCCCCCCCCCCATTCATCTTAGAACAGGGAGGGGGGGTCCAACCTTTTGGCTGCCGTGGGCTGGATTCCCTATTTGGGAAAGTCTATGGGCCTCATAAAGCAATACTTAGTGTTTCCATATCCAGAAACGTAACAATAACACCCCCCCCCACCCACAAACACCCCCCACCCACAAACCCCCCCCCACCCACAAACACCCCCCACCCACAAACACCCCCCCCACCCACAAACACCCCCACACCCACAAACACCCCCCACACCCACAAACACCCCCACACACCCACAAACACCCCCACACACCCACAAACACCCCCACACACCCACAAACACCCCCACACACCCACAAACACCCCCCACCCACAAACACCCCCCACCCACAACACCCCCCACACACCCACAAACACCCCCCCACCCACAAACACCCCCCCACCCACAAACACCCCCACACACCCACAAACACCCCCCCCCCCACCCACAAACACCTCCCCACCCACAAACACCCCCCACCCACAAACAGCCCCACACACCCACAAACAGCCCCACACACCCACAAACATCCCCACACACCCCCCCACACACCCACAAACATCCCCCCACACCCCCACAAACACCCCCACACACACCCACAACCCCCCCCTCTCCTCGTCCAACCGTTGCAGTTACCCGGATGTGGGTGGCCGGTAGCCCCGCCTCCTTTTAACCCCTGACGTCCCGCGGCGGCGGCGCGGCGGCGGCGAAGAGACAGAGAGAGGGAAGAGAGAGAAAAAAAAAGTGAGGGGCGGGAGAGAGGGTGTGTGTGTGTGTGTGTGTGTGAGAGAGAGAGAGAGCGAGAGAGAGAGAGAGGCAGAACAAGCTGTGAGTATGACATGGTGGGGGTGCGGGTGGTGAGGAGGGAGGGAGGGAGGGAGGGAGGGAGGACGAATGGGGTTTGATAAGCAACACGAGGAGGGAGAGAGGGAGAGGGAGGGGGAGAGAGGAGGTTTATTTGCCTCATGGAGGGGGAGCAGCGAGGGCTGGTGTGTGTGTGTGTGTGGTGATGATGATGATGATGATGGCTGCCCTGTTTTCCAGGCCTGGCCTTGCGTGTTGGGTGGTTGTTGTTGTGTTGTTGTTGTTGTTTGTGGTGGTGGTGTCGTCGTCGTCGCCTTCTTCTCCTCCTCCTCCTCCTTCTCCGTCCTCGGGATTATATTTTTCTTCGTCCATGTCTTTCTCTCTCTCTCTCTCTCTCTCCCTCACGTCGCGTCGCGTTGAAAGATATTTATATTTTTTTGTTCTATGTCTTACCTATGACATAATATTATCAGAAAGAAAGAAAGAAAGAAAAAAAAATGCACGTTGTCGGTTTTTGCCCGACAACGTGCCCTTTTTTTTTAAAAAAAACAACCAACCAACCACCAAAAAAAAATCCTTTAAATCTATTTTTATTTTTTATTTTTTTTTGGGGTGGGAGGAGGGAGGAGGAGGAGGGAGTGAGGGGAGGGTTCGGTTCCCATTGCACTTCTCTCTCTCTCTTTCTCTTCTATCTCTCTTTCTTTTCCTCTTTTCTCTCTCCTCTCCTCCTTTAAAACGTCTCCCACCCCCACCCAAGGCTGTCTTGTTTTCTATCACGCCTATTGCAGATAATAATAATAATAACCATCATAATCATAATAATAATAATAATAATATTTGCTGCTCCTTTCTGTTTCGTGTTTGTTTGTTTGTTTTTCCTGTTGAAATAAAGCTGATTTGGGGGACGTCGGTTTTAATAACGTTTGCAGATGTCTTTTAGACTAGATTGTTTATATATTATATATATTATATATATATCATGTATCTTATATATAATATATATATTATATATATATAGAAAGGTGATACATGTGAGCTTTGGTGCTGATACTAATCTGCGTTGGCCTCAGAGGAATGATACATAGCGTTAAGACAGGTTACACGATTCAAAATTTGCACGTGTTTCCAGAATATATATATTTTTTGGGGTGGTGGGGGGGAAATTGTTCTGGATGTTGTTCAACTAACCTGGCTGTTTTGACGTCCTTTAATAACTCGGGTCCACATGAAAACACACACGCTGATTGTGTTTTAATTTCTTACAGACGTGTGTAGGTGTTTCTGTTAGTGTGACTGGCCAGAGCTTTCAAACCCATCCGGCCTTCAGGAATCACCCCCAAATTCAAGTCTTACCCCCAAACGAAAAAGCCGTGTGCATTGGGCATCATGTGTTGACATTAAACACGTTAGGAATAGTCAAGGTTAATGTGCATCAGGGTTCTGTTGGATTCTTTATTTTGTTGAGTTGAATTATTTACAAGCATCTTCATCCGTTTTAGGTTGCCAAGACATACTTGGGTCAGGACAGTCGTTTCACTGCTTATTCTAATGTAATTAACCGTTGCGAGGTACATGAATCGTAACCGACGTATGTATGTATGTATGTATGTGCGCTGAATATCGCACTTTTCACTTAGCCCATGTGTTTTGTGGACACCAGAAAGATTTGTTATTATAGTTCTGATTGCTTACTTACATAATGTATGGGATTTGAGATGTGCGACGTGCAATTTTCAGGTATTTGTTTGACCTCCTGATTTTATTGCTGCTTCAGTACTAAAAAAAAATCCTCAATGTTATTGTAGAGTTAAGCAAAACCTCTTGGGACAGTGGATTCTTGAGGTTTTTCCTATTTTGATCATATATCGACTCTGTTGTGATAGCAAGGCAAATGTTTTAATAGAGTGTCAGGAGTCCTGTAGCTCAATGGTTACAGCACTCGCCTCGCAAGCAAGGGACCTGGGTTTGATTCCCAGCAAAGCGAAAACTTGGACAAGTTTCCTTACTCCACACGCCTGATGATAATCCTTCAAGAAAAAAAATTGGTCTCGTCAATTGTTTGTGGTACACTGCTGTGTGCAGTTGGCTGCCTCGTTTCGCCCACAATTATACAGTCAATTCACTTTACAGTCTATTCTGTGAAGCGCTTTGAGACGCCTAGAAGACATAAAAACGCTATATCAAATGCAAGGATTAGTATTATTGTTTGGTGTGGCATTACTCATGCCTGTGCTGTTTCAAAGGCTATTTATCAATTTGTTTGCTTGCATATTGAAATAAGTCAAGAAAGGACATATCTGGCTGGAATGATGATGTCACTGTTGGCTTCTATGCATTAGTACTATGCAACTATTGGCCTGGTGTATTTCATATGTCACAAAACTGCTTAAAATGGATGGAGGCCCTTTAAAAGAAAATGCTGCCTGTAAAAAAAAAACTAACCGGTTGCAACATCAAGCTTTTAAAGTAGCATTTTTACAACTAGATTTACAAATCACAAACCAGAATATGAATTGAACTATCTATGATTTTTTTTGGGGGGCTATACAAGCATTTTTGTGCTTGTTTCAAGTAGAGGTTTGGATCAGTGTAGGGACTCTTAGATGATGAGCAGTCCTGCTCATTCAAATACAATTCACCGTATTTCAATATCAGATATATTGTAGGCTGGAGAAAGCAAAACAAAACTTCCAATTTACAGATATTGGTGATTTTTAATAATAATAATAGTTGCTTTAGTTATTTTGATTGTGAAAGATCATATTGGCTGGTTAGTGAATAAACAAAGAGCATACACTTCCAGATTGTTATTGGAAGAGGTTAAGAAAACTTCATAGAGGGTTTTTAAGACCATGGCACGCTTTGCTATATGTGGCTTGTGAGGTTGACCAGTTTTAAAAGGGATTGGAAAAATCATTGAAGGGAAACAATATAAAAAGGATTCAGAAAATAAATGAATATTTTAATTAGAGCATACAGGTCCAGTAGGGTAGCTAGAGCCATATAGACTTGATGGGTCAAATGGCTTCCTTCTATGCTGTAATTGCTCTGATTCCATAAATGAAATTGTGCTGAAAATGAAGTGAATGAAGACTGCTCACAATCTTAAGATATATATAATTATAGGTTGATGAATAGCCTGGAGACTGCCAAGTGAAAAACATTGTCAAAGTTCATATAGAAAGTGAAAGTTTGATATAATCTGAGTTCCTCTATGTTATTCTTGTAATGCATTCTATATCTAGCGTGGAGTTTCAGCTACAGAACATAGTTTGGCATTAATGGCAAAATGAGTAACCATTTGGCCTATCAAGTATGTTTCCACCATTTCATTAGACCATGGCTGATAGCAGGTTAATACCATTTCCCTGCCAATGCAGCATATATCCTTTAATGCCTATCTCCCTCTCAAAGATTTAAGGTGACACAAAATCTACAAATGCAGAACCTTTTGTGTAGGGAAAAATTATTTCTAATTTCACTCAACTGGTTTAGCTCCAATTCTAAGATTGTCTCATGTTCTGGACTTTGTATTGCAAGACTGCAGATCTAGGACTCATTTAAGATTCAGCTTGATGCTGTAATGGGAAGATGGATGGTAGGGTTTGGATTCTAAAAGGATGATGGTAATTGAAAGATTGAAGGGCCTTTTTCATCTAGATTTCTCTTGTGATCTGGCCTTACAGGTCCATTAGAGCGACAAGTGAAAGTAAGCCTCCCATATGTGTCACTTAACCATGGATATGCTGGAATGCACACTGCAGTCTACCTGTGTTTTAAGTAGTCAGTCCTTGTCAGGGAATGTTGCGTTGAATTTGTAACACTGTTCTTTGTGACTAAATATTTTGAAATTACAAAAAATAATAATGTACTGTTAATTGTTTTTGAAACTATAAATATTTCCAATTTGCTGGCACTGAAGTTTGATTATATCCTCCTGTGCTTCCTCTCGCTCATCTTTTTCGCTTGTCCCCCTCCCCCTGCATTTTCTAATGCAGGTAATGCATTCATTTTATTCAGCGCTCAGGCCCACTTGAGAACTAACACAGAATGGGGAGGCTACCTTCGTGTTTTAGTGGAAAACATTGCCTTAGATATTTGGATTATAAATATCTTAGAACAGAGTTAGTCACTTCAATTAAAATTTTACAGAAACAGCCTAGAATACAATAAATGAATTAAATTTTTCAATGTGGGGCTTGAACCCCTAACCTTCTGACTCAGCAGCAAGAATGCTACTGACAGTGCCAGACTGACATAAACGTGGAGTTGTGTAGGAATATATTGGCACAAGTAGTTACATGTCTGCAAGAGGAAAACAATGTGGAGATCCCATATATTTAAATTGTCTTGACCATTGGGGGATTTCAACCAATTTTAAGTGTTAACTTACTATTTAGTCACTTGTTTGTGCCAAACTGAAAGTATAAGGCAAGTTGTGGTTTGTGTATGTGTGTGTACACACTGTATTTTACATAAATAATGTCCATAGTCTATAATTACCCCATTATACTGCAGAAAAAAATGAGTAAAGTTTTCTCTGCCAAATATGTATTCTGCTTAGAATTATCTCAAATTAATTCAAGTCACAATCTGTATTCTTTATTTGCAGTGTGCCTGCTGAGTCTTTTGAAAAGCCTTGTGAATGAGTATCTTCTTTGAGAGGCTGTAAATTATTATAGTACTTCTGTTCTGTATGATCTGGCCCACTGTATTATTTTTTAGAAAGTCAACTTTGTTTAGCTACAAATAAACAAAATGCATGAAAATGGTGGGGTGTATGGCTTTGTGTAATTTTGATGTGTTGTTCATAGACTTAGTGAGAGGCTCTTTTATAACAATCCCATTTGCATACTGTGTGTACTTTCCAGAAGGACTTTCAAAGAGAACTATAGCTTAGTTTTTTTTCATTGGGCATTGTGAGAATTTCTGCAAAGGCAGTTGCTGGAAATGTCAAATGGCACTGCACTTACCCAATGAAGACCAAGGAAGTTTTTTGTCTGTCAACACATTGCAACACTGATAGGCCACCATAAAGAAAGCAGATGGGTTTACCTTCTGTCAAAACATTTGGTGTAAAGAGGCTTGACCTTGCTAACTCCCTGCTCACTAGACTTCCCAACTCTTCCCTCCACAAGCTGTAGATTATTCAGGTCTGCAGCCCATGTCCCCTCCTGCACCAAGCTCCGTGAGCCGATCATCACACAACCATTACTCCCATTCTTGCCAAGCTCCTAACCTCTCGTATCCCAATGGATCAATTTTAATATCGTCATTCTTTCCTTCAAATCCCTATATGGCCTTCCCTATCTATGGAACCTCTTTGAGCCCTACTCAACTGCTTGTACTTTTTGCTTTATTTTGCTTATTCCCTCTGTTCTATCAGTAGTTCTAGAGCCTTAAGCTCTTCTCTCTTTTTTGCCATGTTTTCTCCCTATTTAGCTGCAAAAAAAACCCTTTTTGACCATGTTGTCAATAGCAATAATTTGATCACTCAATCCACGACTGCTTGTGGGACACTGCTGCACGTAATTGGCTGCCACATTTTGCTCACAAAATATACAATCATTTCACTTTACAGTGTATTCTGTGATTATTCAGGTCTGCTCTAAGATATCTCAAATATACGATGAGGTGCTATATAAAATGCCACGATTATTATTATGCTTTTGGTCAATACAAGTCTCCATTTTCTTTGCTCCCTATTGTATCTGTGAAGTACTTCAAGGTATTTATCAGGACGAGTTGTTGTTTTGTTGTTGAACTAGCATTTGTTTTGTTATAGGACTAATGGTTTCCCTTTCTATATTTTAGGATTGATGGCAATAAAGTGATCCATTATGGCTCTAATGATCCCACCGGTGAAGCTAAAATGGTTAGAGCACCTCAACAGCTCCTGGATTACAGAGGACAGTGAGTCCATTGCCACAAGAGAGGGTGTTTCTATCTTGTACAGCAAGCTAACCAGTAGTAAGGAGGTGGTGCCATTGCCACAGCAGGTGCTCTGCCTTAAGGGACCCCAGTTGCCCGAGTTTGAACGCGAGTCCCTCTCTAGCGATGAGCAGGAACACTACCTAGATGCTCTCCTCAGTAGCCAGCTGGCTCTGGCAAAGTTGGTTTGTTCAGATTCCCCATTTGCAGCAGCACTTCGGAAGCGACTACTGGTGCTACAGCGCATCTTTTATGCACTTTCCACCAAATATCATGATAAAGGTAAAGTCAAACAGCAACAACATTCGCCTGAAAGTAGCTCTGGATCCACAGATATTCATTCTGTCAGTGAGCGTCCGAGATCCAGTACAGATGCTCTAATAGAGATGGGGGTTCGGACTGGACTGAGTTTATTGTTTGCACTATTAAGACAGAGCTGGATGGTGCCTTCCCCAATTCCAAGCTTGAATCTCTGTAATGATGTTATTCACACTGCAATTGATGTAATAAGTTCATTACCACCATTATCTTTAGCAAATGAAAGTAAAATTCCAGCAATGGGATTGGATTGCTTATCCCAAGTGACAATGTTCCTAAAAGGAGTTACTATGCCCAGCTCAGGAGCAGATAATTTGGGGCGAAGACTAGCTTCAGAATTGTTGCTTGGACTTGCAGCACAACGTGGCTCTCTGAGATACCTTCTGGAATGGATAGAAATGGCCTTGGCTGCATCAGCTGTTGTTAGCACTATGGAGAAAACAAAACTTTCTTTAAGCCGAGAGGGAATGATCGGTTATGACTGCTTCATGAACATTCTCCTGCAGATGAGACGCTCTTTGGTATGTATTTAGTCTGGAATGTATTTAGTGTATAGTGCGATGCGAACTAATGTTAAATTAGTTTTGTTTTACTTCTCTTCCCTAAATTTATCAGTTTGAACAATTTTGGAGTATTCATTCAACTTGGATGGTGTTTTTTGACCGTGACTGTCTGTGTTATTAGTAGAAACTTCCTTTGTAAGCCCGTGCTGCCAAGGTCAATAAAATTGGGCAACACTGGAGTATGTGGCGTGTTACCATCTTATGTTGCTACCAACTGGTGGAATGTCGCCCTGTTATAGTTCAAACAGTTGGTTCATTTTATGACCTGTAGGAAACAAAATGCATTTGGTGCGAAACATTATTTAATTTAGATTTACCATACAGTGGTGTATAAACATCCATATTGTTTAAAGTTCATATAAATCCAAATGTTGCTCCTTGAAACAATAATTCTTGTTTCAAAAAGAGAAGGCTATAAAATGTTACTTTTTCTAAAAAGGATTGTTTAATGCTTATCTGCCATTTGTATGATTATTTCTTAGATTGTTGTGCTTTGATGTAACTATTAGCACTTATAACATTTCACCAGTATTGTTGTTTATTGATGATTATCTTCATAGTTACTTCATTTAACTTTTGGACCAACTTGGTTAACTTTTCATTTGGTAGATTTTAATTGTTTGTTTTGATTTTAATTTTCCACAGGGTTCATCAGCCGATAGAAGTCAATGGCGAGAACCTACTAGGACACCTGATGGGCTGTGCTCTCTATATGAAGCGGCTTTATGCCTTTTTGAAGAGGTGTTTATATGCCGCAAAGTTTATTTTCATAAATGTAACAGCTTCTAAAAAAAAATGAGAGCTTATTTTGTACTTGCCTTATTTCGCTCACAAAATACACAGTCAATTCACTTTACAGTATATTCTGTGAAGCACTTTGATACATCTCGAAGACATGATAAGGCGCTATATCAAACTGCAACTGATTTACACTGTAGAGAATTTGTAATTGTGAGTTGGCAGTTGTGCTACTGCCGTTCTCTCTTCCTCCAAAACGTTTTAGGTTAATTGGATTATTTTGCTTAAAATGGTTTTAGGTTTGTCGAATGGCTTCAGACTACTCCAGAACATGTGCAAGTCCTGATAGTTTGCAGAGTGGAGATGCTCCCATGTTATCGGAAACGTGTGAAGTGTATGTCTGGGGCAGTAACAGCAGTCATCAGCTAGTGGAGGGCACGCAGGAGAAAATTCTCCAACCAAAATTGGCTTCAAGTTTTGCCGATGCTCAGACTGTAAGTAGAATAGCTTTATTTTATTTTATTCCCCACCTCATTCTAAATATTTTGGAATAATGGATGCATTTTACGAATGTTAGTTTATGGGCTTAATGTAACTAAGGCAGTAACTTTTTCAACTATGTGAATCTGTGGCTTCAGCAATACTATAAGTACTTAAGATGTGAAAAATATTGTGAAGGAAAAAAATATTTCCATTGTATGGATATATAGAAATATATGTGCTACTGAGGCAGATTTCTTAAGTCTGCTGTCAAATGTAATCTGTGTGTCTAAGCATATGTTAATTTAATGATTCTTCCAAAATGCAGCAAATATACTGTACAGTAAATCCCTTTACACAGAGATAGTGACTTGAAAGGTATTGCATCAATTGCAAGGATTATGTTGGATAAATGTTCTATATATAATATGACCTTTTAATATACTGTACTATGATTTTTCTCTTGTTTAGTATTTGTAACTTACAAGAAGTTTCATGATTTTCGTTTCTTTCCCACCTAGATTGAAGCAGGACAGTACTGCACATTTGTCATTTCATCTGATGGATCAGTGAGGGCCTGTGGTAAAGGAAGCTATGGGAGACTTGGTCTTGGTGATTCAAACAATCAGTCAACCTTAAAAAAGTTAACATTTGAACCACATCGAGCTATCAAAAAGATTTCCTCATCAAAAGGTTCTGATGGTCACACTTTGGCCTTTACTACAGAGGGAGAAGTTTTCAGCTGGGGTGATGGTGACTATGGAAAACTTGGACATGGAAACAGTTCTACACAAAAATATCCCAAACTTATTCAAGGACCTTTGCAAGGAAAAGTGAGTGTTTAATTTTGTCAGGATCATCTGTTTTGTTAGTTTCTAAATTGGCACATCTTGAATGTATTAGTTTTTTATTGTTTCCTCTTTCAACATTGAACAATGTATTCTATTTTGGATCTTTCTGTTTTAAAACTGTTAACTATGTTTTAATAATAAATCATAGTAACTTTAAATGGTGTGAAATACAGTACATACTATAGGCAATTCTCTGCTAAGATTAATTGAAATGTTTTCTTGTTCTTTTCAAGGTAGTTGTGTGTGTATCTGCTGGCTATAGACACAGTGCTGCTGTCACAGAAGATGGAGAATTGTACACCTGGGGAGAGGGAGACTTTGGGCGTTTAGGTAGGCATTAACATTTTTGGAACATATTGGCAATTGCTGGATTATGTACAAATGGCAAAGATGCTAAATTTGTGTTGCAAGAGGTATCTCTTCCAATACATTGAAGAAACAAATATAATAAATAACTAATAAAGTAAATGAAGATTTTTTTAATATATGGCAAATCCTGTAAATTCTAGTTTTCCCATTGGAATTCTAAAGATTTCGCTCCTGGGAATAACGTTAATAGAAGCAACAACCTAAAAGGTTTATTCTGGTACCTCTAGCAGCTTGCTGGCCTGTACAGATCTTTCCCATGATGGCTAGAAAACCTAAAGTTACAAAACAATTTGCTGATACTGTGTTTGAATACGCACAATTGTTTCTGTGCTTCTACAGGTTCTATCCAATTTAGCCTGCACTGGGTGGGATGGGGAGGTTTAACCAGTAGGACAGGGAATGCTGTAAAGGTACTAATAAAGTGACATTTATGGTGTCTTACAAAGTAAAGAAAGCTTTCCGATGAAACAATTTTAAATTGTTTTACATTTTATGTTTCTTAGGTCATGGAGATAGCAACAGCCGTAATATTCCGACTTTGGTGAAGGATATTAGCAATGTAGGCGAGGTTTCCTGCGGAAGCTCACATACCATCGCATTATCTAAAGATGGAAGAACAGTGTGGTCTTTTGGAGGAGGTGACAATGGTAAGTTATTCTGCTATTGCCGGAATCATTCTGAAATAAAAGCTTTTGAATGCAATACCCATTTCTGAAATCGTACATGATTTCAAACGTATGGATATCCTTTTCGTGATACGGTGGCAGTATTCTCAAAGGTGTTCCATTCCTAAATTAAGGAATGCTTTTAGAAATACCACAGTGGTTTGTTTCAGTCAGCCCCCAGCATTGGCATTTTAACATTAGCCTAAGACAATAATTTTATTTTGTATGTTTTAAGTCTATACTCTAGGTTTGTTTGTTTAATTCTGCATTTTTTTGAACAAGTGCATGAGCTCCACTGTCAAAATGAGTGGGGTTAATAATAATGGGGTCATCTTTCTTCCATATTCCCAGCAGTTCAGTTATGTGACAGTGTGACTAAACTTTTGGGGAAAATAGTTAAACATTATGTGTGCTTCAGGCAATCGTAGCTAATGTTTGTCATGGCTAATATTTGTTTTCTTCATCCTGTTAGGCAAGCTTGGTCACGGTGATACGAACAGAGTTTATAAGCCAAAAATTGTTGAAGCTTTACAAGGAATGTTCATTCGTAAAGTATGTGCTGGGAGCCAATCTTCACTTGCTTTGACATCAACAGGACAGGTAGTTTATACCAAACATCCCCTTTTTTGTAATTGCAATTGTGTTATCCTCTTGATTGAAATAATAATTACAAATTATTATTGGAGTTAGGTTAAAAGATCAGCAATGATCTTATTGAATGGCGGGGCAGGCTCGAGGGGCTGAATGGCCTACACCTGCTCCTAATTCCTATGTTCCTATGTAGCAATCCTCTATTTGATCAGATATGTTGGAAATACCTAAAAAGATGTAAGTCAAAACATTTACGTTGTTAAAAATGTATTGATAAAGTGATTTTGTAGTTGAAAAATAAAAGTTGTCTTGTTTTACCTTTTCAAAATTTGTATCTTATGAAATATTTTTACAGTATTGTAATGATCACTGTATTTCACTTGTTTGTAGGTATATGCTTGGGGTTGTGGTGCCTGTCTCGGTTGTGGCTCTTCAGAAGCTACTGCCTTGAGACCCAAGCTGATTGAGGAGCTGGCCACCACAAGAATAGTTGACATTTCAATAGGCGACAGCCATTGTTTGGCACTTTCACATGGTGAGATACAAATCAGGAATTGAAATTCTAGACCAACATATTAATCGTAATTATCTCTTTAAAAAATATTTGGAAACTTAGGAGTAATACGATTATTGGGCCCACTGCAGCTCATTCTTGTATAGGCTCTGCCACACTAGCGTCTTATTCGCAATTTGAATAACACCCAATATTGTTTGCTGTTTACTTTTCTTGGATAGCTACACTTAAAAGTTTTTTTGTGTGTGTGTGTGTGAAATTTGCTGGGACTTCTTAGTACAGCGTGGGAGTGGGGTAGAAAGTTACAAAATTCTGCAGTTGAAAAATGTGAATGAAGAGTCACCCCTTGTGACTTTCACTGTTGTGTTGCACTTTTCCATCATTTGAATATCACTGTAAAATGAAATCATCGTGTAAAATGAAGAATGCTTATTTAAAGAAGGTATACAGTTAATTATATGATGCATTTTTATTTTAGATAACGAGGTGTACGCTTGGGGCAATAATTCTATGGGGCAGTGTGGCCAGGGAAACTCAACTGGCCCAATAACTAAGCCCAAAAAAGTGATTGGATTGGATGGAGTAGCCTGCCAACAGATTTCTGCTGGAACGTCACATAGCTTAGCCTGGACAGCATTACCCAGAGACAGGTCAGAAAATAATTTATACCTTATATAAGAAAAAATTGCCCTATGGAGTTTGAGAGTTGATAATGAGTGTCAGTACATTTTTTTTTAAATCAACACAATTTTTAAAAACATTTCTGACAGGCAAGTTGTCGCTTGGCACAGACCTTACTGTGTAGATTTGGAAGAAAGCACTTTTTCGCACCTGCGATCATTTCTCGAGTGGTACTGTGATGGAATCAACAATGATGTTCCACCTCTTCCCTTTCCATCATCAAGGTAGAATTTGCTCAAGTAAAATGTGTGTTATCTGTTAAGTCTAAAATTATTGAAGGTGTGAAGTTCTGTTGAAAATAATAAATAATAATAATAATAATCCTTGCATTTGATATAGCGCTTTCACGTCGGGAGGACGTCCAAGCGCTTCACAGAATATACTGTAAAGTGAATTGACTGTATATTTGTGGGCGAACGCGGCAGCCAATTGCGCACAGCAAAATATGTTTGATCTAGGGCTATTTATAATTGCCGTTCTAGTAGCTGTTGTTTAGTGGTATATTCATAATGGTGTAATAAATAAATGCCTAAATAATGTGTTACAATGTTTGCAAAGAATCATTTTTTTTCTGAGCTGGTAATGCAATTATCAGTGTAGATGTCGCACCTTCTGTTCATGTGGGCATGGCAAAAATATACATAGTGTTTTTAGTAGAGGTTTTCAATAATTACTTATTACCAATTACTGAGTAGGACTAAGTGAAATGGGAGGATTCTTTCGAATGGTTTACCTATTCTCTAGATAAGCAGTGAATGGCAAGAATAAGAATACAGTACGTCTCCAATATTACATTTCATAGATTAGTGTCCAGCACTATACCTATCAAATGAAATATGAAAGGCGGTATATAAATGCAAGTTGTTATTTTCTAGCTATGTCGTTTTTTCCTGTGTTGATGCATCAATTGTTCTAAATCAGGTTTGTTTTATTTTTGTTTGTTTTTAAAATAGAGAACATCATAATTTTCTGAAACTCTGTCTTAAACTGCTTTCAAACCATCTGGCACTTGCTCTAGCTGGGGGAGTAGCCACCAGTATTCTTGGGAGACAAGCTAGGCCTTTGAGAAACCTGCTGTTCAGACTAATGGATTCCTCTGTGCCAGATGAAATTCAAGAGGTATTTTCTTTCTATATACTTGATTTCAGTGACTAAATTAAGTGCATTCATTCTACTGAGTAATGAAATTAGTTTGAAATAGAAAAAGCGCTCATGTAATTTAAAGCACCACAAATTGTGCTAAAGTGTAAATGTTTACAATAAATAAATGTAATAGTTGTGATGCCTTGAATGAGCATTTACTTTAATCAGCAAATGTTGCTTCTAATATTGCTGTTTATAAATGCTTTTGGGAGCATGATGGATTATGAAGCTTATTAAAACGATTGGCAAATATTAATTTAAAAATTGAACATTTATTTCTGTTTTCCTCCTTTCAGGCTGTCATAGAGACCCTTTCTGTAGGTGCTACTATGTTACTTCCTCCACTGCGTGAAAGAATGGAACTGCTTCATTCACTACTACCCCAGGGCCCTGACAGGTGGGAAAGCCTATCAAAAGGACAGGTAAGAAGATTGTTTGTTTGGATTTTAAATAAATAAAAAAGCTTCATTGTTGGTACTTAAACAAATTTTTCATTGTAAATCTTGGAATATATCCCATGAGGGCCTTCTTTCATCTCTTAATATGACTAAGCTAGTGTCAAGCATCTAAAAGAGAATTTATAAGGAACTATCACACAGAGAGTAGTGAGCTTGTGGAACTCATTGCCTGAAGCATTGGTTAAATCCGATGGATGCATTGAAGAGGAAGTTTAACCTTCACACCAGGGAGAGGGAAACCGGCTCTCACTGTTTATAATTTTGGGAGAGCAAGATCAGCACATACACTGATGTCACCTGAGGTTGATGCATGCTGATGTTAAAAATACATTGTTGTGTGACGTTAGCAATGTGCTTTCTCCAGATTAATCAAGGAACCTGGCTCAATTCCAGTCATGTGTGGAGGATGCTTCTGTCAAACATAAATAATCCCACAATCTTTATTCTCCAATGTGCCTTCTTTTCTAGAATGTGGTGCATTTAATTAAAATCCCTTTAAATCAACTCTGAATGAGAGCTCCTAAAATGTTTAGTTTTCAAATGTCTAACTTTCAGTCTGTAACATTTGTATTTGTAACATACTGTGACATTTGCAATACATGTTAGCCAGAATTACAAACATTTTCAGATTCTGTATGAGTGCAGATTGTACGAGTTGAAACTTGCGTGTTATTTTCTGCTAGTGATAGTTCTTTAAAATTGGAATAATTGTCATTTTTCTCTAGAGGATGCAGTTGGATATTATTCTCACAAGCCTTCAGGATCACACCCATGTGGCTTCTTTGCTAGGCTACAGCACTCCTCCTGATGTCATTGAAACTCCCTGCACAGGACCATTGTATAACAGCCTCCCCGATGGATCCTATGGCTCCCAAGGCAGCCATCCTGATACTCATTTAGCAGAAATTTTGATGAAAACCCTGTTAAGGAATCTTGGATTCTATACTGTAAGTAACCTTTCACTTTCACATATTTAAAGTTGCTGTGGTGGGTAACAGGTTTTTCAAAGAAAATCTGCTTGTGTTATTGGATTGCATAGATAAACCACCCATGATCTAAGTAGCAACCTTTATTGTATAAAGAATGCAATAATTTTATACAACCATTCTTATATGCCCAGAAATACAGTCACCGCCCTTTACTGTGGAGTCCTGTAGCTCAGTGGTTAGAGCACTCGCTTTGCAAGCGAGAGACCTGAGTTCATTTCCAGGCAGAGGGCGAAACCTTGGGCAAGTTTCCTTACTCCACACGCCTAATAATAATCCCTCCAAAACCAAAAACAATAATAAATTGGTCATTTTCAATCTACAACTGTTTGTGGGACATCGCTGTGCGCAATTGGCTGCCGCATTCGCCCACAAATATATAGTCAATTCACTTTACAGTGTGTTCTGTGAAGCGCTTTAGGACGTCCTCCCGACGTGAAAAGCGCTATATCAAATGCAAGGATTATTATTATTATCCTGTGAAGAGCTTTGAAACTTATTCTTGTCATGAAAGGTGATATATCAAATGTCAGAATTATTATTAGCACTTTTTAGGTAGTTAATGTAGTAGTATTTGCTTTTGCTGACAAAATGGCATGCATTGGGCTGTGTGCCCATTTGTAAGTTTAGTTAATTACTTTTTGGATCATTATCAGTGATTTGCTTACATTCACTCTTTTTGTATATAGGATCAGGCTTTTGGCGAGCTTGAAAAGAATAGTGATAAGCAGCTATTGGGGACTTCGTCAGCTGAAAACAGTCAGCCAGCTCACTTACATGAATTGCTATGCTCGTTGCAGAAACAACTTTTGGCTTATTGCCATACCAACAGTGTCAGTGAGGTAAATATAATACATCTAGAATTGCAAAATATGCTTCATTTCAATTTGGGGTATGAACATTATAGATTTGTATTCAACGTAGTGTTGTACTTGGTGGCAGTGGTGATCTCTAGGTTTAAACGCATGTTTTATTTTAGAGTTCCAGCAGTGTGGCTTTACTGCACAAACATCTACAACTCCTGCTGCCTCATGCAACAGAAATTTACTTGCGTTCTGCAACATTGCTGAAAGAGAGCTCCTGGAATGGGAGTGTCAGGGATAAACTCCAAGGTATGATTTTTTTTATTTCAGACGATTTAATTTAAGTTCTTTTTATAGAATATATAACCATTTCTAGATGTCTACATGCCTCAACGTGCAGATTTTGATTTCACTGTCAGCGGGGTATTTTAACATTCACTAAATGTTTTTTAACACTGTCTGCTTTTTAAAAACAACCCATTAAATTGCAAAGTTATAGGATGGATGTTAGTTTTCAGGATGCTTTTTTTTTCTTGGTGTTCATTCACCAAGACATTGCATTTTGTAATTATTAGTTCTTTTCCATCAAATACTTGTTTTTAAAAAGAGTGACTTGGAACCATCTGGAGGTAAATGGTTCAATAAACATGTCAACTTTTTCTCAATGCAATTAATTTTTTGTACATGTACTCTGCAGTCTGGATCAACAAAGAATTATTTCTACTTGCAGGTGTCCTCTATGGTTCAGCAGCAGGGAGCATGCTCTGTCAGATCATTAACTCATTGTTGCTACTACCTGTATTTGTGGCACGACCTTTGCTAAGCCATCTGCTGGATTTATTACCATCATTAGATCGTTTGAACCGACTTTTACCGGCTGCAGCCCTTTTAGAAGATCAGGAGTTACAATGGCCATTACATGGTAAGAGGTTTATTCAGAGCTCTCGATGTCGTTGAGCTTATCTGGTGAATCATAAAGGTTTGGACTTCGCAGGTTTCATCGCAAATTATTTATGCAAGGATAATAAACATGCTGCTGTCAGGATAGAAAACCTTCCACTCCCGATTTCTGTACAGTTACACCTGTTGGGGGTGCATATTTATTGGCGACAGAATGGGTCTCAGTCCTCTTTGTCAAAGTGCCAAAGTTAATTATTCTACCACTGCTCCATTTTACCAATTGGACTGTGAGATGAATTTTGCTCAGTTTGTAAAATTTGCATCAAAATTAGAACATACTCAACATTTGGCCAACACGATCCAACATAGCTTCAAGTAACATTTTTCTGCATCTTTGCAGGTTTTAAATGATAAACCAGTTTGGTTTGTAAACACTTTAAATATGTTATTCAGAGTGGAAATATGTGCATTTGAATTATCTGTGTTTTTATAAAGTATTTGATCATATTTTTGCACTAATTACCATCTCTTACTTGTTTGATACTTTTAAACTACTGCCACCCTATTTAGCTGCTGCTAAAGCAGCAACCCTGGTTTTCGAGACAATGCTATCCACAAAACTAGGTGGTAATGTTGCTTCAGGGGGTGATTACTTCAGTTCATTTACTGGTTTGGGTGGTATAACATTATGCTGAGGTTGGTAAATTTCAAGATGCACTAGTTTACCAAACTCAGAAATTTACTGCCGAGGAGAGAATTTCTCCAAAAATGCAATAACCTTGGGTAATTGAAAAGTGTGCGTGTTGTGTTAACAGAATAAAGTAAGTTTCTGCAGTTACGCAAAAAGTTTGCAATATGGATGAATTCTTTGAAATATTATTACTAATCCTCTTGATTAATGCTGTTAGGTACCCTTGAGCATGTTGACCCTGCTGATTTGTCCATGCCACAGCCTGCCCTGTCTTGGGTCTGGCTTGTAGATCTGGAGAGAACTCTTGCACTACTTGTAGGCCGCTGCCTTGGTGGTATGCTCCAGGGCCCACCCAACTCACCAGAGGAACAAGATACTGCCTATTGGTTAAAAACTCCTCTATTCAGCAATGGATTGGAAATGGATCTTCCCCAACTAGGTAATACTGCTACTTTGAAATGTTCTGACCATCTTATCATTCAGCTTCTGTTGCTGCTTCATAGGTAAGTAAGCATACATATGTTAGAACAAATGTTCTTTATTTTTTCTTCTGTTGATTCTAAAATGAAAATCACTTTAGCTTATATGAATGTCATAGTTGGAGAATTTTCAGGAGGCTGCTGTTTTTCTTCCCCCTCTCCCTGCTCCTCCCGTCTTCTCGCAAAGGCATTTTGACTCCTAGGGTTTGGTTGTAAGGTTGTCGATTGTCCTATGACCAAGAGAGGCATCAAAACCTTGCTTGATCTTGTCCTTTACTCCACCACTTGTACCTTCCATCATGTGCGTCTTGGTGACAGTCAGGAGGGATAATCCTTGTGTGTATAATTGGTACTGAGACTAATTGTAGAATCCCAACAGTTGCCTCAGCTGAGATCACCTAATTCAAGACCAAGACTTGAACTTGCAACATTCAGCATGAATCAGCCTCTGAGACTGACAAATGTTTTGTGGTGGTGGATTACTATATGTATTTTTGTATACACTTTTGATTTATGCACATCTTTTGCAAGTATTATAAATATTTTTAAAGAGAAATTTAGTAAAAGATTGTTTCCTTAATGCAGATAAATGTATGAGCTCTTTATTGGAAGTCGCACTGTCTGGAAATGAAGAACAAAAACCATTTGAATACAACCTTGGTTCTGATGACATTATGTTTATTGATCTGTCTTTGGGTTGTACTAAAGAACCTGCCAATGCTCTGTGGCTCAAAATGCAGGATTATGCCGTCAGCAAAGGTAGGTGGATCTTTTCAGAGGGAACATTTTTTGTGTAATGGGTGAATATTGAATCTTTAAACGTGTATTTTATTTAATTATATATAGTCCATTGTATACCTGAAGTGTACAGGCACTGTGAAGAAACTAATGGTAATACTTCTACAGGGAGAATAGACTTCACAATTGAAAGATGAAGTAATTCTATCTTATCCTTGAACCGTTCGCTTCAATCTCCATTCTTTCAATGTAGTGTCATGGTATCTTACCTCTGTGTGACAATTACACATTCCTTCCAGGTGCACTCTGAAAATAGTGATCCTTCTCTTCTCATTTTATGCCAAAAATATGTGCCCGGTCAGAGCAGTCTCACAAAACACACCCAACTCTTGGCTTTTAATAAAATATTTCTTATTTATTCAAACCCATATGCTTCAATATATATATTCCCACATTCCACGCAAAAATAACAACTACAATTCTTATACAATACTTTGATAATACTATATTAATATAACTTTAACAAGGCATTATAACTCATACTCTATAAGATATCTAACCACTGAGCCTCAACTCTTGGACCAAACAAATAGAGGAAACTTACCCCAAATTCACATCTCTTCTGAGATTCTGAGATTCAGAGTTTTTATAATTAGTGATATTAAAGTCAAATGTTAGTGAAAACTCCAAAACGCAACAACTGTCATAACTCCATTCCCTCTCTTTTATACCTCAAATGTGTCCGTGTGACTTTTTTACCCAATCAGTTCTTTGTACTTTGCAAACTCAACTCCTGATTGACTAAGAATGACCTTGTTAAATAAATCCTTCGTACTTTGATAGTTTGAAAACATGAAACTGGTTAGCTCAACTGTTAACTCAACTATTATTCAGACTGAAAGACTCCGACGGGACCATAAAACGCATTAACTCACAAAATCTAACAAAAAAGCCATAAACCGAAAGCACTTAACCAACATGTTTACACCTTAAGAGAGAGAAACAGATTGACAAATTTAACAAATTCAACAGACTATCTGGCTCCGAACACCTGTGACCCCTCTTCATGTACCGAAATATTCACCCTTTTAATCCTTTACTACCTCACAGTAGCATCAAGGAACTGATTTTACACTCAGATTAAGCACAAATAAATTCATTAAAACTATTTAATATCAATTATGTCTAAATTTATCCTGATAAGATTTTTAAAAAAATAACATTGCGCCCAATGTTTCATCTTACCTGCGTGTAATTCTTGCCTTTTTATTCCAGACTGGGATAGTGCGATTCTCAGCAATGAGTCCTTGTTGGATACAGCTTCAAGATTTGTTCTTGCAGCTCTTTTAAAACACACTAGCTTGCTAAATCAAGCTTGCGGAGAGAGCAGGCAAGTTGCATATTTGCTATCAAAACGCATCAACACTGCATGTAAAATTTGTTGTATGATATGGATTGGTTAGACCAGTTGATTTGTGAACACTTGTGAAAAACCTAATGCAGGGAAGATGCAACCTTTTTCCATATTTTTGTTTACCTATTAAGTTTACCTTAATACTAATCACATTTTCAGTTTAAACTTTCCAAAAGCTTTAATTAAAAAAAAATGTTTTTCAGGTACCAGCCCAGTAAAACTCTTGCAGAAGTTTATCGTTGTGTGTACAAAGTTCGTAACAGGCTGTTAGCATGTAAAAACATGGAACTTATCCAGACTCAGTCACCTTCCAGGGATAGATGGGTAAGTTTATGAAACTGCATTGAAAAAAAATGTTTTCAAATAATTTTTGTTTACCATCTCCATGGAAAGTTAGACCATTCTTTATAATAGTGAGGGTATTTTATAAATCTTAAGTGAAACTGTCATGAATTACATTAGGCTCAAGTAGGAATGTGTATTGATTTTATAAGAGTCATCAAAACTTTGGCATCTGTTTCAAAAATGTTTTGTTATAAGCAGCTTTATCATATAAAAGGAGAAAAAAGCTGTTGTGGTGCAATGGCTATTGCAAAATCACCAAGGGAAAAGGGCTCAGTAACGAGTTATCCAGAGTTTTGAGTTAGGGATATGTGTTGTTACAAAAATAAATGCAACCAGGATATTGACTGCATGATGATTTAAATGGTGGTGACAAGTTAAACCAGAGTCGAGTTATTATCAGGAGTTTACTGTATTACAGAACTGTGTTTCTGCTTTGCTTTCAAGTTGTCTGGAAATCCGGATTCTACAGAGGACCAAGAGCACTCATTTACCCGCACCATTGATGAGGAAGCTGAAATGGAAGAACAGGCAGACAGAGATCGTGAGGAAGAACACCTGGAACAAGGGGATGAGGAAGAAGAAGAAGAAGAAGAAGAAAGGGAACAAGAGGTCATGACTGCTGGCAGTAAGTAAATCTGGAGTTTGCAACCTAAATTGAACTTCCATTGAGTGAAGTATGAAAGGCACTTAATGTTGATCACAGGTTATTCATTAATATTGGACACCTATAATACCAGTAGAGTCCTGCTGAGATAACATGCAAGTGTGTAAAATTATTGTCCAAAGCACAACTGTTTTCCCTGATGGTTAAGTGTAAGAGATTTGTTGAATGCTATCTGCACCATATTTTTAAATTGACCTCCTGCAAAAAAAACTCATATATTCGAGGTATTTGTTAACACATGCTTCTGCTTGCTATGCTTTATAATGTATGTTTGTGTTTTTCTGTTGCACGTTACAGAAATCTTTCAATGTTTTCTATCAGCCCGTGAAATTGCTCGTGGCCGCGATCGAGAGCGAATGAACAGCACCACTGGAATTGGGAATGGAATAGTTGTGCAGCTTGATGATCCACCCACTCAGCTCCTGGAAGAACGCAGGGTCAGCACAGGACTTCCAGAAGGGCAGGACCTGTATACAGCAGCGTGCAATTCTGTCATCCATCGCTGTGCACTGTTGATTCTAGGAGTCAGCCCAGTTGTACAAGAATTGCATCAAAAAGATGAAGGGCAGACCCGAACTTCTGTTTCTGGAGTTACTGAAGGCCTTGGATTCATGACTAGGTTAGCAACCAAATCTTTGAACCTTGAAAATATTTTCTGAGTGATTTTAAAAAGAACACACACAATATATTTTCAGCAATGCTAATTAAATTTGGTACAACTTCTGCTAGAAAACATTGCTTTGTGGTGGTGTTTTGTTGACACTAGGAAAAATTTAAAATTCTCAAGATTATATAAAAGAAAACATTGTTCTGCAAAACTCTTATTGGGTATGTATCATGCCCCCAAACTGCTGGTTTAAGGCAGCCTTTTGGTTTCAGTTAGCAATCCAAGTCTGGTGTTTCACAAATCAATACAGACTCATTTATTGCTTCTATGTATCTGACAGATATTCTGCAATACTCCCTTCTGGGAATAAGTGTATCCATAGAGTCCTTAGTGAAGTTTGTTTCCTCCTGCTTGAAGCCCCTTAATTAATCTGAGTTAAAGAGTTAAACCTAACTTTTTATCTTGTAAGGATTTTGAATTTTTCCTAGGCCTCTAGTAAACTTGAGAACATATGTAATCTCACTTTCAAATTGCTTCATGCCCTGTCACCTCCCTCTCTCTCCAATCTGCTCATGCCCCACTTCATTACCCGCTGCCTTCGCTCAGCTGGCACAGGTCTGCTGTATGTCCCCTCCGTTCCACTGTTGATGGTTGTCCTTTCAGCCAAGATGCCCTGAATCTCTGGAACTCCCTGTCTCAATCCCACTGTCTTGCCTCGTCTTTGCCTGGTTTCAAGTCACACCTGATGACTTTCCTCTTCAGCTGTGCTTTTGGTCACCTCCTCTCCCTTTACAGCTTGGTATCAAACCACACCGCTGTTTTAGTGCTCCAAGATGCTCCCCGCATGAAAGGCAAGTTATTGTAATGTACACTCATTGTGAAATGTTTCATTGAGAAACTCTCACTTTGGTTATTCTAGTTGCCATGATTACAAATGCTGGTTTATTGACTAAACCTATGTGATTTAATTTATAAAATGACCTTGTAAATTTCATCTTTGATTCCGTTGCTACATTTTTAGAAATGAACCATTGTGAGTATTTAACTTGAATGGATATTGAGAGCTCCAGCCTCATGAGATTTGTTTGTTCCAGAAGTGAGAGTTTAACAGCAGAGAGCCATTCTGTGCAAACTGGTTCGACCCACAAACTGACTAAATCAAGAAGTGAGTCAGATTTATCTCAGCCAGAATCTGATGAGGAAGGATATGGATTGGTGAGGAGTTCTTCTTGTTTCAATGCATTTTAATTCTCATTTTAAGTACTTCCAGCACTTACTGGGCTAGCGTTCTGCTCTGAAAAATGGCTGCCTTTGGTTGACACTAACGACACTGCACGTTTTGTGCAGGACACAATGTTAGCGGTGACCTGTTTTATTTTTTTTACACACTGCTCTTACAACGCAGCTGCTGGAACATGAGGCCCAGCCTATACAATGTTTTCCTGTATAGTGGGTGTGGATACTTTTTGTTTACCTCACCTCTGAGACTTGCTTAGAATAGTTCCTAAGTTAAAAGCGGTATTTAAATACTTTTCCAAAGAATTTTTAATTGAGTCAGATTGCAATGCTATACAAGTTATTGACTTATATTTTAAAAGACTTCATTCCAATTTTTGTAACTTTTGTAATTTTTCTTAAAGAGCTCCAGAAGAAATGTGGATTTGGATTTGGCATTTACTCGGAGAAAATGGGGTGAGTCTATTGTGCTACAAATAATGTGCCACTACAGAATGTAATATTAGCTATCTTTAGTCATGTTCATCTGTTTAATCTGTTATACACTATTTGTATGAAACACAGTTTTGGAGGTTAGATTTTCATCGATGTTGGTGCTGCCTTGCCATGGGTGAAACTCACAGCTCGAAGCAGTGTAATGAACAGACATTGTAGACATTTACTTATATTGATACCTTCCGAGAACCACAGAGTGAGTCCCTTTGCAACAAGTTTTTATAACTTGGTTCAGGTTGTTGCTACCAGCTTGTATTGTATTTCCTACAAGAAGATTTGATAAATTCGGTAATCTAGAAAGTCTTCTATTTTAAATAGTTAGACATTATCCTGTAGCTCAGTGGTTAGAAAACTTGCCTTGCAAGCGAGAGACTTGGGTGCGATTCCCGGCAGAGCGAAACCTTGGGCAAGTTTCCTTACTCCACACGCCTGATAATAATCCCTCAAGAAAAAATCAATAATAAATTGGTCACTTCAATCCACAACTATTTGTGGGACACTGCTGTGTGCGATTGGCTGCCGCGTTTCGCCCACAAATATACAGTCAATTCACTTTACAGTTTATTCTGTGAAACGCTTTGAGACATCTAGAAGATGTGAAAGGCGCTGTATCAAATGCAAGGATTATTTATTATTGTCTTAAAGTGACCACAAAATAAATTGTGAATAATCCTATTATCCTAAAGGACAATATTGTTTGAGCAACAATTTGCTTTTATGCAACACATCATCACGTAGGATCATGTCTTACAGTGCTTTATAATGACTGGATTGGATGATGAACAAGAGTGACCGGGAGGATGGATATGTGACCATAAGCGAGAGATCAGTTTTAAGGCAGAAGAAAAAAATGGATAGAGAAGGTTAAAGAGGGAACGTTCTAGAGATTTTTGTAGTTCACATTGCAAACCCTCAACTGTCCAACAACTTGGGGTGTCCTCCTGGTGTGAAAGACTATATAAATGCAATTTGTTGTTCACTTTTTTATTCTGCTTTGTACATGATTGAGTTTTTGGATCTGCTCCTTGTGTAAGTAGGCAAAAGTGCTTCCTGCAAACATGGTATTTATTCTACACTTGCACGAAAATAAGTAACTTTTGCATTTCTATTTCCATGTTATTCTCCACAGGTCCTCTTCATAGTCCGACCGATTCTCTCCGGGGCTCCTGGACACGATTGAAACACAGCAGAGATCAATCGTATGATTCTTCATACTCCTACAGTGGATCTGATTGTGATCTGAATAAACTGCTCGGAATCCACACATTTATTGAAAACATAGTTAGCTTTGTAAGTGGAGGTATGGGCACTTCTCCAGGTTTTAAAGAGCCTGAAGAAAATATGTCCACCAACCCTCAGGCTATCATTATTGCCATGGAACAGCAACAGCTTAGGTCAGAGGTAAGCAGCCGAGACAATTGTATCTTCACGGCTTAATTCGTAGTTTAATGTTGAGGCAAATACAATATTGTTCTTGCTGCTTAAACATATTTACTTTGGAAGTAATGATCTGAATTGTAAGTGCTTAGTCTATGAAATGGGTGAGCGACTGGCACATGTGAAAATGCACTCCAGCATGAATCATTTATTCATTATTAATATGAGATTATTTAATATTCCTTAGCTTCGTCTGGCTGCACTTCACCAAGTCTTGGTATTGCTTACTGGAATGGAGGAAAAGGGGAGCCTGTTAATAGGAAGTAATTGCCCAGGTTCAGGTTTCCAGTCATCATCTTTACTGACTTCAGTCAGACTACAATTCCTAGCAGGATGCTTTGGCCTCGGGACTGTAGGAAATGCAGGATTTAAAGGCGAAAGTGTTCAATTGCACCACTATCAGGTATTGACCAAATGTAATCAGATCCGCTATGTTCTGGGTGAAAAGTTTTTTTTTAAAGAAACTAAAATTGCTTACAAATACTTAATCTTACTGAAGTATATTGGGTCCAAATCCCTGACTGTCCAGGGCCTTGGGATGTCCTCCTGATGTGAAAGGCACAATACAAATGTAATTTGTTGTGTTGAGTATATATTTTAGGAATAGGTGTAAAGATGGTGAGGTATACATGTTTGCAGTTAGATCTATTTATTCCAAAATGATTAAAACATGGGAATACTGCAGAAAAAATAAAAATAGAAATACAATGAAGTAGTGAATATTATTTCGTAGAAAAAAATTATGTAAAACATACTTCTACTCTGTTTTTACTGTATTTAATAAAACTCTGATGACTTAGCATTAGGCCAATTCACACAATTTTCTTAACTGCAGAAACCAGAAAGGCCCTGAACTCCTATTTTGTTTTGGATGATCTCAGCTATGGCATCAATAGTAATGTTAATGTTAAAATTGACAAAATGCTACAGTTAATTTTTTCCCTAGAGAAATGATCCAAGCGATTGTTACAGTCTTTTCTACAGTCGTTTCAAGTAATGGAAATTCAGGTGTTTAGGTTGCACCTTTATGTGCTTTTTTTTATCCTGAATACATGGGGTGCAGTTTATCCACTGGCGTAAAAGTTGATGGTATATTTTACAAAACCCTGCAATTTAATTTGCAGAATGTTGAAGCATAAATGTTCAATTCTGTATGTTGGAAAGGATATATTAATATTTATCAATTGAACTATTCAGGATGGTATCAGGGCTGCCAGGAGAAATATTCAGCTGGATATCCAGATTGCAGTCCACAAAATATACCAACAGCTGTCTGCTACTCTGGAGCGTGCATTGCAGGCAAATAAGCATCACGTTGGTAAGTAAACTGGAACACAACTGACCCCATCTTATTAAAATGATTGAAACAAGAAAAGAATAGCTGGTCCTTAATTGTGATGCCTTCCCTTAATTAACTATCTACTCCACTTCTCCAAAAAATACTGATGAAGATCAAAAACCGTTTACTACCACAGCAGGATTGAATTAGAGTGAAACAATATAACTTATTTCTAAGTATTTATTTATCATTTCCATTTTAGTTTCTTTACCATCTCTCATCTTGCTTCCTCATTCTTCATCAACACTCAAACAGAATGGTGTTGCCCAGTTGCTTAAAATGTACCTTGATATACTTTGAGAAATTCTGGTCACAGCCCTGACATTGAGTATCTTTGGTGAATTTTCCCTAATATGTCCGCAGTTAAAACAATTTTATTTAATTCAGTAAAAAATATATTTTTTGAAACTTAGGAATTTTCTCCCTTCCTATTTTGATACACATTTAATTAGGTTCTCTTTTTCAGAAGCACAGCAGCGCCTTTTGCTGGTTACCGTGTTTGCACTTAGTGTGCGTTACCAGCCAGTGGATGTCTCATTGGCAATCTCCAGTGGTTTATTGAATGTGTTATCCCAGTTGTGCGGCAATGACACAATGCTTGGACAACCACTTCAGTTGATACAAAAGCCTGGTCTTTCACAGCTCAGCACAGCTTTGAAGGTTGCAAGCACTAGACTTCTTCAGATTCTAGCCATCACGACAGGGTAAGAGTATCGTTCACCTGTAGTATCTTTGTGATTAATTTGGAATACTCAGTGATGCAATATTTGGAGTTAAAGTCAAAGAATTGAGGCAACAATGGATGGGATTGAAAAATTATAAAGTCCACTGCAAGTTTTGAATGAGTTTTAAAAATTTCAGCTACAGAACACATTTTCAACCTAAATATGGCCTGAGAAGTTTGTTTTTTGAAAAAGCTCGGCATGAATATCTAAACAAGTTGCAGCGGGCTTATAATTAGTATAATATGGAATAAGAATAAAAATTATGGAAATTCATAACCGATCAATCACCATCTGACTGAAGCCAATGGCTAGGGATGTCCACAGTAATGCAAGGCATATCTTTGGAGGTGGTGGGGGTGAGGGTTGTCATGTTCTTGACCTCGCAAGCCAAACTCATAAGCAGTCTTATCAGGTGAAGTACTGCCAATACCGTTTAGCTGATTGATTCTTTTTTACTTCTACAATCTTATAGAACCTATGCAGACAAACTGAATCCTAAGGTGGTTCAGTCTCTATTGGATTTGTTGTGCAGCCAGCTGAAGAATCTCCTATCACACGCTGGAGTAAAATTGATCGAGCCACGTGAAGAAGGAGAAAACAAACTGGATGAGGCTGTTGAAGCTGACGGTACCAAAGATTTCAGAGGTATTACGGCTATTCTTTTCTGTTATCACATATTATATGATTTATATTTAAAAGAATAGGAAGTGAAATACAGTTCAATATAACTACAATAAATGAAAATATATATTCTAATTAATTGATTTTCCAACCAAAATGGTGACATGCTTATTAAAGAGAAAGACAAGTTGCGAGGGGAAATATATTCTGTTCAAATTACTTCCAGCAGCTTAAAAAAGAAAAACCTGATGCAATTATATTCCCACTGTAACAAGAAATGCTCATCTTTTCTTGATCATAGGGAGTCTTCAGTGTCTTCAGTGTCTAAGGTGTTCCGGTGTGTCCCATAGTGACTCCATTTAGTATAATGAACAGCTGCTTTGGAATATTTAAGGAAGAATCCAAAAAACGCAGAATTGGAGAGTATACAATACCCAGGCAGCTCTGTGCTTTCAGCTACAAATTAGCTTTCAGACCAGTTCTGCCTACCTTATTAATTTAAATGTAGCCACTGTGAAATGTACCTTACGCTAACATCTCTGAACTAGCCTAGGGACTGCAGAGGCAAATCTTGAAGATGTGTTAAAATCAAGAGTTCCTCACTACAGATGTGATATTTTGGGGGATAGTTTGAATGCAAAGTGAATACTGTGAACTTTAGTTCCCCTTTAATATAATAAGATTAATTCCATTAAGTTTTATAAACAGCAGCATTTCTACTTTGCTTTCTATACAAATATTTTCATAAATGTAGAGCAAAAATCGAGGTTTGCTTTAGATGAATGATATGTTGCTTTGTGTTTTGCAGCAGTTCTTCGAAAACAACACTCAGCAGAGCTACAGCTTGGCGATTTCCTTGTTTTCCTCCGTAGAGTTGTTTCTTCAAAAGCTATTCAATCCAAAATGGCATCTCCCAAATGGACTGAGGTGTTACTTAATATTGCTGCTCAAAAATATTTTTCAGGTACATTCCAAATAATAAAAATCTTATTAATCATTAATAAATATCAAAAGTAATAAGCTACCAAAGAGAAATACGACTCATGCTCAAATATTTGTGTTCAAAGTATTTGCAGAAGAAATACAAAGTACAAAAATAGTTTTAAAACAACTTGTGACACCACTTAAGAACCAGAGATAAATAAGCATGAAAGCTCAGGAATCTTTGTGTTCTTGTTTGACGAGAAATGATTCCAAGCGAGTTGTACAGAAAGTATTAAATTTCCTGACTCCATACATGGTCACAAGCTCCATTTGTTCATATAGGTGTGCCTCTGGTTGGTAATCTCAGAACAAGGCTACTTGCCCTTCATGTTCTAGAAGCGGTACTGCCTGCTTGCGAGTCAAGTGTTGAAGATGATCAAATGATGCAGGTAAAGAAAACATCGCATTGATTTTGCAAGTGTTGAAACAAATCTTTATTGCATCTTCGGAATGTTTTGTTTCTCCTTTTTATATAATTTAGCTTGTTTCGTAGTGCTGAGACTGCTAAATAAATCCAATGGGCATAAATATTCTTGTCTCAATTTTAAGCTGAAGTGGTCTGAGAAAATGGCTCCAGAAATGTATCTTAATTATATTGTGAATGGACAATTAATTACTCAATTTAACAAAGTTAATATTAATAGCCTGTATTTTAACGTTTTTATTCAGTTAAGCATTCTAGTTTGAAAGAAAGCAATATAGATTTGAAATGTCACACTCTTTAAATCTGTATTAACTGCTACCTGCCGTAAACTTTCCTATCTTTAATTTTTATTTGGACGTATAGGTGGTGGAGCGGCTTTTTTTGCTCATATCTGACTGCATGTGGGAGGCACCTATAGCTCAGGCAAAACGTGCTCTTCAAGTGAAGGAGAAAGAACAAGAGATGAAATTACAGGTATAGAATTACCCAGACATTCTTGGATTTAAGTCAAAAGTACAGTATAGAGACGTTTCCATGAAATTTACTTCTGGCATCATAAAACTAAATTTCAAAATGAAAACGCACCAAAAATGAAAAGCACTAAAATGACGTAAATACAATAGAAATAGGGTTGGAAAAGGATTTGGAAAGTGAGTTTGGCGGCTATAGAGAGGCATTGACTGAGATTGTCCCTCTGCCTGGGCATATCATGTGGCAACCAAAGCATGGGAGAAAATCTTTTTTTTAAACAAAGTGAAGGTGATAGAAACCCTCAAAAAATCCATCCAAATACGACAAAGCCACGTGAGAGGATGGTAAAAATATTGTCATATTTATTGGAGGTCTTGTATTGTGCTTATTTATATATATATATAATATGCAGGTCATTTATTCATACATATTTGCTGAGTTGTAGATTACTTGTATTTGTCTTAAAAATAAGCTTTAGCATTAACCTAGTTATTACTTGAATGACCTCAAATGTCTCTGTGAATAGAGAATTGGGTTTCCCATTTTGTCAAAATGTGATTCAAAGTGGCTGGCCTGACTTAATTGTAGCACATGTGTTGTACGTTTTATTATTTGTTAATTATGACAGAAGCAAGGAGACAGTGAGGAAGAAGATGAAAATCTTCCTATTCAGGAAGTGTCCTTTGATCCTGAAAAAACGCAATGTTGTGCTGTGGAGAACGGACAAGTTCTGACTCATGGTAGTGGTGGAAAAGGCTATGGATTAGCATCAACTGGCATTACGTCTGGATGCTACCAGTGGAAGGTATGCCCGTAGCGTCGATTTGCAAAGTCTTTATAAATATAACAGCACACCAAAACGTTTTAAATGGTCTCCTTTTTTAACTCTTGTATTTAAACTTAATTTGGGTAAACAAAGTACTTTTTTTAAAAAAAATCTGTTTCAAGAATATTGAGCTGATTGTGGAATTTTGTGACTAGTTTTACATAGTAAAGGAAAATCGAGGTAATGAGGGCACCTGTGTCGGAGTATCTCGTTGGCCTGTACATGACTTCAACCATCGCACCACTTCAGACATGTGGCTGTACAGAGCATACAGCGGTAATCTGTACCACAATAGTGAGCAGACACTGACCCTTTCCAGCTTCACTCAAGGAGATTACATAACTTGTGTGTTGGATATGGAAGCCAGGACAATCTCATTTGGGAAGAATGGCGAGGTAAATCATCATGTACTTGGTGTATAGATGTATATAAGCTCCATATGACAAAAAAACTTAGTATACATATATTATAGAAGAGCAAAACATTGCCATAAGAATACAAACATTTGCATGTACTCTTTAAGGTGTTATCTCTAATTGGCCATAGAACATTGACATTTATAGCACAGAAGAAGACTTGAGTTTCCCGAGTCCTCCGCTCCACCCTTGGCGGCCGTGCCTTCAGCCACTACTCCCCGAGGCTTTGGAATTCCCTTCCTCACTCCCTTCGCCTCGCACCCTCTCTTCCTATTTTCAGGTCCCTGCTGAAGACCTTTTCGACCACGCCTTTGGTCACCTTCCTCCCCCTCCCCCTGGCTCGGCCCCAGGTCCATTACTGTGAAGCGCTGTGAGACGCCGTCCGGCGTGGAGGGCGCTATATAAATCCAAGTTGTTGTTCTGCTATTGTAAAGTGCTCGAGACGTATTCATAGAGCATCATTCACGTGGAATAACAAGTTGTCGTTTGAATTCTAGAATTTGGAAGCTCTAAATCAGATACAATTTCAGTCCAAATTGTCAGCCCTCATTTTAAGTGAAGACACTTCCTCTGGCAACATATGTAGTTGTTCGCTGTAACTTTCTCTTGGGGTTACTCCACAGGACTGAAGATAGAAATTGGATGGCCATTTCTTGAAGGAAGCAAATTAATTTCCTGCTTGCTTGTTGACTAAAAATATTTCTGAGCGCTTCACTTCCCTCTGTTTAAGAGAAGCCATTTTCTATTGACTAGCTTTTAAATAAATAAGCTAGCTAAGAAAAAATTATATTGAATAGACCTTATATTTGAAATCAAGAGGACATTTCAAAGCACTTCACAGGAATTACCATAAAATGTTGTGACTGTATATTAGATGAATGCCTACAAAAGGGAGAGAATTTATTATTGACTTTTTAAGACCAAACTGGGAAAGTATTTTAAAAGTATTATTTCCACCCTCCTTCCTCCCACCCCACCCCAGATCCCTCTGTACTGAATTTGCTTCCATACGTAAAATGCTGTGTTCAAAATATGTACTAGATATACTAGGTAGTATGTCTAGTAATTTCTGCTATATATCACTCCAATAAGCTTTAACACTCACCTATCCAAAACAGACTGGTACTTTAATACTTAGACTGAGTGATGTCCTGATAAAATTTGTGCTGCCTATTTCTGTTCATGTAAATCAATCATTAATAATGTTATATATATTCTGCTGGTTCTCGATTTTGAATCTTGTTTTACTTCTAGGAACCCAAACTAGCATTTGAAGATGTGGATGCAGCTGAATTATATCCTTGTGTAATGTTCTATAGTAGCAATCCTGGGGAAAAGGTAAGAAAAAAAGTTTGTATTTTGTAATATATTGCCTGTGAAATGCAAGGATTATTTGAAACTTTCCTAGTTTTTTTAAAAAAATAAATTAAAAATGGGAGAAACTATATAAAAGGTTCTGCCAGTAAGTAATAGCATTTGAGGAAATATTGAATAGTTTTGAATTAGTTATTAAATAGAACAGGACAAATAATCTTTTTATTCTTCTAGGTTAAAATCTGTGAAATGCAAATGCGTGGCACACCTCGGGATTTACTGCCTGGTGATCCTATATGTAGCCCTGTGGCTACTGTACTTGCAGAGGCCACTATCCAACTCATCCGCATTCTTCATCGTACAGACAGGTGGACGTACTGTATCAACAAAAACATGATGGATCGTTTGCAGAAAATCAAATCTTCCATAAAAGATGGTGGTCAGAAATTAAAGAAGAGTCGTTCTGTGCAAAGCAGAGAGGAACACGAAATGAAAGAAGAGAGCAAGGAGGAGGAAAAAGGCAAGCACAGCAAGCATGGGTTGGCAGAGCTTGCTGAAATCCAGCTGAAGACCTTGTGCACTGAAGTGTGGCCTGTGCTGGCAGTAATTGGTGGTGTGGATACGGGCCTAAGAGTTGGAGGGAGATGTGTACACAAACAAACTGGTCGCTATGCTACCCTTTTAGGTGTAGTCAAGGAAGGGAGCACATCTGCGAAGGTTCAGTGGGATGATGCAGAAATTACAATAAGGTAAGTACTGATTGTGGTTTCTGTTCACATCGCTTATTTAGCATTCACAGAGCTGGTTGCTTAACTAATAAAATTAATGAATGTATTACACAGAAACAGAATATACTAAAATGTAGAAAGTGTTTTAAATATACAAGTTAGTTGAATTATCCTAAAAACGGAAGTGCTGATGTCCTGTTTAAAGCTTCAAGTTAAAAATTCTTAATATTAGAGGTTTAGGTTAAGTTGAAGGTGTTCAGTGCAAAGATGAATGCTACATTATTATTCATGCACCCTAGTAAAGGCAGTAGTTCTCTAACGTTTTTAAAAAGGATTCTTTGTGAAAATGTTTAGAATAGGCTACACCAGTATCAGAGGACGACATTTTAAAATGTGCTCTTTATTTGTTCATTTTAAATTGTGAGTTTAACAATAATTGGTGTGCTGTTTGCCACTTGAGGTGTAAATGTGGTATCATTTATGAAGGGGAAAAATATATTTATTTTAAGAATGTATTTGCATAAAAGTGAATGAAAAAGCAATTTGGCTCACACACTTGCTCTTTTTTAAAATTCATTTCTTGAAATCAAATGTAGCAGTACTCCAGGTGCTGACATTTCCTCCTGTGTGCCTCCTCTCATATTTTTAATGTTTTTTTTAAATGATTTGGGTGGTGGGGGGGCAATTTTGGAGATTGATTATTGAAAAAACATAATTAATATTGGTTACTATATTTTCAGATTTACCAGCAAATTCAGAAAGTGTTGCAAAAATGTTTCTCTATACAGGGCAGCCCATTTATAATGCGGTCGTCTGGGGCCAATATCTCAGAGGCTACAATATAAGTTTGCTATAAATGCTGACTTGTAGATCGTCGAGTTGCTGACATCTTCCTGCACACTGACTGTTGATGCGCAAAAAGCACAATTTGACGTCAGAAATGTTCCTGCATATGGAGTGCATGCTCAGCACACAGGAAGTTTGTTAATGGCACATTCGCCCACAAAATATAGTCAATTCACATTACAGTATATTCTGCAAAGCGCTTTGAGACGTCTCGAAGACGTGATAAGGCGCTATATTGAATGCAAGGATTATTATTATCATCTTGCAGGTAACGCTCTTACAAGCAATGTAATGGAAGTGATGTTAGCAGCAACCTGACAACCAGGCTGTTAAATCAGAAATTGATCAATTTTTAGGATGGGATGCCAGCTAGTCAGTATTGAATTCAGTTAACACAGGTCCACAAGACACCAGCGTTATAAATGAGCGTGCGTTAAACTGGGGAGAGGAGTGGGTTGCATTATAATGGGGTTGCCATATTTGATTTTAAGTTCCCACTGTTGTAATTTTTTTTAATGAAATGAGCCTTTTGAATGCCCTGTTTGCAAACTGCCTAACAATTTGATTGCTTATTTAATCCTTGTCACATCTATGTTTTTTGTTCTCTATCATTTTTAAGTTTCTAACAATTGTTTGACAGATATTGCTAAACTTTCCTTGTGTTTTCCCTCCTTAACAAGTGAATTCTATTTGTTATTCATTTCCTCACTAATATGTTAATTCATGAAATTCATGGCTTTCTGCATTCATATATTTATTATTTTGAAACAGCATAGCCTTCTGTGCATTCCTCCTGTCTATCCCTCACTTGCTTTTTCCTGTGTCATTCTGATCCGTATTAAAGCTTCCCAACTTCTTGGTCGCCTAGTGACACACCACTGTACAACTTGGAACCGTGTGAGCCACTCCCTTTCGATGTGTCAAGATTTCGTGGGTTAACAGCCTCCTTACTACTAGACCTCACCTACCTGAGTGGCATCCACGAGGATGGAGGAAAACCGAGCGGAAGAAGGCACGAGAAAAAGTACATCAGACTTGAATCTGATGAGAAAGGAGACAGTGATCAGAAAACCGAGGCAGATCTCACAAAAGACAACCTTGATCAGCGAATGTTAATACAGCCATCTGAAGAGGTTAAAAGTTTTATCCCAAGTGGTGCTCCAACTTCTCGATCCGAAAGTGAAATTTCAACTTATACTGTAGACTCTGCGCATCTCAATTTGGATTCTCAGCATCATGTACTAGAGGCAAAACGGAAAATGCACGAACACATATTTAAAAATCATGACTTGGTGCAGTCTGAAATTAGAGCAGTGCAATTGTCTTATCTATATCTTGGTGCAATGAAAACCATTAGCGCTCTGCTTAGCTGTAGCAAGTATGCAGAACTGTTGCTAATCCCAAAGGGTTTTGCTGAAAATAGCCACAATTCGGACTGTGCTGGACCTCCTGTTCTACAGGAAGATGTGGAATTGAGAGCCGCACTCCAATTTCTGATGCGCCACATGGTGAAACGGGCTGTAATGCGGTCCCCAATTAAGAGAGCTTTGGGACTGACCGAATTGGAGCGTGCACAAGCCATGATTTATAAACTGATAGTGAACTCGTTGCTGGACGATCAATTTGGTGGCAAAGCAAAACCAGGTATGTGCATATCTGACTCTTAATTTTTAGTGGGTACGCAAGACAAATATTGTTTATCTAAATGTTTAGGAAAATGCTAATTTAATCACAATTTAATTCTAGTGAATTAATATTAACTGATAAATGTACTTTGAAGAAGAAATCGTGAATGCAGTGAGCAATGCAGTAAAGCTTAGCTAATCAGGTTATTGTGGATGGATTTTCAGACTAAGTAGATAGTCTTTATATTCCTTTTCATTATTCTTCCTGTTAAATTATCTTTCTTGGTCTCTCTTGTCCACAAAATGGTTTCTCTCTGAGTGGAAAGGACCACAACCTGTTGTCAGATTCATGGTGCTTTTAAATTGAAAGTAAAAGAAAAAAATCGGTTCAGGTATTCTTATGAGTGACTCTTCACATTTTTTGCTGAAGTGTCGTACCTGGAGCGTTAAACTTTTTCTCTTTCAGGTGTTGATTACCTTGCTGTGTAACTCCAGCATTTGCAGTTTTTCTTTTTATTCATACTAATTAAAACTTGTTAATTATTTGCGCACATGGATTGTATTTTGTACTATAAATGGAGACTTGTATAGTCATTGCTGTTTTCCATAATGATAAATTTAAACAACACTTCTCAAACTATTGCTTACAAATTTGGTAAAATACTTGTAATGAATAGCCTGCACTCCCCTCCCTAGTTGAATGTGAGTTCCATGAAGAAAAAATATTCTTTTAGGCAATTTCATGATAAGGTTGAGAAAGCACGGAAAGAGCTCATTCTTTTGGTACAGTACACTATAGATCTTCCTTTAAAACTATTACACTTAACCTGTGTGGTTTCAATAGGCTGTTTGTTTTACAATATGTTTTACTTGTACGGGGTATGGGTGCTATATCTTAGCTGTCAAATGCTTTTTCTTGTTAAACATGTTGTGGTTTACTAACTCATTAAATTACTAGTAGATATCATACATCAATCTGAGGAAGTGGATATAGCTATGCAAGCCCAAACACCTGTCACTACAAGCCCGTCTGCTTCAAGCACCACATCGTTCATGAGTAGCTCTCTGGAAGACACCACCACCGCTACTACCCCGGTCACTGACACTGAGACTGTGCCTGCCTCAGAATCGCCAGGCGTAATGCCTCTCAGCCTTCTACGGTGTGTAGACTGCTGTCACGTTCATTCAGTTGTGTGAGTGAAAAGCCTAGATGGACCTATTAAAGTTAAGCTAGTTATTAATGAAAGAAAGGGTATTTATTTTAAATTCTTTGCCAAGTTATCTTTATTGGGTAATGAGCGTATTTTATGAGTGGTGCAAAATCACACACTGTTGTGTGATAAACTTTGCTTCATAATAATTAATCAAAAGTAGTTACTCTCCTTGTGAACAACAACAATAGACATAACACCCTTCGTATAGGATAGTGTCTCAGAGTACAGAGGGCGATTGATGTAAATGTAGGAAGAAAAATGTTCTCCTGTGTTGGTTTAGTTGATATCATTGGTAATTCAATTATCTATAACTGGAAGAAAATGAAGATGACTATTGTATTGTTTCCATCAGCCAAATGTTCTCCAGTTATCCAACCACCACAGTACTTCCCACACGACGGGCACAAACTCCACCTGTCGCGTCCCTCCCAACTTCACCTTCCGAAGAGGTGGGTAGAAGACAAAGTCTTACCTCGCCTGAATCCCAGCCAACCCGGTCAGCAAATCGCACAGGTATTTAACTGAAGCATTTTTATTGTATCGATTGCAGATTACCACATCAATGTGATGTTGCTAAATACAAGATTGATTATCAGAAGATTATTTTATTCAAAGTATTAAACTTAAAAATGTTACGGAACTCCCTTGGAAGTAACTTGACTCTTTCTAATATGTTAAATTTAAAATGCTGAATCATAACAAACTGTACTTTTAAAATGTAGGCCACTAAAATGTATATCAACTTATTGTTTTTCAAGCTTCTTCAGATCCCAGCAGCAGACTTTCAACTTCACCCCCACCACCACCTATTGCTGTTCCTCTTTTAGAGATGGGATTTTCGCTCAGGCAGATTACAAAGGCCATGGAAGCCACGGGTAATCAAATCTATTTGTTCAGGAATACAAAGCTGTGTTTTGAAAAGCAGCTATATGAATGCACATGTCTTTTATTTGGTTTAGGTGATTCCTTTGTTATTATTATGCAAGAGTTTTCCAAAACTGCAAGTCCAATAACTAGTTCAAGAAATTATACTATTCGAAGGTTACTTTTAAATTAAAATGTCAGTTTTCTTTCAAATCACTTAGCAGAATAGACCTGCTCTGTAAAATGCTGAAGTAATTTCCTGTAAGATAATGAAGATCTGTCTTTTCAACATCTCTTATCACCTGCTCCTTACAATAGGCAAAACCATTTTATGATGTGGTTTCACGTATGTTGCAGTTTCACTAAAATTGGGCTAATGAAATATTCCGCTGTATAATGAAATCCTGCTGTGTACAGAAAGTTGTAATAAGGGTGTACATTATTATAATAATAATACTTGCATTTGATATAGAGCCTTATCACGTCTTCGAGACTTCTCAAAGTGAATTGACTGCATAGTTTGTGGGCAAAACGAGGCAGCCAATTGCGCACAGCAGTGTCCCACAAAACATTGAGTAACATTGGATTGAGTAATCAAATTATTATTATTTTTTATTAGCAGTTAAGAAATGCAACAAGTAGTGCAAGCTAAAGGAATAGGTATTAAAGCTTGACTACAGCTGCAAAAAACAATCGGCAAGTTCCTCTGGAGTGCCAGCACTGATTGCCATTTATTGACCAAACCTCTAGGAAAACGTTAGTTTTTTTTTCTTTGAAAATGTGGGGGGGGGATAGTAAGAAAGGGTTATATTGTAAAATTACTTTTCATATTTTGCTTTTTTCTTTATAAACTGTGTTAGGTGCCAGAGGAGAAGCAGATGCACAGAACATCACAGTGTTGGCTATGTGGATGATAGAACATCCATGTGTAGAGGAAGATGATGAACCACAATCCTCAGTTAATGCAGATTCATGTCCTGGAGCAACAGCCTCAAGTAATGGGGGGAAATGCAGAGAGATGAGTTATTTACAGGCACCTGGAGAAATACCTGCTGCTGATGCCACAGAATTAGAGGAAGGTTTCAGCGAGAGGTACATTAGTATTCAGAATCCTTCATCAGAATTATTCACCATTAATTACTTCTTTTAAAGATTTGTTGCTAAGTTTAATTTTTTTTCCTTTTGCAGCCCTGATGGACAAGATCAAGGAGAGGGTGAATCAACCATGAACACACCTCCTTCCAGAAGCAGATCAACTGTCACGAGGAGACAGAAGTTTGAACTGGCAGCTCGAACATTGCTGGCACGTGCAGGTGATTCAACTATTTTTAAACAAAAGTATTTTCCGAATGTGCTTCTAGTTTAGATGACTGAACGTAGATATTTCTATATGTGATTAGATTGACACCTCTTGCTAATATTTTAACTGCATTGATTAAAAAGTTACACAGGGTTCTAGTGCGATTCTAGTCCACTGTGAAGTAGAATAAGTTTATATATTTTAAAAAGTGCATTATCCAGTCAGCAATAACATTTATCAACTAGCATAGCTTGATCAAATTATGATTTTTTTTCTGACCAGCTTATTTTTTTGTGTGTATAAACTACCGTTGAAAGATTCCTGAAAAAACTCTGCCCTATTTTTAACAAGTGAATGCTTCTGAATAATAGAAGCTAATAAATAAGTGTGCATCTTAATGATTGTATAAGAATTCCATTTGTGTGCAATTATACAACAAACATTTAGAAATTAAGTACGCTTTTCACGCTTAAATTGCAGCAGGACTGTACCGTTCAGTTCAAGCACATAGAAACCAAAGTCGGCTGGACGGAACATCCATGCAACAGGACTCCAGTGCTCTCCATGACTTTAACCTTGATGAAGAGCTGGAGATTGATCTGGATGATGAGGCAATGGAAGCCATGTTTGGTCAGGATTTTACAAGTGATAGCGATATATTGGGAATGTGGATTCCAGAGGTACTGGACTGGCCAACATGGGTGTGTGGCTGCAGCTTGTGCTGCTTTTGCTTATTTACTAAATTGCCTTCACTACGGTTTTAAAACTATAGTTCAGTTTGTTAAGCACATTGTTTATTGGAGTGGTGACTTTCAAAGCTTTTCGTTTCTGTTTAAGTGCAAATTAACTCTTGGCACATGCAAGCTGGTGTGTGTGTGTGTGTGTGTATTAACAACCCACTAAAAATCCTAACGTCTCATATTCTGTAATACCTAAATGTGAATGTTATAATACTAAGGAGAAGAAGAATGTTGTAAAGAGAAATGTGAGTGAAGTAGACACTTTTTGAAATTTGCTTGTTGCCACATATTCTCAATACTCCTCCATAATATTATAACCTGGCAGTCCAGAACCTACCAATTTTATAATAATAATCCTTGCATTTGATAAAGCGTCTTATCACATTTTCGAGATGACTCAAAACGCTTCACGGAATATACTGTAAAGTGAATTGTCTGTATATTTTGTGTGCGAACCATCCGATATCTAACCAAGCACACTTAATTTACCAACAAATGGGCATCAAGAGCCACTTATCCACGAAAGTTGGTGAATTTACCAACCAAAAATAAACTCCTGTTTTTTTTTTATTGAAAAATGAGAACATTGGATTAGAACCAATATTTTGATGTTGCTGGTTTTGTATTAATTTCCTATCTTCTGCTCTGTGACTGATCTCTCTCTTTCTCTCTCCAGCACGTTTGCGAGTCTGATGAAAGGGAAGAAGTGATCATCTGTGAACTGTGTGATGCAAGTGTTGCTCAATTTAACCAACACATGAAGAGAAGTCACCCAGGCTGTGGGCGAAGTGCCAATCGACAGGGTTACCGCAGCAATGGATCCTATGTTGATGGGTGGTTTGGAGGCGAATGTGGAAGTGGAAATCCCTACTATCTGTTATGTAGCAGCTGTAGAGACAAATACCTGTCTGGGAAGAGCAAGACAAAGGTGCCTGTCTCAGAAAGGTGAGATGATATTTGGTAGAAATTAGTATTTCTTCAGTCGGTGGTGTAAACGATCTTTCAAAAATCTAATAGGTCAGTAAACTACAACGCTAAATTAGTTAAAATATCATGAATTTCAAGTCTCTTATGAACTTTGTTGTATTTCTGACAATTTTTTGTTTTAAAAAAGGCTTCGCTAACATTTGAAAAACTGGCTTTGTAAATGTTCTTCAAAACGGAATTTAACATGTTCATCATCCAAGAAGCTCTTTGATTTTATATTTAAAAAAACTGAGCTTTTTTGTTTCTACAGGTATAAAGGCCAGGCACCAGATTTGATAGGCAAACAGGAGAGTGTATATGAAGGTATGTATGTCCTGTCCTATAGAGTTGACTGTTTCCAATTTTCATTACATTAAATTTTAAATAACCTTGATACTTGATGAGAAACAAATGTATTTTAGCAGCACACAGTACAAAATTATGAAACTGGATGAATAATTTAAAGTTTTTTAAAATCTATTCCTGTTTTGTGGTTTTCACTCACATTGGGTGGCCATTTATCTTTACAGAAACCTCTAATATGTGATGAAAATCCAGAACTCCATATTATAGGAGAATTTAAGTAATTCAAGGGTAGCAAAGTCTTAGTGTAGTATCTTCTGTTCAAAGTACTTCCCATCCCCTTGGAAATATCTTCCTAAAATCTTTCCAAGAACAAAACAATTTACATTGTATAGCGCCTTTCAGGTCAAGAGGACATCCTGAGGAATACAGTACCTGAGGAAAAAATTGAATCAAATGCATTGCCTTGTGATCCCATCACTTTGTGTCTCATCTTCCCTCTTCAGCCGTTCTGATATGTTGTGAGAATGTACATTCAGGCAGTTCTGTACCGTTAAAATTCGCCAGTCCTGCAAACCAGCCTGGAAGTCTTCACCACTGGTGATTGATGCATATTCAGTTAGTGCAGAAAGTACTCCCACAAAATATATACAGGCAATTCACTTTACCCTATATTTTGTGAAGCTCTTTGAGACATCTCGAAGACTTGATAAGGTGCTCGAACAAATGCAAGGATTATTATTATAGTATTACAGTGAAAAGTGTTCTCCTTTAAACATTCTTCTAACCTCTTGCATTACTAATGTAGAAGACTGGGACATGTTAGACGTTGATGAGGATGAGAAGCTGACTGGAGAAGAGGAATTTGAGCTATTGGCTGGACCTCTTGGTCTGAGTGAACGTAGAAGTGTACCTGAGCCCGTACAGTTTCCTGACAGTGATCCCCTGGGAGCATCCGTTGCAATGGTAACAGCAACCAACAGTATGGAAGAAACACTCATGCAAATAGGTTGGTTCAAAGAAAGTATACATTGAAATACAAGTCAAGATTATTCTGATCGATTGTTTTCCTTATGAAAAATGTGTTCTGCAAACACAATTTACAATTTTAACAAAATTAATAATCTAGTTTACCTTCAAATGTATACTTGCCAATAAACTTATTTCTATTCATTTTCTTTGAAGTGTCTCTATCCAATCTCATGTCTTGCGCTTCTTTTGTTGCTGAAGTAGTGTAACTGCATGTCTTATTTCTGTAAAGGGTGTCTGGGATCCGTAGATAAATCCTCATCTGGGAGAGTGACACTCGGAGAACAAGCAGCTGCCCTTCTTAACCCACACGACCGAGTTATGGCCCTTAGGAGAGTGACTGCGGCAGCACAGGTCCTACTTGCAAGGACCATGGTTATGAGAGCTTTATCACTGCTCTCTGTCAGGTAAGAAGACTCTTCTCATTTTTTTTAAAAAAAATGTGTATCTGAGAAAGGTACTGATTGGAGTAACTTTAAGCTTTGTTTGTAACCTGCACCTCCAGATTTGAATTTTATTAAACATGGTCTTATATGAGAGCTCTTACCAGACCATAAGAAATCCACCAGTGTGATTCATACCTGAATTTACATAGAAACAGGAATAGGCCATTCAGCCTGTTCCGCCTTTCTATAAGATCATGGCTGATCTGTACCTCAAGTCCAATTACCCGCCTTTGCCCCGTATCCCTTAATACCCTGACTTAACAAATTACAGTGGGTGCAAATCGCGCTGCTTCTGAATGTTTCAAATGGAATGCAAGTTCACCCCTAACCATAGTATTATATCATATAATGATCTGGAGTCTTAATGTAAAATATTTTTAATTTGAATACTAAGAAAAAGATTTGAGGAATACAAAATTGTTGCATATAAAGTATTTCTCTTCTACCCAAGTTAGTATATATTTCACTAACTACTGTGCTTAGAAGCAAACCAATTAAAATTGTCTCTGAAGAAATGGATGTTTAAAAGCAACTGGATTAAGAATAAAAAAAATTATGGATTGAGAAACTAGACTTTATTCAATTTGGTCATGATTTTGGGAGGAGTGACTTAGAAAATTCAATTTGATCTTGAGAGAAAATTTTGACCAGCAGATAACTGGTTTGTGTTTTCCTTTGTAATTTCCAGTGGTTCTAGCTGCAGTCTTGCAGCAGGTCTGGAATCTTTGGGACTGACTGATATCAAGACCCTGGTTCGGCTGATGTGTCTGGCTGCAGCAGGTAGAGCTGGTCTCTCCCCAAGGTCACCTTCCAATGCTTCAGATCGTCCTCGTGGGATTCATAGCAAAATCAACAAGCCGATTTCCTGTTTGGCCTACTTGAGTACTGCAGTGGGCTGTTTAGCTTCCAATAGTCCAAGTGCAGCAAAGCTGCTTGTTCAGTTGTGCACACAGGTAAAATGTACAAAACAATAGTTATTATTGAAAGCAGTAGAATATTCTAGGACAAAACGTTAGGCTAGTTTCCTGACTCCACGTACCTCTGTTTACCAAAGTAAGTAGGAACCCAGTTGTTAGTCGATCGGTGGTACCTGGTAAAGCGATCTTTATTTGGTCACTCAGTCCATGACTGTTTGTAGGCCACTGCTCTGCGCAATTAGCTACCACGTTTCTCCCACAAAATATACAATCAATTCACTTATATAATCTGTGAAGTGCTTTGAGATGTCTCGAAGATCTGATAAGGCACTATATAAAATGCAAGGATTATTATTAATATCCCCAAAACAAATAAGATAATAATAATGATCCTTACATTTGATATAGCGCTTCTTCACGTCTTCTCGACGTCTCAAAGTGCTTCACAGAATAGACTGTAAAGTGAATTGACAGTATATTTGTGGGCGAAACGCGGCAGCCAATTGCTCACAGCAGTATCCCTCAAACAGTCGTGGATTGAAAATGACCAATTTATTTTTGTTTTTTGGAGGGATTATTATTAGGCGTGTGGAGTAAGGAAACTTGCCCAAAGTTTCACCCTGCGTGGAATTGAACCCAGGTGTCTCGTTTGCAAGGCGAGTTCTCTAACCACTGAGCTACAGGACTCCTGTACTGAGCTACAGGATAATAAGCATAATACTTTTTTAAAATAAATACTTGCACTAAAGATGGGCAAGAGGGAATATTTACCACTAGATTTTCATTTAAGTAGCTAGAAATAAATTTAATTTGGTGCGTTATCGTTCCTAGAAAACTTATTGTCATGTCGTGTATCCAACCGCAGTTTTGTATCATTGTAGAACAAAAAAAAACTTTTTTTTTCCTCTTCTCAGAACTTGATCTCAGCAGCAACTGGTATGAATCTAACTACTGTAGATGATCCCATTCAGAGAAAATTTCTGCCCAGCTTCCTTCGAGGTATAGCCGAGGAAAATAAACTTGTGACCTCTCCGAATTTTGTTGTAACTCAAGCACTGGTGGCACTGCTTGCTGACAAAGGTGCCAAACTGAGACCAACCTATGACAAGACTGAGATGGAAAAAAAAGGTTTGTCCTGTCTTGCAACTTATAAAACTGAATCCATATTATCAATTTTGAGTAAAATTCTGTTCTAATCATTGCGAATCATAATAGCAAAATAACTGTGATTGAAGAATAAACTAGCTGCAGTCTGATCTGAGACAATGACCAGTCAGAGAAACACTTCATTGTGTTGCACTGATTTGTCTCTTCTTCTCGAGGCATTTTAGCTCCTTTTTTTTCTTGTGGGCAAGGTTCCAAGGCCTTGAAACTGGAAGAGCTAGTCACTTTTCAGTATCGCACCCAAGTGATCATTGTGTGTTAGGCTTCATTTTGGCAGGCTGTTCGGCAGCCGAACCTGATCCTGTCCTCACCTGACATTCCCACATGCAAATCTTCTAGAATATATTCACTGGATATTGTAGGAACCCTGGATGAGTTCTCTCCACACCCTCCCACTTCACACACGCGCACACACACACACACACACACACAATCCTAATTCAGGGATACCAAGTTTAATTATAATGTTGCAGCTAGGATTCGCTGACTCAACACATTCAGGAATTGAAATGTACAACATTAAGCTCTTTTGATTGTTTTTTCATCAACGTTCTACTTGATAGTGGTAATATAAAAAAGTTAATTTTAAAATGGTTCCTGCATTGTTAGTAACTTCATGATAGCATTTTGAATATTTAGCTGTTTGATTATTTGTAGAAATATGAGTGCAATACCATATGTTTGCTGTTTCCTTGACATCACTCACTGGGGATTGTCTCGTTGTTTTGTTTAAGCAGGTTTTATTGCCCATTTGTATGCCCATCCTTCCTATGATCCTTCTGCTGTAGGCCCTCTGGAACTGGCTAATGCCTTAGCAGCTTGCTGTCTCTCGTCCAGACTCTCTTCCCAACACAGACAGTGGGCTGCCCAGCAGCTTGTTCGAACTCTTGCAGCACATGATCGTGATAACCAGAGCAAACCACAGACATATGCTGACATGCCTGGAGACCTGCGCAAATGTTCATTCATGAAGTTGGAAGCACATCAGAATAGGGTAAGAAATTTTTAGTGACTGAAATATTTTCTGACTGAGCAACTTTGTAGCTCAAGTGATTGAAAATGTAGTTCTTAGAGCTAACTGCCAGTTATTTGACTCAATGCGTCAATTGGATGGATTTAATGATTTCGACCTGATCGGGAGCTGCATGTAACTATTGTATTTCGTGACTGGGGGAAAGAGGAAAGGGTCAGATATTTCACATCTTCACCCACTTTAACGTGTAACTTAATTACTAAGTGACAGCGGTTGTGTATTTTAATGGATATTTTTTCAGATGTGAGATAATAGAATTTGGATGATGAATAAGATGCATAGAACATGGAGTTCTTCATCTAATGATTTTTAATCCCCCTCAACTTCTGCTATCAAGATTTTAAATATCTCTGGATTTCTTTTCCCATCAATTAATTTACCTAATTTGCAGACACCTTAGAAGAGGGGACGCAGGATAAGATGAGTTGTTTCAAGTAAGAACAGATGGTGAAATGTTATTGAGAGGATGGATTACCCCATCCAAAAGGTTATGTGAAATTGAGTGTGGTTGTTTTGAATAACTTTTGCAAGGTGGCTTATGAATTGTTGGTTTTGAAGTACTTTCAATTGACATTTTCAAACTACATCATTGCTGTCACATTTTTAAGGTGGTATTGATTTTTTTTGTTTTCTTTTCCCCCAAAAAAATTGCCTATGAAGGTGATTACCTGTGAATGGTGTAATAAGAAAGGTCTCCTGGCAACTGGTGGCAATGATGGAACTGTTAGAGTGTGGAATGTCACCAAAAACAATTATACTTTGCAGCAAACATGTGTCTTCAACAAGTCGTGAGTCACATTTTACATATTATGGTTTCTAGATTATTTCCAATTAATTTGGAAGTAATGGCTTGAATTTTCATCAATAATTGTTCTTTTTTGATGTGTAGAGACATCATTTCCGAAGAAAACATGGGCAATCTAGGATCCCCCAGTGAACTAAATTTGTCTCCTGTTTGTTGGAGTGTGAGTGGCAAATATGTGGCAGCAGCAATAGAAAAAGTGGTGAACATCTGGCAAGTCAACGGTAAAACTGACTTTTATTCAAAAAAGTTATGATTAAATTAAGCTTATTTTCTATCCGTGAAGCAAGGTAGTAGCTACCGTAAAATGAAATCTAATGCAAAAATATTAGCTTTTATGTAACAGAATATTAATCATTACCTTCAATATTGTGGCAGAGGAATTGCATAATGCATTTGTAACGTAATACGTTTTTGTTTTAAGGAGGTAAAGGACTTTTGGACTTGCAGCCACATTGGGTTTCAGCTCTAGCCTGGCCAGAAGAAGGGCCAGTAGCATGCTGGGCTGGTGATACCTTGGAAGTTCTACTTGTAGGACGCATGAATGGATCCCTGGGACTCATTGAAGTTGTAAATTCTTCAACCATGCACAGAATTGAACTCGAGCACTGCTACAGAATGGATGGTAAGCAGCTTAGGTTGGGCAGATTTGATCCTTTTTTTCCCCCATAATTTTATGATTTCCCTTTGTGATTTTTCCAAGTGGGTTGGGATGGTTTTTTTTTAAATTTGGATTTATTTTTCTTGATATTTTAGCCTGTTCTTTTCAGATTTATGTTGTGATTATTTAAAAAAAATCCATGATTTTTGCTGTTTCTAGTGGCTGTAATGGCCATTGCCTGGTATAGTGAAGACAAGCCATTTGCAGTTGGATATGCTGATGGAAAAATGTTGATAGGTACGAAAGAACCTTTGGAAAAGGGAGCAGTTATAATTGATGCACATAAGGTAAGATTTGCTTAAATCTAGCTTTGGGGACAAATGAAAAATTATAATGGTCACTGTATGTTGTCATTCTGGTTTTCATTTCATTCCTTTCACTGGTTCGAGTGCTGGCCTTATGTTGCAATGACCAGAATGTCAGTGTGACTCACTGTCGTACTGAACAGCTTCAGCAATACTAATGAGTATTTGAACTTAACTAAGTGGAAATGTAGTCCAGCACTTTGTTGACTCCCACCTTTTACCGTTTCACTTTGTTTACTGCCAGTGTCGCGCTGTTTGGGCTTAATTTTTTTTTCGTGTATCCACAGCTTTTAGAATCTACTTATCTGCCCTCTGCAATACTTTTCATTACATACTTAAATTGCTGAATAAGTACCAACAATTGTCAACTCTGTCAAGGAGAGATACTGCATTAGTATCTTCCCTTATTTACACAAAAAAGCTGTGTCAGGATGAATTGTGTTTCAGTGTAAACCGCCTTTAGAGCTAATATTTGTCTTTAATTGTGATTGTACTAGAATAACTATGAAATTGCAACTTTGACGTGTTTGGAACTTTGAAGTGCATGAACATTTGAAAGTGATTTTTTTAAAATTCTAGGATTCCTTAGTATAATCTTAAAACATTTTCACCTCTTTCATATTTTTTTCCTCTTAACTAGGAATGTATTACTTGCATGAAGTGGGACCCATTAGGCTCGATGCTTATTTCCTGTGCCAAAGAAAACACTGTAAAAGTGTGGAGTTGTCTAGGTGGCAGCTGGCGTTGCCTTTACGCACTTTCTCATCCAGCAATGGTGAATGGTATTGTCTGGTGCAGACAAATAGGAAAAGGCTCCAAGTTGCGACTTATGTTAGCCAGGTATGCATAAATGTTCATTTTTTCAAACTATTTATTGTTTTTGATAAAAATGTGGAAACTAAAAACTCATTGCAGAAAGTAGTTAAATGCTGCAAAGTTACTGTTGACCATTTATTTATTGAAAGTTCTATCTTAAACTGCATATACTTACCAATCAAATGTGAGTGTATTTCATGCACGATAACTTGCTCTTAATCAATTTGTGTACGCATTTAAGTTTTTATAATACTTACATTTGTTGTCGCGCCTTTCACATTAGGAAGCCACTGAAATGCTTCACAAGATATACTGTAAAATGCAGTGACTGTATGTTTCTAATAGGCAAACAGCTGCTAATTACACAGCAATCTTCCACAAACAACCTTGAAGTGAATAATCAATTTAATCCATGGAGTATCCATTGTATCTTTAACATACAAAGTGTGATATTTACATAATATTTTATTTCCCTCTTTCTAGTGGTTGTCAGAATGGTTTGGTGTGTGTTTGGACTATTCCTCAAGATGTTTTCAGTGTATCACAGTCGAGTTCTAACAGTTCCGATGAATGGTGGGAGCAGGACTCCAAAAGCCAAGCAAAGGTAAATTGCTACAGAGATCTCCAAAAGTGTGTGCGCACTGATATTTTTCTCTACTTCCAAGAATTAATTTACAGTGCTTGCAGAAGAGATTCACTTCATGAATCTGTATTTCTCGCTGTTTTTTCAAAAAATGCCAAGCACTTTAAACTAAGAATACCAATTTTAGTAAGAACTTTCTTTTTTAAGAACTTGTAGATTTCTGTTCACCTATTTATAACATTTTATGCATTAGAATAATGGTGTCTGTTTAAATTTTGATGGGCAATATTCACTAATGCTCTAATATGCAGAAATTGTTTTTCAATCTTTTTTGATTTGCACTATTCTTATGTGCAAAAAAAATTCTATGTACTGTAATACTTTTATTTTAAAAAATGGTTCACTTATACTGTCTTTTATAATGGAATTTGAAGGCTAGATATAAGAAAGCTGGGGAGGCTCTGTGCATTTATCAACTGAGGGGACACATCACTCCAGTAAGAACTGTGGCTTTCAGCCCTGATGGACTGGCCTTGGTGTCAGGAGGACATGGTGGGCTAATGAACATCTGGTCTTTAAGGGTAAGAAAATTGAACACTGTACATTATTTGTTACTTTAGTGTAGTAAAATGATTTAAACATGTTCTATTGACTAGAATGAAATTGTGATGTGTATTTTAGAAATGGCAATTACGGATGTGTAATCAGATGTGACCTCATGTGTCGATTTCCTTAATAAGGAAACTGGGATTGAGTGCATCATGGCAACTTTGCTCCAAAGCAGTCTGTTCAGAGATTGAAGTTCTTGCAGAGTGAATAACATACACATCAGTAATAGATTACCAGAGGGACTCCCCAATTGGCTAACTTATTAAGGAATCTCATCATTGCTTATTTAACTGCAACACTCTTGTTTTATTAAATTTATTAAAACATTTATTAAAACATTAAAACATTAAATTTTCTGAATGTTTTTTTCAAGTATTGTGATGATTACCACGAGTGATGTCTTCTCACCCAATATTTTGGTGGGATTTCATAAATTGAAAATGTAGAATGGAGCTGGACTTCTGATTATTATTTCCTCCTTTTCCTGACTTTATTGCTACATTGAAATAACAATATGTTGCCTTCCAAGCCAATGCCTAATCATGATTTTTTTTTAATTCCTCTGTTTCCACAACTCTCCATTAACCAAGGATGGCTCTCTGTTACAAAGCGTAGTGACTGGTTCTGGAGCTATTCAAAATACTGTCTGGATCCCTGAAGTTGGTGTTGCAGCTTGTTCTAATAGGTCAAAGGTAAGAATTTAGATCATGGTTGGAATTATGGTGTGATTTTTTTTTCTTAAAAATGTTACAACTATATTTATAGGTGATCTTTTATTTTGTAGCAGTATTTTCAGGTACTTCCCCACCTTTTCTTTTCACATCCATGCTAGCACTAGAATAAAGTGTTCCACTCCGCTTCACTTCAGTTTTTCGGATTAAACCTTCCACAATGGTTCATGAAGCAAAGGGGAACTCTGGTTTCTTCATAGAACCAATAGATGAATTAAAACTGTAATATTTGATCGATGAATCCTGCAGTGATTTTTGATGTACTTATCTGAGCTCTTTCCACAGTAAATATCACACAGTAAACATAATTCAATGTGATCTGTAGAGTGAATTATGAATGACTTTTGGTTAGTGTTGAGGTGAACCGCTATAATTACCTGCTCTAGGGTAATTTTTTGGTTATGGTTACCCCATTAAAGGTATGCAAATTCCCTTATTCATTTGTGGCATATGATGTCCCTTATTTATTTGTGACATCCCTCTTTTAAATAAATTGCACTACCTCTATCCATATTCATTTGAATTGGATCTTTGCTCGTTTTTCTGGAATGGCTTTAGTTTCTATTTAGGCCAGAAGGTGGCACCAGAGTTTTTCCTCCCCCCAAAAATTCTAATTTGTAAAACTGCTTTTCAGATTTGATGATGATCCAAACCCCAAAAAACATGCAGGTATATTATTTGAATGACTATCAGGGAAGTGCAAGGAAAGGAAAATAGAGTAGATAGCTCCAGTGAGGGAGTTAATGTGGCAAAGGCACAAGGGGTCAAGTGTTCTACTTATGTTCTACTTTGTTTAATTAATAGCTGTTTTTATAGATCAGAGTTGCAGTATCCCAGATAGTGACTAGAGGTGCATTAGAGCCACAGGATAGTACTGGAATTTGAAACCCATCATTATCCTTCTTAAAGATTAAAATATGCATGAGAAAGTTTACACTTACTGGGTACAGTTTTAAATGTATTGGGAGTACAAAATTCATAATCTGTATTTAAAATGTAACCTGGAGTAAAACCTTACAACATTGAATTTGACTAGTACTAAGTGATGTATATAAGTGAATGGAATAACCATTGACCTGTTTCTAATGGAAAAGTTGTTGGCCTTAAATGCATCTGAACTTAGTTGGATCATCATTCATCCTCTACATAAAACAAACTTGATCCATTTTATACAGTCTCTGTCACTAATGGTTAGGCAGGATAACTAATTATCTTCGCTCTTCGTTGAGCATCCCTTTTATTCTGTATGTGGGGGAAGTAACTAAAATAAAGATATTTTGAATACAAAAGATATTGAATTGTGGGGTTATAAGCTGGCTCCAGTATCAAAACAGATGTTTTGTTCCATATTGTGCCGTCTGTGGTCATTTAAGTCACTAAGGCATTAAATATAATAAATGATTTCATGATCAGATGTCATTACAAGAAGTGGTAATGCTGATTAGAAAAACAATCATGGTAGTTAGCTTTTAATTACGCTACTAAATTGTAAAATGTTGCAGTGATTCCCATTGCTTATGTTTTAAGTCATGTGTAAGCATTTTGAATTAATGTCTGAAAACTGCAGAAGATGAAGTGTGATAGTTCAAATCCGCCTGTACAAAGCACATCTTCAGTCTTGTTTTCTTTGATTTGATTGACTAGGATGTGTTGGTGGTGAATTGCACACCTGAATGGATATCTGCAAACCATGTTCTTGCGACATGTAGGACTTCACTGAGAAAACAAGGAGTGGTTGGGCTAAACATGGCACCGTGCATGAGAGCTTTCCTTGAAAGGTTGCCAGATATGCTGCAGGAGCAATATGCCTATGAAAAGGTGATTTCATCTTTTGAAAACTTGGAAAGGCTAGAATTTGTTCAAAAAATAGTATTTTGTATTTGCAGCATTTTTTTAGAAAAAAAACTTAAATTATTATTAAATGCCCCATTTCCACACCACAAAATTATGATATATGGGGGAAAAGCTGGAGATTGAAATTATTTTTTTTATATGAAAGTTATTTAGTCGAATTGGTAGAAATGCTCCAGATGGGTTAACTTCTGTGCTGAAAATGTAAGTGTTTCTATGCATCTGTGATGTGCAGCAGTGTGTCTGTTTGCCATGGTTCTACCAATATTCGTGCCAGCTCTAACCCGCCCGCCTGTGGAACGAGCGCAACATTTGTGCCAGCGAATGTGCTTGGTTATAGCATGGGTGCCCTATAGACCCACAATGAATAAAATCTATGGACTTAAAAATTGGCCAACTCACAGGTCAGCAAGGTTCCACCAATGTATAAGAAGTGACATTAACCCCAATTTGACCAGAAATCAGTCTTTTTTTTAGCACAGGAAGCCGTCCAGCTTTCAGTATGTTCAGGTGATTGGTGAAATCATGATTCGGAAGCATTGACTGGCGATTGTGCGCAATTATGAAATTGTTACTTTATAGACTCCTAGCACTAACCGTGTTACAATGGCACTTTTCTGTATTTAATATTGGATTGTTACTAATTCACTGTTTATTCATAATTGTGTGTGTTACTTTTAGCCTCATGTCATCTGTGGAGATCAACTTGTCCACAGCCCATACATGCAGTGCCTTGCTTCATTAGCAGTCGGCCTTCAGCTGGATCAGCTCTTATGTAATCCACCAGCTTCGCCTAATCAAAGAAGTTTTGCCCCTGACCCTTCGAGTTGGAATGCCTCCGAGTGGTCCTGGCTAGAATGCTTTTCCACCACTGTCAAGACCGCAGAAGCATTGGCTAAAGGAGCACCTTTCCCACAATGCTTCAATGTTCCAGACTTAGAACGTGTACCAGAGGAGGAACTTACACTTGTGATGGTGAGACAATAATAATCCTGGTATTTGATATAGTGCCTGATCACGTCTTCAAGATGTCTCAAATCGCTTCACAGAATATACTGTAAAGTGAATTGATTGTATATTTTGTGGGGGGGGACGCAGCAGCCAATTGCACACAGCAGTGTCCCACAAACAGTTGTGGATTGAAGTGACCAATTTTTTTAATTGCTTTTTTAAATTTAAGTGAAATAATTGCACATTGGTAAATGCACTAATCTGGTAAACTGAGTTCTGCTGACAACAGGATCAAGGCTGGGTGGAATGGTGAGTTTCTAATAGCCTCCTAACCTTGGTTCTAGAGGTTGGAGGTGGGTGTATGATGATGTGCAGCAGTGTGTCTGTTTGTCCGTAGTTCTGACAGCAATCCTCTGGCAGAAATCATGGTTTCCATTCTGGATCTAATGGATTTATTCTTCAGCTGAATATTTCCCCCCTCTGATCACAACCTGGACCAAAGTAGAGCTGAATTAGTTCTATACAGTTACTATGGCTTATTGCTAATTCATAAGTAATACTACAGACTGTCCTATTCAGTGGATGCCATCTTGCAGTTACTGTCCGATTACTCTGCCAGGGCCGATTCCAGTGAGGTTAGAAAAAAATGATTTCTCAAAATGGTAATTTTGCTGAACATTTTTGCAGGATTCTTATCTAAATTGCACTTTTTTTGTTAAAGGACAATACCAAGTGGTTCACAGGAATGGATGAACAAATTATGTCATGGGCAACTTGCAGACCAGAGGTAATTTAGTTTATTTGTTTTTAATGAGTTTCACTAAAATTACAACTGCGTTTAGATATAATTGCTATTATTATCACCATGTCTATTCAGGACTGGCACCTTGGAGGGAAATGTGATGTCTACCTTTGGGGAGCAGGACGACATGGACAATTAGCAGAAGCTGGAAGAAATGTAATGATACCAACACTCGTACCTTCATTTTCACAAGCTCAACAGGTATGATAAAATAATTGAGTCCACTTTGAAGTTTATATTATTGGAGTGAAAGGATGCCATGTAATAAATATTTTATTTAAGCCTGTCTGAATTTATTACCAAAACAAACTTGTAAGTAAACCTTTTAATTGAATTTTATTTTGAGCAAGATCTAAAGTATCACCTGCCTCTCCATAATTAATTGTGTACCTTGAACAAGGATTTAATTTCCTTACCATTAACTTGTTGTTTTGGAGTCAGGCCAACAGCCCAGTGTGTAAATGTGTCCCATTCAGTTGTACAGAGCCTTAGAGAAAGGATGTTTTTTTTCCCCCTACAATTGTACCATGTTGTTCAAATAGAAAAACCTTGATTATTTTCCTCCCCCACACAAATTTCGCCAAAACATGTTTTGCTTAATTCTGTAACAGTATTACAACACATTAAAATTACCAATAATAACTGTGATAACCTGTTTTCAATTTTTAAACTACTTGCACTTTAGACGGTTTTGCAGAACCATCTTTCATGACTCATCGCAACTTAGCTTATAGCTACTGGTGTTCCTGTTCATCCTCCCCAGCAACACATTTCCTTTAGCAACATTGCCTTCTAGTGTTGTTTGAGTCTGTTTCCATGTTTGGCATATCTGCCCAAAGAACACAATTTTCAGTTTCATCCATGTTAGAAATACAAAACTTCATTGTTGTACAACCTTCATCAAATCTTTTCAGAGCACAAAACGTGAAGTGTGCAGAAATAGTGTTTCGAACATTGTTTCTGTTTCCTTTGACACTGCCTATTTTCCATTTCCTCACTGCTGCAAAGTTGCTAAAATGAACTCTAACAGAACCTGTTTAAAAACAATACTCCCTGCAATGTTCTAAGTAGCTTCTACGATCTAATCAAATATTTATTATCTTTATAGGTTATTTGTGGACAGAATTGCACTTTTGTCATTCAGGCCAATGGAACAGTGATGGCATGTGGAGAAGGTAGCTATGGCAGGCTTGGACAAGGCAATTCAGATGATCTTCATGTGTTAACTGTTATTTCAGCACTGCAAGGTAAAATGGAAATGCATCATAGTTTATTGGCTTCTAATTGATTGTTTTTTTTACTAATCTGTATGTAAATCTAAATCCATCTGTCTTGTGTGTATCACAGGTTTTGTGGTAACACAGCTTGTGACATCCTGTGGATCTGATGGTCACTCTATGGCTCTGACAGAAAGTGGGGAAGTCTTCAGCTGGGGTGATGGTGATTATGGAAAGCTGGGCCATGGAAACAGTGACAGGCAGCGCAGACCTCGCCAAATAGAGGCCCTCCAAGGAGAGGAAGTTGTTCAGGTGAGAGCAGAAATCCATGCGATAGGAATTTGTGTGCGTAAGAGTGATGCAGTAAATAAGTGAGTGAAGTTTTATGTTTGTCTGGAATACCTTAGTTAAAAAAGAAAACGCCACCTTCTAATAACCTGTATTTTGCTTCATGAATCAAACCATTTTATATCATTTTCTGAAACAGATGTCGTGTGGCTTTAAGCATTCAGCAGTAGTCACTGCTGATGGGAAGCTGTTTACATTTGGAAACGGTGACTACGGACGTTTGGGACTAGGCAATACGTCTAATAAGAAATTACCAGAAAGAGTCTCAGCATTGGAAGGTTATCAGGTCGGACAGGTATGAAAACAAAATCCAATGAATATCGTTCAAGAATCCACTGAGTAATGTCAGGCATTATGACCAAGACCTAATGTATTTAATTTATCTTACCTATCTTCTTATGTGTGTATATAATATATACACATATGTTAACATTATCACATTTATTGTTACAGACTACATAGTCAAACATGACCATAGTTCGATGTCCATACATTCATTACTGTTAGAATTGTGTTCACTTCCACTGTATTAAAACACAAAGTTTTTTTTAGGTTGCATGTGGACTAAATCATACTTTAGCCATCTCAACTGATGGGATGATGGTTTGGGCTTTTGGTGATGGAGATTATGGAAAGCTTGGTCTAGGAAACTCTACGGCAAAATCCTCTCCCCAAGTAAGTGTTGCAAACCCTCAATCATCGTATTAACATTACATATTAGGAGTAGATCTTGAAAAATTTTTAGGATCAAAATATAAACACTCGTCTGGAATTATTAAGTTTATAAAGATCGTCTAGAAAATGTACATTCACGAATGCTGATTTTCAGATGCGTAGTTGCTTCTAACTTGTTTTTAAAAAGCTTTTCCTTTTGCAGAAAGTGGATGTTTTGTGTGGCATAGGAACTAAAAAGGTCGCCTGTGGCACCCAGTTCTCGGTTGCCTTGACAAAAGATGGTCATGTGTACACCTTTGGGCAAGGTAAGATGATTAAAGGAAATTGGATTTTTAGAATGTCACCAGTAAAATATTATAATACATTACAAACAATTATAAAAACTATTACACTTTTGTAACTAAGTTATTATATTTTACAACACTGTAACCAATATCCAACACAAGGTGACAGCACTAATATTATTTTGAATTAATAAATGAGAAGGGATGGACTTGATTTCCTCTCTACTTTTCATGGTGCTGCTCCCTTTCAGCTGCAAGCTCTCAAGCTGATGTTACAGAGCAGGTATTTATTTATTCATGAGATCCTATATTTGAGAATTCCAAGAATTTGGGAAATGTTATCCTTGCAGTACTTGGCTGAGTATTTGATTTTAGAAACAACACCAGTACAAATGGAGAGGTAGGACAAAAGCTACTTAAGCAAGTAGGTGGAAATTGTGGAGCTATGATAAGAGAAGTGGTGTTCAGAAACATAAAAAGAAATCTAGAGTGGTTGAGAATAAACCTTCAAGGCGTGGAATGGTAGGGAGGAAATCTCTGATGATATTCAAAATTGTGAAAGAAAAGGAACAATTGTATTCTGTATCAGTTTACTTTGGTTACTCGGTTAACTAAAGATCAACTGAAGTAATACAACAATGTCTTCATATCTATAGGTCAATCTGCATACCATAGTTTCCATGAAAATAAAGCACACATAAATCAAAATCTGATGTATCCCATATGCAATAAAATTTCATTCAACAGACCGCTTAATTGGCTTGCCTGAGGGACGAGCACGGAATCACAACAGACCTCAACAAGTACCTGCTCTGAATGGAATCTTCATTGAAGATATTGTTGTCGGTGCTGAGCACACGTTAGCCCGTTCATCAGCAGGAGATGTTTATGGATGGGGCAGCAATTCAGAAGGACAGGTAGGAAAACCTCAATGAACTTTAACTTGTCTGTGATGCGGATCAACTGAGTTGTTTGGCCTGGATTGTGAACATAGTATTATAGGATATGAGTTCATCATCTCAAGGAAGTTGAATAAATCCTTTTTCAAGAGTAGTAGAGAATGTGTTAAAGCTGTTTCAATTAATGTATTGCTTGATTTTCCTTCATTTTTAGCTAGGACTAGGGCACACTAATCACGTAAGGGAGCCAACTCTCATCACAGCACTGCAAGGAAAGAACATTCATCAGATTTCAGCTGGGCGATGCCATAGTGTAGCATGGACAGCTCTTCCAGTCCCTCCAAGAGCACCAGGTGAGCTGGTTACAGCTTATCTTTCCTAAAGTTTACCATTATCATGACTTGTCAACCATTGTTACTTTATGGATCTGTCTACAAAAAAAGTATAACAATACATTTAAGATTCAACTAAATTAGTCGAATTCTATCAAAATTATACTAAAATGCTCAACTATACTATAACATACTAGTGCTAATGGATCTGGGTCCACCACATGTTGCCTGTTTCAAGAATTGTTTTAAGTAAATTCCTATCAAATTGGATATAAAAATATGTAGCGTGGGTATCACTATTTCTTGATTACCCCAAAGGTACTAGCAGTCAAGTCCACCTCCCCCCACCATTCCCTCACAATAATTTTTCCGATGAGCACATTTAGCTCTCGAGACTTTATAGTATCCAAAAGGCATTCTCATTGCCCTTCTCAGCCTTCTTTCTAATGCTTCAATAACGTTTTAAAGATGAAGTGCCCAGAATTGCACTCAACAGTCCAATAGTGGCCTCGCTATCTATTCAATGTTAGAATAGTTTATCTTGACTTTTAGTCAAATACTCTGAAGTTGAGGAGTCTATTTTGCTTGGTTGATAAGAGCTTCATGTTGACTAACTACTAATTTAGTCACAAACTGATTTAGGGAAAAATCAACTTGACACTGTTTATGCATTAATGATTTAAAGGAAAAATACAAAATGTTTCCTCAGTGTTTCCATTTACAATCTCCTGCTGGTTTGCTTCTCCAGTTGAAATAAACAGGCACTGAAGACACAGCTGAGATTGTCCTATTTCATGATTGAACTTGTGGAGCAAAATTAATCTTTCCAATTTTTCTTTTCCTAGGCACTCTGCTGCTAAAAAACAATGCACTTTTTAACCTAAATTATTCATGATTTTAAAAAAAATTAACTCTGCTGAAAGAATGACAATTGATGTGATTTATTTAAATGAGTGCATTGGCTTTTAAAAAAAAAAAAAATCGTCATTACTTGTGTAAAGAAACCTATTTGAAAATATATGTAGGGCGAAACACGATGCCCATCTCTGTGATGAACACCTGCTTTTGTTCTTGGTAGGAGTATCAGTGCCACTGCAGCTCGGGTTGCCAGACTCTATCCCACCTCAGTACAGTTCACTGAAAGAAACGAACATTGAGACAATCCGGACTCGGCTACGCTTGCTATACCATTTCTCAGACCTCATGTACTCTTCATGGAGACTTCTTAACCTTAGTCCCAACAATCAGGTAAGCATTTATTGAACTTAAAGTTAAAATGTCAACTCGTCTTCCATCCTTGTATTTGCACCCTACAGCTGCTCAGCACATCAATCTGTCGCTTTCATTAGATCCATTTTGTCGGATTTACATCAGATCCGTTTCTGCTTGGAGGGCGAGGAAAGCTCCCGTAACACATCAAGCACTGTTATCAATGAAACTGCTGCTTTCCACTGACCAGCTTGGGAAAAAATCTTGAGTACTTTGCATCCAGGAGTATCTTCCCCTCCTTGTTGAAAGTGCTGCAGTGAGGCATGATCTTGGGTCAGTTACCCTGTCAGTGACGAGAGAAAAATTCTAGTTTCACTTTGTTTGTTTAAAATAAGTTACATTCTCTGCCAAATGTTTGTTTCCAAAAGATTATTGTAAAAACATGGAACTGGAAGCTATTTAACAAACAAAATCTAAATTTCTCTGGTTCCGTCAACCTCCCTGGCTGCTCAGATTTAAACCAGTTGATGAACAGTTTAGGCATTCTGTTCGACCCTTCGTTGGATTAAATATTTTAGAGTTTTCAATGAATACTAGAAATGAATCGTCTTGTATTTACAGAGCAGTACATCTCATTATAATGCTGGAACATGGGGAATAGTGCAGGGACAACTAAGGCCTTTATTGGCACCACGGGTTTACACACTTCCAATGGTACGCTCCATAGGAAAGACGATGGTCCAAGGCAAAAATTATGGCCCGCAGATCACCGTAAAAAGAATATCTACCAGGTATGTGACAATTTATTTTTTGTGCATCAGATACATATTTTAAGACAAGACTTCACCAGAATATTTGAAAATTTCTAATTTGATTTGGAAAAATGAACAATAGAATAATGGGGGAGAAATGTATTCAAAGAGCAGCAGTAAACTTTGGTAATATCTTCATGAATCTTTGTGCACCATTTGTATTAAAGTTGCAAATGATTGGAACGTTTGTTTGATGGAACATGTTAGCCCTGTTGCTTCTATACACAAGAGACTCGTTTTAGTTTAAAATTCAACTTTTCTCAGATCTTAGTATAATAAAGCACAGATGTACAGTGTTACTTGCATTGAGATTTTACTGTTTCATATATAAGGGTGTTGTTACCCAGGGGCAGGACAGTGGGTATTCTTTGTTTTTGGGGGGGAGTGAAGGTTGGCCATGGTTGGAGATGGTCTCCAGGGGCTTGATCTTCAGCTCTTTACAGCTGTAAGGAACCAGAGGTTAGAGATGTAGAATAGAGTGCAGGAAGAGGATCATGCTTGTTTAGCTCCAAGCAGTTTGTACCTCACTGAATGGCAGATATCTGAAAGGTGCTTGATTCATATGTTTCTTGCAGGAATGTTATTGGTTTGAGCCATTTTTATGGGATTCACTTTCTTACACTAAAGAGCAAGACATGTGCAAGCTTAGGAAGGTGCCTTTACCCAGTTTATAATAGTCCATGTTTGCATGGGTTAGCTCCAGCCGAGAAACATGCAAATAACACATTCCACGTTATCTATGACCATCACCCAGAAGGATTATAGATGACTTGAAAATGACCAGAACTTGTATGTCTTTCTGGCAACACTTGCAGAAGGAATCATTGGCCTGCATTCCGAGAGCAGGTAGTCTTAATATTTTTACCTTTTGTTCCGTATTTTTTAGAGGCCGCAAGTGTAAGCCTATCTTTGTTCAGATCGCTAGACAAGTGGTTAAGCTTAATGCTTCTGACCTTCGACTACCTTCACGTGCCTGGAAAGTGAAGCTGGTGGGAGAGGGTGCTGATGATGCTGGGGGAGTATTTGATGACACTATCACAGAGATATGTCAGGTAACAAAAAGCTATTTGGACTAAATTTACAAGAAGTCAGGATTACAAGTGGCTTGATTTTTTGTAAATATTAATGGGTTTTAAATGGAACTTGGTGGAATATTGCAAATTATACAACCTAATTTTTGTAGATAGAAATGTTCATGGTAGAGAATCCCTGAGTCTTGACTGTTGAACTCTCTATTCTTATATGTGCTATGAGACGACCCTTGCTGCATGTAATACTATATTACATTTCTTTAGTGCCTTTCACATTGGGAGGACGACCCAAGGTGCATTAACACATCCCAGAGTGCTCCATTCAACAGAGAAAGGTGCTTTTAGGAATTACACAGTCTGATTCAAGTGTGGCATACTCCAGTATACTGAGAGTTCAGATTTAACTCAGCAGAACTATGGATCCACTTATGAAAGTGTCTCATGCATGGTGCACCCGGCCATTAATGACATCCCTGCAGTAAATGCTCGGAAGAGCAGCTGCTGCTCACCGTCCTGTGCAAGTCATTGGAGTTTGTGATTGCACTGTAGGTCCCATTTTATGTTACCCTCACTGCCACATTATAACAACAACATATTACATTTATAGAGTGCCTTTCACATCGGGAGGACGTCCCAAGGCGTTGGTAGTCAGACTGGTTATGTGTTCATTCGTGTAACAGCTTTTTAATTCCTGTTTTATTATTTCAATTGACTAAATTACTCACTTGCTTTGATTCTATTTTAATGAACAGGAGCTTGAAATGGGGATAGTAGATCTGCTCATTCCTACACCAAACGTCACTGCTGAAGTAGGCTATAACCGAGACAGGTAAGCATTGGGTTAATAATATACATTCTTCATATAGACTAACAAATGCAAGGATTATTATTTATTACAGAATTTATTTATTTTTACAGGATTTGTTTATTTTAAGAGCCTGTCCTTCATGAGCTATACTATGATATTTCTGACATTTTTCTGCTGCTGTCATCAATAATCTCATGTTAATTTATATGAACAAGAGTGAATTTTTTTTTGTGCAGTCTCATCAAGGTTTGATTTTGACTAAAGGCATGAGTTTAAGTTTTTTTTAAAAAATGTCACAACAGACAAACTAAAACCTATGTCATAATTCTGTTAGCTTACAAGGTTTTAATGAATTTCCGATTTTATTTTGTCGTGAAAACAGGGCATTCATGAAAAATTGTTGGAGCATTTTTTTTAAACGAGAGCTTGTTTTTGTCATAGGTTCCTTCTTAACCCGTCAGCTTGTTCAGAAGAGCACCACATGCAATTTAAATTTTTGGGAATTCTTATGGGTGTTGCCATTCGTACAAAGAAACCATTAGACCTTCACTTGGCACCAATGGTCTGGAAGCAACTCTGCTGTATTCCACTCTCCTTGGAAGATCTCGAGGAAGTTGATTTACTTTACGTACAAACATTGAACAGCATTCTTCACATTGAAGACAGTGGGATTTCAGAGGAGAATTTCCATGAGGTTAGTTAAGAGTTAAAAATACCTTTCTATTTTGTACACAATTGAGCTGTTTAATATAAAATTGTTACACTAAAGCATGGTGATGGGTTTCCGCTTGTGTGAGACAACTGGAGACCCTCAAAAAATGTGAAAAGCTTGTTAGTGTTCTAGGTAAGTCTGAATTGTTAGCTGGAGAAAAACATACTGCTAATTTATCTAATGTGCCAATCATGTAATTGAACCAACAAACGGTATTCTCGCCGTCAAACATTTCTCACTGAATGTATCCATTTTCAATCTTCGTTTTATATTACAAGAGAAAACATATTCTACCTCAAACTGAACAATGTTGAAGTGTTTTCTATATTCTGGATACATTGAGGGTAAAATGGGAGTTTTTCCCTCTTTTCAATGTGCAAGAAAATGACTAGCCTACCTCATTACTATTTTATCTGTTTGCTCCCACAAGGTCCTGGAAACATACTCCCAATAAGGCCATTCAATTCTGTGTCTCTAAACAATGCTGGTGTAAATCTCTAGATTACAAGTGTATGCTTGTTCTTGCTAATATTTATACAGACCATTTTAAAAATTATGCTGTAAAATTATGTCCAGATAAAGCAACTAATACTTTGCAAGCTCTGTATTAAACATTCTACTGAAACAAAATCAATGTACAATCTGGCTATTATGAAGAAATTAATAGTTTTTCTACATTTCAGATGATACCTCTTGATTCATTTGTGGGTCAAAGTGCTGATGGTAAAATGGTTCCCATAATACCTGGAGGGAACAGTATCCCGCTAACCTTTTCTAATCGGAAGGAATATGTAGAGAGAGCAGTTGAGTACAGACTCTGTGAAATTGATCGTCAGGTAAGTAATTGTCACAATTAATCCCAATCAACAATTTTAACCTGTTTTTGATTAATTAGGCCAGACATCGATTAAATAGACGTTAAAAATAGAATTATGGAATTATTAAAGTTTAAATTAACCTGGGATTGACTTTATCTGCAGCCTGTATTTAATCCCCCCATACTCAGTTGGTAAAATTCCTGACACGATAAATCTCTAGTCTCAGAAACTACCAGTCCTTACCAAAATGCTGTAATCTCATCCTCAATGGCGTAGGAGAGAGCCATTGCCTTAAGGTAGGGATGGGGAAATCAGGTTTGTGAACAAACCTGTAATTTGATGCTACAACTCTGATTTGCAAACATCCCATTAGCTCCCATACTTTGAGGGATTTTTATTTCCTAACGAGCACAGTCCAGTTACAAGCTCCCTGTCATTTATGTTGCAGAATTGAAGATGCTAAATTGATAAAAGCAAACTTGACTCTTGAGCCCATCATCAGCCCAAGGTAGACTCCAGTCATTCCCAACCACTGTCCCAGAGGGGATCGACTTCAAGATCCTCACCCTTGTCTTCAAATCCCTCCACTCCTCTGCACTCCCTACCTCTCTGACCTCTGTCTTCAAAACAGTGCCTGTTGTCTTCATTCCTCCGGGTCTGGCCTCCTCCAAGTCCGCCGCTCCACCCTCGGCGGCCGGGCCTTCAGCCACTATGCCCCGAGGCTCCGGAACTCACTTCCTCACTCCTTTCGCCTCGCTCCCTCTCTTCCTATTTTCACGTCTATACTGAAGACCTTTTCGACCGCGTCTTTGGTCACCTTCCTTCCCCTCCCCCTGGTTCGGCCCCAGGTCTGTTACTGTGAAGCGCTCTGAGACGCCATCTGGCTTGGAGGGCGCTATATAAATCCAAGTTGTTGTTGTTCATATTGACTCAGGTGGCTGCAGTTCGAGAAGGAATGTCTTGGATCGTCCCTGTTCCACTGCTTTCTTTACTTACTGCGAAACAGTTAGAACAGATGGTCTGTGGGATGCCAGAAATATCTGTAGAAGTTCTGAAGAAAGTTGTGCGATATCGAGAAGTTGATGAACAGCATCAGCTGGTGCAGTGGTTCTGGCAGACACTGGAAGAATTCTCCAACGAAGAGAGAGTTTTTTTTATGCGTTTTGTTTCTGGTCGATCCCGTTTGCCAGCTAACACTGCAGACATTTCCCAGAGGTTTCAAATTATGAAGGTTGATAGGGTAAGAATTGTATATTTCTTCTATATACTGGTTTGGAGACTCATTAATTATTTTTACTACATCTGTTTTAAGATTAGGGTAGTTAATTCATGGTGCCATTCTTCCACTAGCAGTGTTAGTGTACAGCTGAAGTAAAAAAAACATTTCAAATGTATTTTTAACAAAGGAGCACTGATGGAATAACTCACTTGTTCTATCAAGTTTTGAGTTTGTTTAGTATGATAATGGCATCTTGCTATTCTAGGTAAGGCATAAATAACAATTTTACATCAAATGTAACCAGCTCCAATATGAGAAATTGAGGTTTGGCTTATCTAAAATTTTCTAAAAATTGAACTCTACATTTTTTTTGGCTTTATAAATATTGTCACTTGTAAGACTATTAAACCCAAGTACAGTAGACAGCTGGTCAAACTCTAGGTTTTATCAACATAGATGCTTGTTTGTAAACCAGTCTGACTTGTTTTCCATTTCACAGCCTTACGACAGCTTGCCTACCTCACAAACTTGCTTCTTCCAACTGCGGCTCCCACCATATTCCAGCCAATCACTCATGGCAGAACGGCTGCGCTATGCTATCAACAACTGTAGATCCATAGACATGGACAACTACATGCTTTCGCGTAATGTGGACAATGCAGAAGGCTCTGATACAGACTATTAAATTTCTGTATGAACAAAATTCATTCTGTTATGTGCACAAGGAAATGCTATGGGGAGCATTGGTGCAAAGAATCCTTTGGTAATTATAGCTGTAATAGTAACTTCTGCAAACAGCCTACAATATTTTAATTGTATATGTACTTGAAGAAAACAAATGTGAAATGTAATTAGTTTCTTGATTTTGACAAATTGGCAGGTTTAAAAAGAATACATTTTCCTCCCTGTTTTTGTTCATTTTTGATAAGTTTGCATGGAGATATTTTGATGCATATTTGGGAATGGTATAGATGACCCTCCCAGATCTAGGAAAAATGTAAAAAAAATGTACATTGTGTATAATTGTTCATGAGGGAGAGAGCAATTTACATAAATATTCTTATATTTATTTTGTTTTAATTTGAATTGCCTGTGCCGAGTTTCCTAACAGAACTACATCAAAGAATAAAATGCTAATATAAAATCATGTTTGTTTTGTCAACTGGTCCTTCAAGCTGTCTGTGATATTTGATTGAACAAAAATAGCTGTAAGAAGAATTATGTATATAACAAAGTTAGCTATATTCTATTGGATGTAATTTTCTTGGATCACTATGTATGGATAGGTTAGTTTTAATTGTTGTGAATTATAAGCAGATCTATTTGGCCAGGTTACACATTTGTTCTTCCTAGCCCACCGCTTTTGTTAACTCAAAAACAGCAAGGTATTTCATATTTAACTTCTCAGTGGCCAGGTTCTGTTTTGAAACAATTGTTAGCAGGGATGCACAAAGCTTCATACTTACTGAAGCCCAAGAATAGAATTGTACAGATTGCAGGAGGGAAAGACAAAATTAGATTATATAACCATTCTGCAAAGCATTTTAAGGCGAATTTATACAATCAGGAGTCAAGTCAAGTCCCTTTACTATGATTAGTAGTGCTGTAAAGTGAGAATTTATTGCCCATTTCTTTAAATTTAACCAGATAAAGAATACTCAAGTATGATCATTTATTAATGTACATCACTGCCAAAATCACCAGTCAACCAGCAGTAAAGCAAATGTTATTATTTTTAAATGTATCCTTTGTATTACCACCCCCCCCCATACGAGCTATACATTCATGTTAACACACTGCATAAATCTAGATAAAAACACATCATCTGACACTTAATCTGTGATCATGAATATACTCAATTTACATTTTTAAACATTATACCAACTGACAGTAAAACATCAGAGAGCAGTAAATGTTTGTCTCTGCTACTTAATTTAAAAAGTCTAGATGTTTTCAAACTGGCATTGCAAAACAATTTCATGTCCCAAGAATTCAAAGTTGTGTTTAATGTATTAAAATTCACATCAGTCAAATTATTTGAACATAAATGTATTTTAATGTTACACATTCTGCTTTTAAAGCTTGCTAAACTACATATTCACAACTTACTGCATTTCTGAGCACAAAACAAGTGATGTACTTTAAGCTGTGTAGTTCAAACCAGTAACTGTGATAAACTAGGTCAGTAATGATAGTGTTAAACCAGCATTCCTTGGTATTAATGGTGATGCCTTTGGCTTGGTCCTGCTCATGCATCTGTAAGAATGGCTGCCAGCAAATGTTCCTTCTGCATAAAAGTAAATTCTACTCTGGTTAGCTGGTTTCACCTGATCAGCGGCTAGACAAATACTTACAGGATGATCAACAATTGCTTGTTTTTCTCTTGAAGCTGATTTCCATGAAGCTCCTTTGAAATAACTTTTCCTTTGGAGTTGATCTGGGGTATTTTATAGATTCCCTTATCTGGATTTTTACAGAGTCCACTGGTGATCCATCCTTCATCTTCAAAAGCTGGACTTTCAGTTCTTTTTATCTGCTTTACAATTTCATGGCAATGCGCAGAAAGATGTGTAGTTGTCACAGTTTGGTCGTTTTTCTGCAAACAAAATGGTGGTGTTCAGTGGAGCATTGTATGCGATACCGCATATGCAGTATTCAAAGGAGAAATAGTAAGTCACAAAGTGAAAATGTAGCCAGACCCCAATAGTCTGGCACAATCCCCAAATCCTTGAAGAGATAGCAGAGGCTCTGACCAAAATGTTATAAACATCTTTGAAAATAGATATTATGCCAAAAGACTTGAAGGTGCAAATGTGACACCGATGTTCAAGTTGGGGAGTGAGATGAATACAGTAGTGAAATTATAAGTCAGTTTCTCTCTTTTTAAAATCTACATTGGGATCTAGTTAGGGAGGAATTGAGTAATGCTGAATGAATGTTTTACCCAAAGCAACTAAGGAATGTGATAATATGAATAGAGATACCTGAAATAAAGAGAGAGTAGAATAAAGCAATGTTTTTAAGATTGGTGACATGTATTCAGGGGTCATTTGTGTCTAGGTCACTCATTTTCTGTATATTATATAATGGGGGACATTGCAAACTATGAGAAGCAATGCAGACAAATTAGAGTGAGTGGATATATGGTAAATCAAATTCAATATAGATAAATAATTTAAGAAGGACAAAGTAAAGGTACACAATATGTTTTTTAGATGGAAGTGGCAGGGCAGAGAGATATAGGAGTACTGACAGATAGTTCATAGAGGTGGAAGTACAAGTTAACAAGCCCATAAACAAGTAAATGGAATTCTAGATTTTATAGTTGGGCCAATGAATGTAAGGACATGTTCCTGGTTAGGCAATTGGAGTATTGTAAAAACACAAAATACTGCAGATGCTGGAAATCTGAAAACAAACACAGAAGTCGCTGGGAACACTCAGCAGGTCAGGCAGCATCTATGGAGAAAGGAAAATGAGTCAATGTTTCGGTTCCACGAGCCTTCGTCAGAACTGGGACATGTTGGGAGGGAGAGGCTTTTATATGCTAACGAGGGAAGGCAGGACAAGGAAGACAAAGGAGAAAATGGGGTAGAGGACAGGGGATGATGGGCTAAAGAGATGTTAATGATGCAGAACAAAGGGGGGGATTGCAATAAAGCAGGGGACTAGAGGTGTCAATACTGCAGAACAAAAAGGGGGTGGGGGAAGAACTTGCAATAAAACAAGCAGATCAGGGAGAGAAAAGGTGTGTCTGGGACCCAGATGATGTGGTGATGGTCACAGAAGAGAGGGAAGGTGAGCTGTTATGGTCTGAAATTGTTGAAATCTATTGAGACCAGAGGGCTGTGAGGTCCCTAGCAGATAAACGAGGTGCTGTTCCTCGAGCTTGCACTGTGGCTCATTAGAACAGCGTAGGGGACCCTTAAAAGCCTCTCCCTCCCAAACATGCCCCAGTTCTGACGAAGGCTCGTGGACCCGAAACGTTGACTCACTTTCTTTTCTCCCGACGTGAAAGGCGCAATACAAATGTAACCTTGTTGTTTCTTACCTTCAATCTTTTACAATGAATTACTTCACTAAGAGAAACTTTACAGCCTGGAACAAGTGCAACATTGGGAAACCAGCCCTTCAACATCCTCTCCACCTGCAGCAAAATCCCTGTGTATTGTTCACTGCAAAAGAAAATCATTTGAATTTTGCTTAAGATCATGAGCTAGCAACCGAAAGATTTTAAGCGCCATATAAATAATATTATAGTAAGAAAACCATCGTATTGGTTGAATCATTAAAATTTAACACTACATCATTTGAGTTCAACACTCACCATAGCATAATGGGTACTACAGTAAACCTCACATAAGTCATATCAGTTGAGATCATACATTTTCTATGACTTGTGCTAAGTGTGAGTTATGTCAAACCTGCATAGAATATAAACTCTTGAACAGGATTTGGGCATAAGTATGATTTATACAGATCAGACTTGTGCGCGTTTTACTATACTCAGATGCCCATCTACACTCCACCAGTCTTGGAGACATGAATGGAAACCAGCAAAATGAGCTTAGAAATCTACCTTAAAAATCAAATGCCATGATTATTTCTCTTGCAAGTTATAAAACTACACAAGTCTGAGTGTAAAGTTAAGTGGTTCAACCACAACTGCATGCCAAGCATTACTGATCCATTTTAATGCTTCATTAGATTGACTAATTGTAAAGAACTAATTCCAATTACTTTCTGGCAAATGTTTAAGTGGGATTAGCAATCTTCACATGACAGGGATCTGGTAAAGTAACACAGTCCCAAACAGCAGATGCAGAGCTAAGATGTGAAATGTGCATCCACTGAAATAATGGTAAGCATATGCACCTAATTTAACATTTTAACACTGAAAAGAAAATTGCCAAATAGAGCAAATCATGCTGAAATAGTTACCCCAAATTTGGATTTTGCAGAACTCCCAGAATTCTCTGGATTCTGTCCATGGCAACACTTTCCTGGAAACTGGTCAAACCTACCGAGACAAATAACTAGACATTACTATTGCAAAATGTTGGCCCTTCACTATTGCACAACTAGGATTGGATGCGACTTTAAATATGTTTTGAAGTTACATACCTTTTCTGTACCTTCCAGACTTGAGGCCATTCAGCAGCAAGTTCAGAGGAGGAATAAAGCCCTGAAGTTCCCCACACTAAACACAGAAGAAAGTAATGTTAAGAATAACATTAAGAGTTCAATTCCAGGCAGGGCGAAACCTTGGGCAAGTTTCCTTACTCCACATGCCTAATAATAATCCCTCCAAAAACAAAAAAACAATAAATTGGTCATTTTCAAACTACGATCGTTTGTGGGACACTGCTGTGCGCAATTGGCTGCCGCGTTCGCCCACAAATATACAGTCAATTCACTTTACAGTATATTCTGTGAAGCGCTTTGAGACGTCTAGAAGATGTGAAAAGCGCTATATCAAATGCAAGGATTATTATTATAAGAATATGAACTGGTCTTTCATATCAAGGCGCTAAAACAGGAATCTCACCCAGAATGAAGAAAATGTTATTCTCTGAAACAGCTGCGGTTTCCTAGGCTAACAATATTTACCTGAAGTGATTTTACAGGCAGTCTGAACTCTGTCCTTATTACACTCCAAGTCTACAGCAAACAATTTGTAATGGGTTGGCATAGTTGCTCAGAGGCCACAGCAATGCAATCCCCTTCCCGCCACCCTGCACAATACTGAGGGAGTGCACAGTAAGCTGCGTAAAACTTTAAGACATCCTCCTGAGATGAGCGCTGAATAAAAGTAAATTGTTGTAATAAAATAATAATAGCTCTTGCATTTGATGTAGAACCTCATCACGTCATCGGGACAGATCAAAGCGCTTCACAGGATAGGCCATAAGTGAATGACCAATTTTATTTGGAGAATTGTCCAGGACACCAGGAGAAACTCCCTTCTCTTTTAAAATAATGCCATGGAATCTTTAACGTCCACCTGAATCACCAGACGGGACCTCATTTTATTGTATTGTCATACATTAACTGCCTTCTAAACCTTTTGTAAAATGCCAGTTACAGGTCTTTCATTAATAACCAACCAAATGTAAGCAATATTCAGCATAAACTTCAAAATGTTTGATTTTGCTTTTAGCAACCCTTAAGAAAAATAATGAATTCGAGTCAGCAACTTCTCGTGACTTTACCTTTTCGGCAAAGATGATGTCCCCTTCAGATAATGTATTGGTCTCTTCTGTTGCCAGGTTTAAGTCTCCCTTTTCTCTTTTCCTTTTAATTGGCACAATTGTTTTAGCAAAAGAATTGTCAACTGCACGGAGTCCTGGAAGACAATTGGTAGCATCTTCGCACACGTCACTGGAACTCGTTACTGATGCCATGATACTGCTCCGAAAGGATGTCTGATTACTCAGTGTTTTGATCAAAAGGTCACTCCTGGAAGTGGAACCGCATTCTGGAAGATCTTTAGCCACAGGGACAGGGGATACACGGATACCGGTGGCATCCGATGCTGATGATTGACGGAACTGCAGCGCGCGGTTGTTATTTCTCTCTGCCGCCTTGATGTTCGTTTTAAGGTTTTCTTGAGATTCAAAATCTCTGGGAGAGTACGCGAAGGAGCCGTGCATTACCGATGACAGCTCACATTTTATTTCACTCTCGCTGTCGGAATAAAATATGTCACTTCCTTCATCTTCACTTTCAAACCAGTCTGTTGAATAATCAGACTCACCGAGGGTTATGCTGCTGTCAGGAAGTTCTACCGCCAAATGCATGGCTGTTTTCTGAAATGCCACAAAATGCATTTGCAACAATGCAATATTAATGTAATAAATCACAAACAGTCGCTCACTAATTTAACTGCTGAGCGCACGAAATCAACTGTCATTGTAATAAACTGTCCAGTTTCATCGCAGTTTTTTTTTAAATAAAAAAAATCTAAATGCAATGGTGTTTAATTCCTGAATGACCCACTTAAAAAATTAAGGGCAATTACTGTGTGTAATTGGTAAAACAGACATTAAAATATCTTCGCCTGTGACAGAAACGAGATAGCGATGAGGGTAATGAACAGAGACACTTCAGAAAGATTATCCCCCCCCCAAAAAAAAACACCACACTCTCTTTTCCATCACCATGTACCACCTCAAATTCATGGGAATATCTCGGGGGGGGGGGGGGAGAGAAAAAAATATGTGTTTAGGCTTTTTTTGTTGTTTCTTCCTTTTTTTTTTAAACAATGCATTCATTTCACGCATTAAAAGACCACAAAACATATGAACACAAAATAACCAACTTATTGAGTTAAGTCAGTCCACAGCCTTTTTTTATTAACCCCCTCTTCCCCTTCCCCCACCACGCCCCCCCCCCCCCCCACACACACACACACAGACAGAGGGAGGAAGAATTCCAGGTCAGTCTTACCAGAACATCAAAGTGAGACAGTCTGTGTGTTGTCCAGGTTTGCAGACGTCTGGCAGACAAGACGGCAAATGACATGCAAGGTGGGGGTGGGGGGGGGTATATATTTTTCCCCCCCCACAACAGATCAGGATGACTGGGGTAAAGAGGGTAAGCTCTGCACTGCTATGTGCTCACACACACACACACACACACTGTCTCAGGCTCTGGACTCACACACACACACTGTCTCAGGACTCACACACACACACTGTCTCAGGCTCTGGACTCACTCACACACACACTGTCTCAGGCTCTGGACTCACACACACACTGTCTCAGGCTCTGGACACACACACACACTGTCTCAGGCTCTGGACACACACACACACTGTCTCAGGCTCTGGACACACACACACACACTGTCTCAGGCTCTGGACTCACTCACACACACACTGTCTCAGGCTCTGGACACACACACACACACTGTCTCAGGCTCTGGACACACACACACACACTGTCTCAGGCTCTGGACACACACACACACTGTCTCAGGCTCTGGACACCACACACACACTGTCTCAGGCTCTGGACACACACACACACACACTGTCTCAGGCTCTGGACTCACACACACACACTGTCTCAGGCTCTGGACACACACACACACACTTCTCAGCTCTGACTCACCACACACACTGTCTCAGGCTCTGGACCTCCAGCTCACTCACACACACTGTCTCAGCTCTGACACACACACACACACTGTCTCAGGCTCTGGACTCACTCACACACACTGTCTCAGGCTCTGGACTCACTCACACACACACTGTTCAGCTCTGACTCACACACACACACACACTGTTCAGGCTCTGGACTCACACACACACACACACTGTCTCAGGCTCTGGACTCACTCACACACTCACTCACACACACACACACACACTGTCTCAGGCTCTGGACTCACACACACACACACACATGCGTTTGCAACGCGTGCGGCCGCTCCCCAGGCAACGTGTGGGGGCGGCACCACCGCGCTCCCGGACACTGATTGGACCTAATCCTCCCCCGCCTCCCCCCCCCGCAGCTGCAGACAGCCAATGGTCACAGAGGTAGACCGCGGCCGTGGCTCCGATTGGTTCGGAAGGACAATGGGGCTGTAAATGAGACGCGAGTGGCCCCGCCCCGAGGAAAGCAACAAATGTTGCGGCGTGAAAGAGCTGAACCCACGTGGTCATTCAACACTGGTGCTGTGTGTGTGTGTGTGTGTGTGTGTGTTGTGGGGGGGTCGGGGGGGGGTATCTCATGCATCTGTTTATGGGGACATAATACAGGGAATCAAGCTCAGAGCTGGGAATCAGACAGTACAAATCAAAGGGATAGATTGCACTGATTTCCCTTCTCCTCCCCCCCCCCAGAAAAATACCCTAATGGCTTACAAATCGTCTATGAGCTTTAGACATATTCTGCAAAAAAAAATCTTTAACGGAAGCAGCTGCTGCTCGGGGAAGGGTTGCATTCATTTGGTTATGTGTGCTGTACGTTTCTGAACTATGGCCAAAAACGCCCTTATTAACGTACCTTTGCTTTGATGATCACACATTAACGTTAAGCCGCGTGCCCAAGGTTTCGTTTCGATCCGCGCGCTCAACCGATCCCGCAATATATTGGCCACTGTATTGTAAATCAGCATTTTGAGATTCTTTGGATCCCACAGAGAAAAGAAATGCAGTTGCTGTCATGGTTATTACATAATACTTCCCGGGCTGCTTTGTTTACACAGCGGATTAGACTGCAGACTGACTGCCTCACAAATGCTAAACTGGTCAATGACGGTCTTGCTGATGGCTGGGTGTGGAGGACAACGTGACAGAGAAAAACACTGTGGCTAAACACGTGGCAGGGTAACACTGAATGTCGGTTATTTTTCTTGACTATAAATAAAGTTGCCAAGCAACCTACGCGCAGTGCTCAGCAGGTGTTTTGACATGCGATTCGTAAAACGATTCAGTATTTCTCCTAAGAAATTTGGAAACTTTGGATTTCCATGTTGTTGCCCAGAGGGAATAAATCCCTGAAGAAGGTTTCAGTGTTGACAGAGACTAACCTCTTATTTTAATTGTTCTCCTTATCTAATTAATACGAAGATAGGTGGGAGTGTAAGCTGTGAGGATGACACACGAAGAATTCAAAAGGGAAATAGACAGGCTAGGTGAGTGGGCAAGAAGGTGGCAGATGGAGTATAATGTGGGGAAGTGTGAAGTTATTCACCTAGGTAGTAAAAGCGGATTATTTTCCAGAGGGGAAGAGACTGGGTAGTGTTAGTGTTCAAAGGAATTTGGGTGTCCTTGTATACCAGTCACAAAAAGTTAGTATGCAGATACAGCAAGCATCTGGGAAGGCTAATGCCATGTTGGCGTTCGTTTCAAAAGGGTTGGAGTGCAAGAGTAGGGAAGTCTTGCTGCAGTTGTATAAGGCCTTGGTGAGACCACACCTAGAATATTGCGTGCAGTTTTGGTCTCCTTACTTAAGAAAGGACATACTCGCCTTAGAGTGGGTGCAGCGTAGATTCACCAGGTTAGTTCCCGGGGTGAGGGGGTTACCTATGAGGTTGAGTAAACTAGGCCTATATTCTCTAGAATAAAGAAGAATTAGAGGTGAACTTATAGAAACCTAAAGATTCTTAAGGGTTTTGACAGGGTAGACGAGGTGAGACTGTTTCCTTTGGTTGGAGAATCTATAACTAGGGGTCACACTCTTAAGATTAAGGGTCAGCCTTTTCAAACTGACTTGAGGGGAAACATTTCTTCACTCAGAGGGGAGTGAATTTGTGGAATTCTCTACCCCAGAAGCTGTGGATACTCAGTCCTTAAATATATTCAAGACTGAGGTTGATAGATTTCTAAAAGATAGAAGGATTAAGAGATATGGGGATAGGGCGGGTAAATGGAATTCGGTTAGAAGATCAGCCAAGATCTTATTAAATCGCGCGGCAGGCTCAAGGGACCGAATGGTCTACTCCTGCTCCTATGTCTTATGGCCTAATTTGTACAGATGTACATGTTTCGGTGGGAGAACAACATCATGCAATAAAAGAGACAATGAGATCTAAATTGAGATGAGTAGAAATTAATTATTGTATAAATTTGCCTGCCACATCTCACCCACAAGATAGTCAATTCATTTTACAATATATTTTGTTAAGCGCTTAGAGACATCTCAATGACACGATAAGGCGCCATATCAAATGCACATATGATTACCAGTCTCTTAGCCCAAAACTTCGTTCCATCACTTGATCATTTCATATAAGCACAATAAACATAACATTTATTCTGATCAATGTTTTTTGAGAGTATCTTGAATCATTTCCTTCCTCCATAATAAAATGAATTGCCTTTGACCAAAATTTAATGAGACAAGTCTTAAGTCAGACTGACATTCCAGTGCACTCCTGGGAGATGTTTAATTGGAGGTTAAAAAAATTGGTCAATGTGAGCAGCAGACAAGACATGTATGACGAGTATTTTCAGATATAAATCTGTTTCTCAATTAAGTCTAATAATAGTAATAATAATACTCACATTTGATATAGCATATTATCATGTCTCAAAACACTTCACAGAATGTACTGTGAAGTGAATTGATTATATTTTGTGGGCGAAACGGGCAGCCAATTGTGCACAGCAGTGTCCCACAAACAGTTATGGATTGAGCGACCCAATTATTATTATTATAAAAAAATTGTGGAGCATATTGCTTTGAGACTTGTAAATGAGTAATTGATTTTTTACATTTCTGAAAATAATACCGGTAGCCTTAAAAGGCTGCCAGACAAGAGAGGACCAGTTATGTGGGTTGCCAGTTGTACTTGTAAGACAGTAACATAAAGACTAGCTATTGACACGGTGATGAATCATTTGTTCTATTCACAAAGAAAGTGTATTCCTTAGAGACACTCACATTTCCTATTCATTTATCATTACTGAATAAGTTTTCGCTCTTTTACATGTCACTTCCATTTCGATTGTGTTTGTACTCTGACCTCCAGATCACACAATTACCATTAGCCAATTCAGGTAGTAATATTAGGTAATGAGTATTTGCTGCTAAATAACAAAATCACTTTCAATTCCTCCATGAAATTATAGGGCTCCAGTGCTAGAACAGCAATTAAACTGAAGTGCTTATACCAGCAGCAGCAGCTGTCCTGCGTTTTACATGCCCCCATCCAGTGCTGCTAATCATTCCACCCCCTCCACGCCAATCCTGCCACAGCATCCCACCACTAACCCTCCCACCAAAAAACATCCCCTATCCTCCAGAACACAGTATGGTACCCCAATCAGAACGGTCAGAATGGTTCAAGAGCTGGCGTCAGAAAGCTGTTGCCCCAGACAACCACTTTTTGTTTAAAAAAAACAATGTCAAAATAAATGGCGTTAACAATGTCACCGTAAACAGCCACAGCATTTAAATTGAACTGACATTTACAATCGTTATTTAAATAGATTGGAAGTTGCTAAATGCTTCATTACTATTAATCCTAAATGTAGGATTGTTAGCACCAGCTTGCTAATGCGAGGAACACTGACAAACAAAGCAGGAGCATATCTATGCAGCTGATTCAGGCAATGGGGAAAGAGCAGATGGCTGTCTAACGTAATTCAATATATACAGATTAGAGCTAATACAGATAACTACACCTCAACAAGATGAGATCTAATGACCTTCTAGAACAGTTTTACAGAGCAGACTTGTGCTAAAGCTTGTGCTCATGCATTCCCAGAAGCATCATTACACAACAATAAAGCATGCTTTTTTATCAAGATGGGTTTGCGCCAATTTATGAATTAAACAGACATTAGATTTATCAGTGAAAAATGTAAAAAAAAATTAAAAACTAAAATCTGTTATGAAATTTCATTTCCACCTTTCTTTTTGTGACTATCACAAGGTTTGTCTTTGTGTATGCTGTCCTCTCCTTCAAAGGTCTAACAGCAATTCCTGTCAGGATACTTTTGACTTCTGTGATACCAAGGCTGTATTCTTTTATATTCTGCCCTTGTAGAGCTCTGTACTTGAGGGCCAGCAATCATAGTCAATAACTCCATTTGGGATGCCAGTGTGGATGGCACAGAAGGGATGAACGGAATAGCTTTCTGTGCCAAATAAATTCTGGCGAGGAAGAAACAGTCCTTGCAGACTGTAATCTTGCAGGTTTCAAT